GTCAATCTTCAGTGATTTGTATGAATTTACTCGAATGAGTGACCATGAAAATTCCTACTCATAACGAGTATCTATCCAATCTCTCTGAAGCCATTGAATTTCTTTCATGCTTTTTTTCGCCCACTCAAATCGTCTCTTCTTTCTACGCATGTGTTTCAAATCATCCGCCAATATCCAAAGCCTTGCGAAATTCTTGAATGAAGTTAGTCATCAATCGGTTTTCACTATCCGATTGAAGCCATTGTCAAAACCTCCCTTCTCCTCCACAGCACTAAATGACCACATTCGGTTCCGGTCAATAGATTTTGGTGAGAATCACATGAATGCAATGTATCCTTGTCTTTGACTTCTCGAGCTTGTTTCAAGTTGGTGGTGCCACTTTCTTGATCTCGTCTATTTTTGCTTTCAGAAGCCTTACTGGATCGTAGCAAACCTCGTTGAGAGTAGACAAAGCGTGTAATACCAACTTCACAACGGATTGATTGCCTTGACCTCGACTTTACAATAAACTATGAGCAGTCCGTCCTCAATGCCAACTGCTGTACAAGGAAGATAACTCTCTAGTCCCACATCAAGCAGCAAGAACTAAACCGTCAAATGGATGTCATCTTGGAAAACCAGTCTACAAATTTACTGTAAGAAAATCATAAAAAACTATCTTTCGTTGCCGTCTTGAAATTTCGCTTGAACTTGTGTCACAACCAAATCTCGTTAGTACTTTTCCGAATGGAAAACCCATTGTCACAAACCAAAGCTCATGTTCTATCAGCAGCTGTTTGACAGCAAGGTTTGTCTCGCAAAATTTTCAACTTGATTTCGACTGCCACAAACTTCAAAAATTGTGTCAAGCTTTTATCATAAACTTCTGAAGAAAATCTAAAAACTTATGTCACACAACAAGATAAAAAATAATCAGCTGTCAAAAAATGTCACTCTTAGAAAATCGTTTGAAAACCATCACCGTCATAGCTTGAAAAACCCGTCGACAAACTATGACAATCAGAAAACTTTCAATACTAATGTATAACCTCAAAAATGAGGTTAGACAAAACGTCAAAGTAATTTAAAAAACTTTCAACACACACAAACTGAAAAAACTGATGACAACAAACTCCGAACCAAAAATGTGGCTCGAACTTCGAATCGGAAACTAGCTCTAATACCAATTGTAAACATAAAACCTAGAAGATATTGAAAACACTAAAAATCAAGTCACAACCGAGATGAAATAATGTGTTTCACCTTGGAACCAGGGCTACGTCCACTGAGAACACGCTGCACTTTTACTCACAAGACTGATCCCATGTACAGTAGAAACCGTATATTTAACCCTTGTGTACATGACCGTCCTAGCTAAATATAGTTAGGACCTGAGTTTACTTCTTAACAGAAGTTAACCTCAACAATCAAATCAAAATAGAGTATCATCACATAAAGATATGATATACTTGCCAGTCTACTAGATTTCAATTTGTATGTAAATACTATAATGGGGTAGTATTAAAAAGTTAAATAATTAAATAATCATTTGTTACATACTTAAGCAAATAGAAATGTTTAATCAAATTTTTAAAGCAAAATTTTTGTTTAAAAATTAGTTTTGAACTTCTAATTATCATGAATTAAATGATTCAAAATATCATAGTAAACTTACTTTTATTCTATTAGAATATAATTATGATTTCTATACTAATACAGAATTATGCTCATATGATAACAAGTAAAAACTAAAAGTAAATAAAATCATTAAATAAAAAAGAAAATCATGCAGAAATCATGCAGATTTATTTCTAAACGTTTTACAAACAAAATTGAATATTATTTTTTAGTAAAAGATAATGAATAATTTGTTAAAAAATTTCATATTTATTCTCGTATAAGATTGCACAAATGAACAAATTAATTTGTTTCAGAATAAAATTTAAAATAATTTGTATCCATCATATTTTGATATTCTAAAATATACTTTAAAAATGATTTTTTTTCATTTTCATTTGTTCATATCTAAAATAACATATAATATTTCATCCACTTCACATAAATTGATCTTCATGTATATCTATATATATTAAAAATATTGATTGTATAAGATTATCAAATGTTGATCACAAATAAACATTTTGTATTTTTAAACTATAATTATTTATATTTTCTTCATTTTTCTCACTAGGACAATACATCTTTTTTTATTCTAGTTACAAATTATATGAAATTCATCAAATTATATATGTTTTAATTCTTTGAAAAAAGCATACATTGTGATATGTATAAGATTACATAAATATAAATATAAATACATATATATTACTCGTTATATGCATTTTCAAACCATCAATAAAGTTTCATGTTGAAATTTAACTCTTTGCATGGTTTTGAAAAAATAATCCATAATATAGTTTATCATACAAAATTTAAATATAAAATCGGTCTAATTATATTGTTATAAATTCATAAAATATTTATTTTAATAAAATTATCATTTTCTTGTTTATATCATTGTGACATTTTTAACATGTATTTGAAAATGTGTTCAAGTTTAGAATCATTTGAAATCATGTGATGATGATTCAAACCAAATTTAATGTACTCATAAAATTTGTATAATCTATACAATATATTAATTATTTTTGTATAAATATTTCATTATTTGTTTACATTTCAAATTTTTGATAATATTACAATGCAATTGATGTAATCACAATCTATAATTTGCATGCATTACGATATTCAAAATATTTGAATGTATGTAATTTATCTGAAAATGGAATATCGAAATTATAAAAATATTCTACAGATCAAAATAACAAATGTATGATGTTAACAAATTATCAATATATATTCAAGAAATTAAATCATATAGTAATAATTTCAAGTTTATTAATCGTCATGAAATGTAATATAATGTTTTTAATAAATTTAAAAATAAAACAAAGTTAATAAAGTAATTAAATTAATTCTGAGTTGAATCAGTTTTATGATTCACTTTGAATAAATTTACATGACTTTTCTTCTATGTAAAGCTTTGGAACTTTTATTTTTTTTAAATATGTGTGTCGATTAAGATGTAATTACATTATGATTTGAATTATTTTGCTGTGACATTCAGTCATGTTAGAGTTACATACATGGGATGATTATTGTACTGCATATTTTTATTTACATGATTTAGTTTGTTTAATATCGTAATGATTATTTCATTTTTTATAAAATTTGTATGTAAAAATAAATTTGAAGAAAACTTGCATTGCTTTGAATAATTGCATATTGATTCAATATGCAATTATCAAATATTTTGATACATACTGAAAGTTCGTTCAAGTTTCGTTCGTTCAAATTTTGCATATCTTAGAATAGTAAACATTATTGTCATTTCAATACATTCATATATACATAATTATTAATCTTGATAACATATAATAATAATATTTAAGTTACATATCTTCTAAATATGTATTTAATATTATTTATTACACTATTTGACTTAAAAGCTTGATGTAACATAAAATTTTGATCAAAACAGATTTTACTGTGTATTTTTGTACGAAAAATATTTTCTTTCAATGATAGTTAATTTATTGTCAATCAAAATTTAAATTTGCATACATGCTTATTATTTTTTAAGTTTGACATCATATTATAAAAAATAATTTACAATTTTAAATAAATTATAAATTTATAACAAACTTTATGCTTTTCATATGAAGCAAATTTTTTTTGAATTTAAATAAATAAAATAAAATATTAAATAAAGAATGAAAATGATCATTGAATACAAAAATATACATTTTGTGAAACTAAATTTCATTGCATGATTAAAACAATTGAATTTTTGTTTCATTACCAAAAATTAAGAATAGAAAAACCTTATACATTTGTACACTAGTTATTTTTAAGGTTCAATTTATTTTAAAGTTAGCTTTATGATTATGTGTATTAGCTTGGCGACAACGTTAAAAAAATGTTTGAAATAATATAGTTGATGATTGAAATTTTTGTGACATACATCAATACAAGGCTTACATTAATCTATTATGAATTCAATATTGAAATACATTAAAAAAAAAGAGTTACAAAAATGAATTCTATGACATGTTTTTCTATAATATTTGATTATGTTATATATAGAGCTTTGTATTTAAAAATTTGCATATCAATATCGAAAACTAATTTCAAGCACTACGTTAAACGTCTAACTTCTAACCGTCATCGCGTGTCTACAATAAAACCAGAAGATACCAAATATTGTAATCTGTTAGTTTATCGGAATCAGTGAGATTTAATTTAGATATTTATTTTTTACGGTTTTTATAATTGTATATTTTTATAATATTATACATACTATTATTCATGCTCAGGTTCACGATAAATGACTAAGGATTTGTACTTCTATCATGTAATATATATACACAAATATATTTTGTTATCGTTCCGGTTGGAGTACTTTTTGTTTGACGGACATATATATTATATTTTAAACTAATGATTATGATAAAAAATTTTATATTCAAGTTTCATATGTGGGGTGGAAATAATTTCTTATTTTGAAGTATAGTCTATCCATGTTTAACATATTTACTGTATATACGAGGTATTCAATTTACTTGATAAGAGTTCATTGTGTCCATTGGCACTGCCAACGGGGATACCATAAGAAGATTCTCCGTGAAGCTTTATATGCAGCTACTGCATGATTTCCTTCCAAGGACAGGTGGAAGACACGGAAAAGAAGTTCAGACGTCAACGGAAGAAAGCTGCCAAGATGAAGTCCGCAACGACTTGCGATTGAAACTTCCCCTTTAACACGAAAACTGAATCATTCCTCTCCCGCTTCCAAATTGGCGCTCAGACAGCGCGATGCGCGCCACGACACATCTCCACCGTGGATCTTACCAACATCGTACGGATGCCGGTATCGATCCGCGACATCCAAGGCAATTGGATGAAGTTCGAGTCGAGGTATATATACAGCGTAACTCCTGCCGTCTTTCCACCACATCTAGCCGACGTAGCCTCGAAGGAGACAAACATTCACCTTGCATCTTCGTCATTTGAATTCGAACTCGATACTGAGATCCAGATTCAGCTCGTCCGCGTCTTCCAACAGACAGACTCAGCTCCGTTCGAGAAGTCGGCGCGATGTCTCGAGGAAAGGTCACTGGCAAGAAGACTGTGTCCCGCAGCCAGAAGGCAGGCTTGCAGTTCCCTGTGGGCAGAATTGCCCGATTCCTGAAGAAAGGAAGATATGCGACACGAGTCGGCGCAGGAGCTCCAGTTTATCTCGCTGCAGTCTTGGAGTATCTCGCAGCAGAGGTCGGTTTCGGATTCGATGCAATTCGATTCGTCTTTGGCGTTGCGGTTAGTTCTTCTGGCGAGTATTTTCTCGTGGTTGGTCCGGGCTAAGCTTGTTGTGACGATGTTGTTCAGGTCCTGGAGCTCGCAGGCAATGCGTCAAGAGACAACAAGAAGACCAGAATTGGGCCCCGTCACATGCAGCTCGCTGTGAGAAATGACGAGGAGTTAAGCAAGCTGCTCGCCAGTGTGACAATTGCCAATGGTGGTGTTCTCCCAAATATCCACTCAGTGTTGCTGCCCAAGAAGTCAGGAAAACCTGCCCTCTCGCTCGCCGAGGGAAAAGAGTAGATTCTTGCTTGATGTGGAGATCGCCGACGTCTGGAAGATCGATCTCAGAAATGGTTCGTAGAAATAATTCAGTTATGGGTGCCCACATGCCGTCCAGATGATGTTTCCTCACAAACGTCTCCCACAGATGCCGAAGTAGAGAGTTCAGCAGCCTGCTGAAATATTAGATACAACAAAGAGAACGAAAGATGTGAATATTACCGACACCCTGATGCTCAACGCGGGAGATGTCATGTACAAATGTTGAGCCCAATTTCTGAATCAAATATCGGAATAGATAAATTTTTGTTACGAGATCCTGCGCAACGTGTTTCTGGAATTTCTTGGTCAAATGAGCTGAAATGAGGTCACGCTGATGGAGTGTTTTGTACATTGGAAGTCAGCAGTTGAAATTGAAAAACTGAAAAATCTACAAAATTGCTGATTGCTGGATCCAATAGAAAAACTCTGCGAGCAGTTTATTTCAGGTGAGAACAAACTTTTCCTGGAACGAGTAAATTCCCACCGACGAATTAAATCCCAGTTTATTGAGAACAATTTACAATAATCAGTTGACGGTAAATATCTAGAAGTTAACAATTGCAAATAAGATTTGAAACATGTGAAAAGAATAAAAATTAGGAAACAGTATATTGATAATTCTACAATGTATATGAGAGATGAATGTGAACACTATGATGGTCAAAATAAATATCATACTTAAAATATATAGCTAGTTAATTGTCAGAAAGCCACAATATTCTTAAAATCTCAATTTGAAAATCAACAGATTTAACGCGAGCACAGAGAGAAAAACATTAATACTCAGGGAAATAATCTTTGCCCACCTATTTTGACAGCCTACATGGTGCAAAGGAAAATGTCCATGAACGGATCATTTCTCGTAACCTGAGCAGGAAAAATGCACGGAATTAAGGACGATGCCAGAGGGAGCATGACTGTTAGGAATCATTTGTACAAACTCAATATCATACTTATATCAGATCTCAGGATAGTGGGATATAGTTAAGAAATTTCCCATGGTTTTTGATTATTATTCGTTGGATCGGCAGGCAGAAATACGGAACATATGAGCACATCCGAGAAGAAAGAAGAATTGCCTGTAAGATGTCAGTATCATATGTAGATATGTTATCGTGATAGTTGCCCGAATGCAGCGCGGATTTCCGATGGTTTCGAATTGTTACAATTGAAACACTTGCAGAAATACAAGATAGGTGTTCTACTGGAAACACATTCTCGCCCTTTTTGATTTGTCACGTTAACAGTGCTATGGCCGCGTGATCCGGTAAAGCGATGACGTTGCATTATCAGATGGACTTCTGTGAGCTTGATACATATTGAATATCAAAACAAAAACTTCTTTGTTTCTTTATTTTTTTGTGCAAGAAGACTACGTAATCATCAGACTTTTTAAAAATGAGATAATCTCACTTGTGCAAAGCCGGTGAGATGAATAATATTTTAAAAAGTGCAAAAATTTGATAAAGCATTGACTAATATGCAAGAAGAATTATACTGAATTGAAGATATTATATATTAGAGTTGTAATCTTCGTTTTGGGGTCATGTAATGTTATGTAACTTATAACATATTATCAAACTGAAAGATACGCAATGAATGCATATATCAAATTATATCATGTAAAATAATTCAATTTAATTTGAGTAAAAATAAGAAATTACGAATTTTGGAATTTTTTTTTAAAAGCTAAACAATCACATCAATGATTGAAAATGTATGATAATTTCTTCTATTAAAAAAGTATTCGTAAATATCATTGATTTATATTTCATACACGCCAAATTTTGCAGTATATAGTAAATAATATTCAAACGAGTGAATTATATAGAGTTGTGAATGTAGATAATAATAATTCCTCAATAAATACTTTTCATGGTATCCAAATACATTGTATAATCACATTAGAAGGAAAAAGTTTTATGTTCGATGTATCTCCAATGAAACAACAGTCTTAGCTGGATAAGAACAAGGAATACTAAATGTAATATGGTAATATTGAAAGTCATAAAATTATGGTCAAGAATATATAAAGTTGAAGATTTAATTTCAATCAAATTGAATTTTTATTTAGAATTTTTATGGTTTTATAAAGTAACCGAAACTGGTGTGGAAGATATAATATTTATGCTAAGTTTTTTTCCTTGAAGATTGGACGTGGAGGCTTATATGAAGGTCAAGGATTCAGTCTTGAAAATGCAACTCGACTTGAGGAATGAAGAAGCACCCAACTTCGTAGTAAGAAAGTTAAGCTTTTCTTTCATATAAGAACCTCGACTGGCTATATTGACATGTCACCGTCCATGTCGACGTGGAAGGAAGAACATGGCGGGATGGGTTTTCCCGCGCGAAAGGCCTCGAGAGCAAGAGAGCAGCGGGAGCTTGAGAGCTTGAGCAAAGGCATTCGGGCCAAATTTCTTGACGCTACGAGAAATGTGCTGAATTGCGCCTCCAGACGACGAGCAGAAGATTGTCTGGAGCCATGACTGATGTGTCGGCTTCTTCCCCGCATCCTTACACCGATGGTCGGTCTGACTAGATTTTGAATTCAGCCTGTCAAGTTTCCCGACGATAGCTGCGAAAGCAACTTGCTCATGATGAAGTTGTGATGAAATCTTTGCAGGACCGTCATCCCCAGGAAGCGATGCAGCTGAACCAACTTCATCCGGAGGCCAGCGCAGGAGGGAGCGTAGGAGGTCTGTAAGTCGAGCTTCTTCAGGCGGCTACCCGAGCTCACCTCTGGATTTTGGAACTCCAAATGGAACACCTCAAAACACTCCAAATTTTGGTGGAACTCCGAATTTCGGAACTCCTATTACTCCACGCAATCGGCATACGTATCCTCTCCAACTGTTGTAGAATTGTTTTTTCTGTATGTGCCCCACTTCCGAGGCTAGAGTTTCTTTGTTGAGGCTTCGGAACCAGTCATCTTGCTCTCTCACACAGCACCCAAACGATAGTCACTTCGAGTTTTGTCTGTATATCTTTCTCTGTTATCCAATCGGACTGTGTGTAAATCTCTGTGAGCAAGCTTATCTTGGTCTATTTCCTTGACGAAAGTTCAGACCTCTCTACAATGCGAATCGTTTATCTTCTGGCATACGACGTAGATTCCGTCAACCTGCCACATCTCCAGGGGCTACACAGGTACTGAGACCCACTTGGCTTTCGTGTCAAGTTATGACATTTGCGATTGTCCTGGTACATTTCCTCTGAAACCAATAGTCCACAAAGTTTTAAGAAATCTTTGATCTGGTTTTGCTTTGCTCAGACAGGACCTTCTTCCGAAGGCGGTGAGCCTGAACTCGGTGCACAGCAGCTCGTATGGGGTACAAATATATGCGTGGAGGATGTGGAGCGAGCTGTTGAAAGGTTTATCAAGTACTACAGAGATAAGCCGGACGACCTGGAGGCGAAATACATGAAGCACTTAGAGCAGGTCAGACCCTTCAATACTGGTAGCAAGATAATAGAAAAGACTAAGATGGGCCTGTGCATCCTCAAGGGCTTAGACTTAATTCACTAAGACATGGAAGACAAGTGAAATCACGATCACATTTTCCTGGATGTAGGTTCTAATATTGCTCATTGTCACAAACGCCATGACAGATGTTGCTGTTATGGCATTCAGCATTCACTATAAAATTTAGCGGCTTTACAACAATGTCCACGATGCATTTGTTTCTGCTTGCCAAACTTCAGCAATGCATGTGCAGATCATCACCGAGGAGCTAAATACGTTAAACATAGACGCAAGAGACCTGTGGAATTCTGATGAAGACTTGTACGTGAAGATGGTACGATACCCTCTGGAGATTCTTGCGATCTTCGACATTCAGATCGGAAAGATGGAAAAGCCGATTGCCGAGGCTATCAATCCCAACTTTGATAACCACATTCAGGTTCTTTTACTACAATCCACGACAGATGGCCTGATTCTGAACTGTACTTTCTTGAATATATTTAACAGAATTGTACTGTAAGTCTGAAAGGTTCGCATCCCTATGACAATCTTGTTCCCTGCGAGCTAGTTTGTCAAATTTCATTTCTTATAAAATGGAGCCTTTTGCTGCAGGTACGGTTTTACAACCTGAAAGAATCAGTGAACATGCGGGATTTGAACCCATCAGGTAACCATCGAGACCCTCTCATTCTACATTTGCGAGATATTTTCTCTAGAATATTAGGTTTGTCTAGAGCTGCTACTAACGTTAATGTGGTTTTTTTACAATCAGATATCGAAAAGATGGTGTCTGTCAAGGGCATGATAATTCGATGCAGTGCCATCATACCGGAAATCAAAGAAGCTTTTTTTAAATGTCTTGTGTGCGGATATTCTCCTCTCCCTGTCGCTGTTGAGCGAGGTAGGAGAACAAATTACAGTTTTTTGTTTCTTTCAGTTTTCTTCACTCCAATTTATATCTGCAATTTTTGTTTTTTAGCGGAACCGAGTCAGTTGCTATGTCTTGACTCTGAACCACGACGTATATACAGGACTCGTTGATGAACCTACACGTTGTCCGCGAGAAGAGTGTGCCGCCAGGAATTCTATGTCGTTGATACACAACCGATGCAGGTGAAGGCCGTTGGCTAGAAAACTCTGAATGTTTTACTTAGACAACGTCGATATCCTCTCTGTCTTCCCTTCTGCAAATCAGTAAAGGGGACGAGGGTGGAAATATATATCCCATGCTTTCTCAGATTACCGACTGCAGTTCCAGCTGTGGGATAGCCAAAGTCTATATTTTGAGGTGCACGGTTTGATGTCGATGGTGAATACATTGTTTCCCAGTGGATTGCAATTTCATCTATATATACCGCCTTGCATTTCTTACCGGAGTTTTTAATCTTGCAGATTTGCTGACAAGCAGCTAGTCAGATTACAAGAGACGCCGGACGCCATCCCTGAAGGAGAAACTCCGCACACAGTTAGCTTGTGCATGTATGACACGCTTGTTGATGCCGCAAAGCCTGGAGATCGTGTGGAGGTGAGCTGCGTTACGGTTATTTCACCATGTTGGCCTTCAAGATTCAGAGCACTTGTAAACGTTCATCCTCCTTATTTTCTGATTATGTCATCTCCGTGTACAGGTTACAGGAATCTTCAGAGCGATGGCTGTGCGACTTGGGCCTGCACAAAGAACTCTGAAGTCCTTATACAGGGTAAAGCATCATATTACTTCTGACACTTGAATCTTTATGAAAGGCTGGTTTCCTGAGTTTTTGTCTACCACCAATTTAGTACTTTCTTTCTGCTGTTTATTTCTCCTTCAAGCTCTGTATTTGTACCAGGATGACGAGTCTTGAGTTAGCTAGTAAAGTAGACCAAGAAGATCTGGATAAGGGTGTACTAAGAGCAAACTTTCACTATTTTCCAGACTTACATCGACTGTCTTCACTTGAAAAAACAAGACAATTCTCGTATGCAAGCAGAGGATCCTCTCGAACAAGACCAGAACAACGATTACTTCTCCCCTTTTCCAGAGAGCAACCGTACTCCTGAGGAGTCTGAAGCGCAGGTATTTTGGGTTCCAGTTCGTGATTACTATTATGAGAAATGCCTACAATGTATGTCCATTTGCCATTAATAATCTCTTTGAAGAGATTGGAAAGGGGTATGACCTTGAGTCATAGCTTCTAATTCTTACATGTAATTTTGTTTATGCCTCAGATCCAAAAACTCAAAGAGCTATCTCAGCTGCCGGACATTTACGAAAGGTTGACGAGATCCTTAGCTCCCAGTATATGGGAGCTGGAGGATATTAAGAAAGGTCTCCTTTGCCAGGTTAGATATATCTTGGTCCCTTGGAAACCTGTTTGGCATGTTTGCCCTTCTTTATCATGCATGGTTCCCGTATGTAGCTATTATAGGTATAATAAGCTTGTCGCTGTTGAAGAAGGCTCTTCAGTGTAAGCACTGTAATTGCCGTTCTACGTTTCAGCCCTTGTCAGCAGAACTGAAAATTGGCGTTCTTTATCGAAACTGCTAGCTGAATTCCTCATCATGCTTGATTGGGTTCAGCTTTTTGGTGGATCTGTCAAGAAACTGTCATCTGGTGCCTCTTTTCGTGGGGATATCAACGTTCTTCTCGTTGGAGATCCCGGAACAAGCAAGTCACAACTTCTGCAGTATGTGCACAAGCTTGCTCCCCGTGGCATTTACACGAGTGGGAGAGGAAGCTCAGCGGTGGGATTAACAGCCTACGTCACAAAGGACCCCGAAACCAAAGAGATGGTAACAGATTATACTTCACCAAACTTTATATGTCTAGAAACGAGCTAGCAATTATCTCTTTGCAGCATGTTATCGAGGTTTTGATGGCTACTGTTGCTGTTGTATCCCCTTAGGTGATGTCCTGTACCAATGGTTCTACTGAACTTACGTTCTCATACAATTCTATCATGTGACGAGCGCAGGTTCTGGAGAGTGGGGCTCTAGTGCTTAGTGATCGTGGTATCTGCTGCATTGACGAATTTGATAAAATGTCAGACAATGCAAGGAGTATGCTCCATGAGGTGTGTATTCCTGTGTAATGGTCTCTTTTTAAGTCAGCTGAGCCATAACCTCAATAAGTTTTACTTTAGGAGCTCTAAACGAGATGTATTGTGCTCTTAAAATCTTGCTTAGTCAGCTGTTACTGCACACCCGCATTGTCTCAAGTAATTTTTGGTTGAGTCGCATGAACGGTAGTCTTACTTCGCTACCTGTTATGACGTTAGGTGATGGAACAACAAACTGTTTCAGTTGCCAAGTCTGGCATAATTGCTTCACTTAACGCGAGAACATCAGTTTTAGCTTGTGCCAATCCAAGTGGATCACGGTACAACCCACGTCTGTCTGTGATAGACAACATTCATCTACCACCGACTTTGCTCTCCAGGTACAGAGAATGAGATCTTTTTCTGGATTAATTCTTCCTTGAGTCAATGTCAAACACGGGTATGCTTGATGCTGTCACTAACACAAGTATTTTCTAGGTTTGATCTCATCTACCTCGTCCTAGATAAACCAGATGAACAGAATGATCGGCGTCTAGCGCGACATTTGGTGGCCTTGCACTTTTTGAATCCTCAGGTATGCTCAAAATCACTAAACGTTCAGCTGCTTCCGAGTGCAGTTAGCTCCTAATCTCCATGAGCAAGTGATATGATCAGCTGTTGGTTTACAATCTTTGCGTTCGAAGTCTAAGTATGCATATATTTCCAGGTTCGAATTCAAGAAAGCCTGGACTTACCAACACTCACATCATACATAAGCTACGCCCGACAGCACTGTCATCCTAAACTTTCTGATGAAGCTGCGGAAGATCTCATCAACGGTTATGTTGCTATGAGGAGGAAAGGAAATTTCCCCGGTAGTAGTAAGAAGGTGAGAAGACAAATGGTTGATGGTTTTGCTTCTTTGTCTTGCGTTGATCCTAGTGTATTCTGCCATAGAGCAGCGTTCAAGATTTGTCGCGTGTGCATTCCTCGAAGTTGAAAGGAGTATCGGTTGGCTCTGCTTGCAGGTTATTACTGCCACGCCGAGACAATTGGAGAGCATTATTCGGCTCAGTGAAGCACTCGCTCGCGTGCGGCTTTCGGATGTGGTCAGTCCATAATCGCTTGATTCTCTTTGTACCCTCTTATTTTGAATGTATCATCGATTTTATTACAAATTGCGAGTTTAATACCTCGCCCACTGTCATTCATTCTTTCCAAAATCAATTCGCTATACTCTTTGCTATGGATCAACTCTTTACCAAAATGATTATACACGACATCCGATTACGACATCATAACTGTACCATCTCCTAATTCTAAAATACTTGAGAGTTAACATCATTCTTATGTCCGTCTGAATCCACAGGTAGAGAGACGTGACGCTGCAGAAGCATTAAGATTGATGGATGTTGCCCTTCAGCAGTCAGCGACAGATCATGCCACAGGTATAATTTGTATTCTTCATTGCATGGGAGGACGACACATTGCCTTGAAAGTTACAGTAGTACTGAGCAGTGGAAAATTGTCAGTCTCTTGTGACAATGAGACCTTCTGGCGAGTGCACGATAGTTCTCATAACAGATTAAGTCCCTTCATTGATGAGCTGCAAAGTATAGTTTCTGACGCATCTTACAATCCTTCATTTTGCTTCAGGCACTATCGACATGGATCTCATAACAACGGGAGTGTCAGCAAGTGAGAGAGCTCGACGCTCCAACTTAGTGGCGGCCGTGCGAAGCATGATTTCTGAAAAGCTACAAGCTGGGAATTCTTTTTTGAAAGCACCGCAAGTACGTGCTGTTGGGACTGCCAAGCAAGTTTTCAGAAATTCTCCGTTTGTTTTAGTTGGAATAATCATTCTGACAAATTTTTTTTTTTTTTGACAGCTCCTTGAGGATATGAGGAAGGACTCTACGGGCGAGATTACCCTCAACGATGTAAGTATCCCAACCTGAAACTTTAAGATACTTGGCTTCTGCTCCTAACAGTTTTCATCAGCATGTCTTTTCATTCTCCTGAACGATAGTTCTCTTCTCTATCATAGGCTAAATGAATCCTCAAACCATCTCAAAGAATTTCTAAAGCTGTGGAAGTATCAAAGGTTCAATATGAGTCAAGACGGTGAGCAACTAAGTTAATTATACCATCTGGGTATACCTGTATTTTTTCTTACGAGTTCGTTGTGGTGCATGTGCAGCTACGCAATGCTTTGGCCTCCTTGGCTGTTGAAGGTTTTATTTCGCTACAAGGCGACACGATTCGAAGAATATAACAGCTATTCTCTTTGAATTGTCTTCCTTTAGTAGAAGGCAGTGATATATTTGACGATACGGAGGTGTAGAGATGAAGACCAAGCGAAAGGTACCATTTTAATGTAAATTAAGTCTGCGGACACTGTCAGCCGTAGATCAAAACAGAAGATTCGTAGTGTATATAAACAGAATAACATTGTTTGCCCATGCGGTAAAATCAGGCATACCTTTAGTTTACCAACGTCAACTTCTTGTGTCTTGCCTGGGTGCATCTGCATCAGTGTGTCGAGATATCATGCGATGTCACTTCTATCCTGATCACAATCATCTTGAGGTTCATTTATTGAAATTGCAAAATGAAGTGTCATATCAGATCCCTGGAGCACTTTCTCGTGCAAATAACTATATTACAACTTTGTTCTAGAAAGTATCCGGTTCTGGAACCGGATCAACTTCCTAGAACCGAGGATGCGTATCAGCCATACCGTAACCACCCAGATCTTAGAATACCGGTGTACATCCAGGCATAATATGTATGATATGCACGCATGACATATATGTATTGTGACACGGATTCTAACATCTGTTAACAACTCATCGTTGTGAACGAAACCACTCGCTTTTCTTACCATTACGTGAATGTAAGAACAGGGCAATCACGAACTGTAGAGATGAATGTGTACGAAAAGAAAGGAAAAGACTATCGAGGTCAAGGTAAAAAATATGACGGAAATTTTTGTATTCTACAATTATGAATGTCATGAGGACAGAAAAACGCGAAATCTTGGTTGTACGTTTCCAATATTGAAAGAGTCATGCTTCATCTTCTAAATGTGAAGTGACTTGATCGCAAATCAAAATGTAGAAGTGTGTTAACTTAAATTTAGATAAATTAACATGTCGATAAGTGTGAGAAAAAAGATAACCTAAAATTTCGGGGCTGTATCCTATCAAAAGTTCAAAATAAAAAGAACGACATTTTCTCCAAAATTTGATGTTAGCAACTTGTCGAATTACTTTCCATACATTTCTCTTATATGACCGATATAATCTTAAATGTATAAATTGATCGTTGTTCTTAGCGGATACAGGAGTACAAATTAGGCGTAACATATAAGACATGAGTTGAGAAGTACAGTGGAATTTTTAATGATATGATAAGAAGTGTCATCTATATTGAGCATTGTGTTTAGTCATCTTGAGTATTGTGTTGAACATGCAGGAAGAGCGAATATTGAGATGTATCATACTCTAATTCATTCAATTTGAGTATTGTGTTGAACATGCAATAAGAGCGAATATTGAGATGTATCGTACTCTAATCCATTCAATTTGAGTATTATGTTGAACATGCTATAAGAGCGAATATTGAGATGTATCATACTCTAGTTCATTCAATTTGGATGGAGAAAATGCTAGATCAAAGTCATTTTCATTTCGAAAATAAGATGTTGGAATTTCAAGAAAAAAACAAACTGAATAAAGAATATGAAGAATACCGTATTTAAGATTATTTTTGATTGAAATCATGTTATGTTTATTATATAATTTTACATATAATAAACATAACTATATACTATATGGTTATATTATGTAAAAACATCGATCTATCTAAGAAATTTTCACAACAGTGTATCTAGTACATCGTCTAGCTCTCAAATTGTTAACAAGTAGTTCGGAATCATGAAGGCAAAACATGACTAGCTTATGTAAGAAACTAAGGTGGAACCTTTTTTTTCTGTTGATGTGAAGCAAATATACATTAAATTGAATCACATTAAATTTTCGTATGTACTTTTCTATAACCCAAATGCTAGATGAACGAAGCTGGTGATTAGCATGTGAAAATGAGATTACTTCCAAGTCATGATTGTTACTTACCCGTATTCTGATATATGTTGTAAGAATAATCGCTGCAACATAGATCCCCATTGGAGGAGCTCATCGGAGGACAAATACGAGGTTCAAGGAACAAATCCGATGTTCCTAACATCTGCATACCATCATATTTTGACTCGATTGACTTTATGACATCAAAAGCAAAATTTCCATGGAAACTCTCCATACTTTTGTGCAATTTCTTTCTTCTGAATTTGAAGCTGTCTATATGAGTTTTAATAAGTGCAAAGGCTGAAATCAAAATCTTGAATCGCATTGATGCTTGTGAAAAAGTGTCATTTGTTTTATAAATTTATGGAATATTTTTAAACTGACAAGTAGGTAATAAAATTGAAAATACTCAATCAAACAGTACAAATAATGAAAAAATGACCAGACCCTAATTACTTGAATGTCTTAATTAAATAATACTTCTTTCAACCTTGAGTCCCTCTACTTATCAAACCACTTCTCTAGCTTCACGTCAAACCACCGCTCTTAACAAAATCTATGTTTTACGCCGACAAAAGAGAACTCTGTCAGAGCTATTGTATGTAATACAATAGCTAAGATCTTTAAATATTAAGTTAAGAAACGAAACACCATCCACCAATATTATGAGTTAGCTTTTAGGGTGTGATAAAAAAAGGTCAGGTGATTGATCAATTACTCAGATGTTGATATCCAAAAGGTTCTCACTGATCACGAGCAGAGTTGCACCATCAGCTCAAGGTAACTGGTTCCTCGATATTTGGTAAGCTCGTTAACTGTTTAGAGTCGACTCCAAAACTGAACCGAACTACGGCCCGGCCTCCAGAAATCGCGTACACATGGCAATAGGAATGGCGGTGTATTGTATCCTGGATCAACGAGGCCATTATCGACCGCGCCCAGAGATGTGGACGCAGTTGACGTAAGCTAACTGCAGCGTCTACGAGGTTTTCCCTCGTTCTCTGTCTTGCGTCCTCGTGTTCAGCACAGTCGTCCGTCTGCTTATGGCGGTCCCGTGGGCTTAATCTCTCCTGTGGGCATCCGACATCCGACAGCCATCAGAAATTTGACACCATCGGGCCCCGTGCTTTTCTTGGTGGTACTGAATGGCGTCCGATGGTGTCAAATTGCTTCTGGGTCACCTCGTGCTACTTGTCAGTCCGGTTCGTTTTACTCTTCCTCGGGAGCTTTGATCTCTCAGTTGCTTGACGTCGTTGTTCTGTTGGGAGCTTGCTCGATAAATGCTGCAGCATTTTGTCTGTCGGCCCGCGAGTCCCTGCGTTTGTCGAAATTGCGCAAATTGGTATTACTGTCGCACTCTTTTGGTTTCCTGATTCAAATCTTCTTCTTGGACGGCTCTTGGCGCTCCCGAAGAGAAGAAGGGGCCATCGGCAGTTGTGTGTGCAAGTGTATATCTCTCTCCCTCTTCCGGGTGCAGATGTTCTGAGATCTTGCTTTTGTTCATATGTCTGATATTTGAGCATCTGTCTTTTCTGCCAGTGCAAATATTCAATTTAGCCCTTCGCTCTCGATTCTCTCCTCCGTGCCGCAGTTAGCGCCTCCCGCCTCCGTGTCAAGAGTTGTTCTACTAGTCTACCCATTCCTCTCACTGATCTCCTTGTGCTCGAAAGGACAGAAAATAATCTGCCCGGATCGATCAGGAATCAATGCCACTAAGAGTTTTATTCGTAAGCCCGTTAGTCTATTCGTCGCTCGTCCACCGTAGAATATTATAGGACAAAGAGGCCGAATTGCGAAAATGGCACGCTCATTTGAGAGGCGATATTCAAGACATTGCGAAAGTAATTGACTTTAAGGTTGAGTTCTCTCTTATCGCACTTTAGGGCTTGGTTTATGAAATTTGCAGTAATGAAATCTGTAAATCATCTTATCTGTTGTAATCCTGAGGACCTCGGTTGTTTCCTGGTATGCACAGAGACAAGGATTTTGTGCCTAAGAGGATTGAGACCCTCCAGCCTGGGCAATTGAATGGAAAGGAATGTTTTGCACCGTTCGAGTATCGAGTGAATGGATCATAGGTTGTGCGCTGATGTCCTTGTAAGTGTCAACGGTGAAGACTTCATCACAGTCATTCATGCAGTAGACAGGTTGATGAGAAACGAGGGGAGAGCTCCCGGAAGATTTTGAAGGATTGTGGGTCATTTAACGACAGAAAGAAAGATGAGGACAAGTGTAGACAAGAGGAGAAAAGTGAATGATGGCTTGCCCGAATATGCCAGAAGGGCCAAACCGCAAGTCAGAAGACAAAATTCGATTGAAGCTGGGATAGTAAAGAGCCGCTTTAGAGGTGATCGGCTCCACTGGACAGATGTTGGAAACAACGGGAGAGCCGATAATTTTTATGAACAAATCGAGCATAAGAGAGAAATGTTGGAATCGTCGAAAGGAGATGGTAGCGAGCTAGCGTCACAAGGAAGGAATGGGTGGTGCATAACAAAAGAGATTGCGGTTAGGGACGATCCGTTAAAGAACAGGAATATTTATGCAGAGAACAACCTCGATATCGACAGGAAGGGTATGCCAAAAGAAAAACTTCGTGAATCACGAAACGATGACGAAGTGAGACGATTAGCACATATTTCCAAAAGAAGCAGAGATGAAAACATCAGACATCTAGTGGATCCCAAAAAGAAGAAGAAAAGTGAGCAGGAATTGGAACCAAAACGAGAGCTTTTGAGAAAGTCCCAAGCCAAGGAGATTAACCATGTCTCTGGAGGTACCGCTGCAAGTGGAGGAGAGAAAGGAAATAGTATCTCTCAGTTGGAAACACATTCAGCAGTCGTGCATTCCGAGTTGCTGGAAGAATGTGGATTGGCGAATCAAGTATACGACGTAGGACACAGAAGGGATGGTGAGGACCATACGCGGCATGTCAAAGATGGAAGTAAGGTAGGGAATGGACACAAAGCCGACAGCCATGAAGGTCTCCCAACGAAGATCAAGGAGAGGACGATCACTCGTTTCCATCATGGCACTGGACGTTTCGATGCTCCTTCGCAGCGGAAAGATAGGCTGTGTAGTGTAATCTGTGAGTACAACACAAGCCCTGTACGCCATGTTGGATATGAACGCAAGAGGGGCGGAAGTGCGCGCGGGTATGATGGACAGCATAGAAGATTTCCGCGGGAATCCGTAAGAGGATATAGTAAGGCGGACAGAAGAGTGGAGAGCAAGATTCGTTACGGGAAGAATGTCAAGGAAAAGGATGAGAGATTCACGAGAAGGAGACCGACGTACAGGGTGCAGGAGTATGATAAAGTGCGAAGGCAGTCGCACAAAAATGCCCAGTATCTAGACAATGGTGTTGTCAAGGAGAAGTGGGAGCTATGCACTCGAGCACTAAAAACGAGAGATGGAACTGCCATGATAGACTTGACGGAAACCAATTATGAGAATGCGTCTCTGATGACCGATGTCTGGGAAGTCAAGAGGATATTCAGTAGCAAGATCGTAGTTCCAGATTTGGAGTGGGAAGAGTCCAACCCCTTGTCTGCTTCCGTTCCGACTGAAAACGGTTTTGTGCGGGAAAGTAATCATGTGGAGGAGGAGAGCTCCAAAGCTCCTGAAGATGTTGGACAAGGTGTTCAGAGTCAGAGAGCCACTCAACTCGAAAAGTGCATCAAGACTGAGGGGTGTCCAACGAGAGGAGACGAACGCAGCAAGGACGAGGATGTCGAGGCAAATCAGGACAAGGCAGATGAGCATCGTGAATCTGAAGTCACTAAGTTGCAACATGAGAACTCGAGGCTGGCGGCGATTTCTAGGCTAACAAGGTCCGATGGAGGGGAGAAGACAAGTGCTAAAGTCCACGAGGTCAAAGAAAGACACGCAAGGCGAAAGGTGCGAGAGACCAAGCACAATTCTGAGCTCCAAGGTAAAGATGAACACAGACGCGGCTTGGAAGTTGCAGTGGCTCTCGGGAAGAACAGTTCTGACTTGAAAAGCACGAGGCCAGAGGGCATGATATCAAGGAAATCACCTGAAATGTATTTGTCGAAAGCAGTCAAAGGTGGTAAAGAAAGAAAAGTGAAGTCTAAGGAATATGTCTTGAGAAGGCAGGCAATAAAGGTAGGTAGGGCGAGAGATGTTGGTGGTCAGGATTTATCTTCTCATGAGCCTAAGCATCACAAGCACAGACGTAGGTCTTACTCTATATCACCCAAATTAAGAAATCTCTCACCTGAGAAAAAGGAACATGGTAAATCAATGTCTCCCCGAAGATCTGAAAAGGATCTTTCTGAATGGGAAAAGTTTGAAAGAGAGAGGAACAACACACTTGCTGCCTTTGACAGCAGATATCGTCGATTTGGAGGTGGAACCAGTGGTCTGGGAGGCTACTCACCGCGGCGACGGAGATCTGAGGCAGCCATCAAAACTCCATCTCCGCCTCCCCGGTCACCAGAGAGAAGAAAGCCTCGAGCATGGGACCTGCCACCTCCTGGAATGGATAGATCTATGGTAGCTGCCATATCTGCAGCTCATCAAGCAGCCGCTCATCAGGCTGCTATACAGCATGCTGCTGCCGTAGCCTCTGTTACTCCGCTTGTATCTGGTAGTGTGCATCTCTCTCCTGGAGCCACATCTGCTTCAGCTTCCTGTGGACTTACACCTGCTCCTACCATGATACCATCTCTTCTACACCAGGTGAATCCAGCAGTTACTGCAGTCACCTTGACCCAAGCAACAAGGCCCCTGAGAAGGCTGTACGTTGGAAACGTGCCTGCTACCGTTTCAGATGGAGAACTTCTGGAGTTCATGAATGCTGCAATGCTGTCAGCAAACGCAAATCACTTAGCAGGGACTAAACCATGCATCAACTGCACGGTAAGAGATGCTTTTATACTTTGTATTTTGATGTAGGAAAGATACTGTTTGTGTTAAGTGCGAAGATCTGCCCGTTAGATCGAAGTGGAAAAGCTGAGAAACCAAGGTTTCGTCAAATTGAAGTTGAACCTTTCTTCTCCTCTCAGGTAAATGTGGACAAGAGCTACGCTTTTGCAGAGTTCATAACACCAGAGGATGCCACTGCTGCGCTTGCCTTCGATGGTGTCACTCTGCACGGAACCACCCTGAAGATTCGGCGGCCAAAAGATTTTGCCCAACCAGCAGTAAGGAAAAAGGAAGCAGGAGAGAAGTTGATTTCCTACTTCATCTAATATATCAGAACCATCTAGATCAAACGGTCTATACAGGTTAATCTAGATACTTCTGATACATTAGTTGGAGTAGGAAATAATTACCATTGTCATGCTATAGGGGCCTAGCCCCATCCTACCTCCTTGGTTTCCTCTCTGTACGACTTGAAGGGGTCTTCCCATCCTTTTTGCTATATGACTCGCGCCTTACTAAGAAGCTGATATCTAGCAATTTCGTTGAATATTTGTTTCGCGCTTTGTACTTGTTTCCGGGGTATCGTTTCTGCTTAATGTCGCATAGGAGTGGTTTTCCGGAAAATATCGGTAAATGTACTAGCATACTAGGATCATAAGGGCAGGTCGAAGTTTCTGCATCTCTGAGTGGAATTAAGTGTTGGAATTCCACTATCTTGACGTCTGTTTATGTTCCTTTGATGTGCTTTCGTTTTTCGTTCTGTTCCAGGGGTTGATGCCTTTTGTACAATGTACGTTGTACAGTTATAGCTTTGATATATGAGAAGGCGAGGACAGTTTTTGGTCTTTGCCACTAGTTCATTCGTTATAGTGAACTAGTGACAAAGATACACCAGGTTGACATTGCGTCTCTAAGATGGGAGGTCCAATGAGAGTGAGTTGATTGTGAGAGGTTATGCCCTTTATTCTAAGAGCTGTTTACGGTAAATTGAAAAGCAGGCGAACTTCATTCGTATCGTGCAGGTCTACTTAAGCAAGTGAATGAGCCCAAAACATAGTCAGCGTAAATCGTCTGGAAAAAAAATTAAATATCTGTGAATTCTGAGGTAGAAAACCCATGCAACAGGAGTTTGGATTCAGATCGTCGCCATTGTGGTGCAGAATGGGGGAGCTGAAAATGCATCACCCATCCTTGACATGGTGTCGAGTACAGTAGCAGATTCTCCTCGGAAGGTAAACAAACTACATTGCGTTAAGCTGTACTGTGCAGTGCGTCCTAGTCGACCTTCGACATAATACGGAATCTCTCTGTCTATGAGTAAGAAAGTGAAGTGGCTGACCTGAATATGAACGGGTAAGAAATTTCCAAAGGTTGCTAAAAATGTCGCCCTTACGTTCTCAATCAACGTGCTCTGGAAAGAGATGCTGTCACTGGTGTACTGTCCCGTCGCTACGCTTACAGCGATAGGGTTGTGGTGTTCCAGTATGGAGAGAACGTATCTTGTGGCTTGTCTCGTTGCATCGTGTGCTTTCATCGTTGAGAGTTTCGTATGGTGCTAAAGTTTCAATCTACTAAGAAAGTAAACTGAAGAAGTTCATTCTGTTGAGGTTGAGAGTTTCGTATGGTGCTAAAGTTTCAATCTACTAAGAAAGTAAACTGAAGAAGTTCATTCTGTTGAGGTTTGTTCCTTCTGTTGTTCATAGTGTATCTTGTCGACGCTCAGGAGATCTTTTCCTGATTATGTGGAATTATGCCAAGTGTAGGTGTTCGTAGGAGGAATCTCATCATCCTTATCTTCTGAAAAAGTGAGTTCTGAACGATTGCTTTGAGATTAACCGAGAAACAAGAAACTGATTTTTTACCTATTGATGCTTGCGTTAAGAGTGACATGTCCTACGTGGAGATATATCATACTTCACTGGAATGTTCAAAAAATGTTCCCATATGGATACAAAGTTTTCTGTCAATGACGCCCTTGTAATGGTCTCGTCTCTCGTTGAACTTGATTTCAGGTAAAGGAGATAGTCACAGCATTTGGACAGCTTAAGGCATATCATTGGGAGGTGGACAAAACCAAACAGCCTTCACAAGCTTACGCTTTTCTGGAGGTGATTCTGCTTGTGGATCCTCCCCCTGCTACGTCGTCACGACTTCTAAACTGGCTAAAATTTTGTAAGAGCATTTAGTCAGTTTATGCAAGTCCATGTAATTTTTGCATGGCATGAAAGCACGGCAGTGGCTAGTGCATGTCTTCGTCATTCGTTTCTCCCATGATGAACACAGAAGCAGTTTCATGTTAACAGAGTAGGCTCTGAGAACCACCAAGTTGAGCGTCCTTGTCTGGCTTATGCAGTACATGGATCCAACAGCAACGCCTAAAGCTTGTGCGGGATTGAATGGCATGAAACTTGGAACAAGTTTTCTGACAGTAGTGCAGGCAACACCTGATGCCAGCCTTGAGGTTGGTCTTGTGTGCCTTGATTTCGTTATAGTTCGTTCTTGGAGCAATGCTTGCTGCTCTTAAAAGAAGTTAACCCTGCTTATTGGAAAAAGTGGCCTTTTTTGGCAGGTGGATTACACGGCAGTCCCATCTTATCGAGTTCCTGAACACGCGAGGCCATTATTGCAAGCCCCAAGTCGCATTTTGGAGCTGCAGAATATGGTCGGGTGCAGTTGTTGGAAAGTGCCGATTATTTCCGTTTCTAAATTTAAGTATATAGAATCTCATGTGATCTCCATTGTCTAACGTTGATTCTGGAGGTTTTCTACTATCGTTTGCTGTTGGAAATCTTGACCTAGCTGCATGATAATAGAGTTGATGGATGTTCGTTACTGGACAGGTGACTGAGGATGAGCTGCATTTGATGTCCAAACAAGACCTTGATGAGATAATCGAGGATATACGCCTGGAATGTTCAAGGTATTCAGCTGCACCAGTTCTAGTCCGTGAAATGTTGTTGAATTGTGATTATAATGTCAACAGGGCGGACTTTTCTTAGGGCGGACTTTTCTGGAAAACGAACTTTTTAGTTCCAGATGAGGACCCCACACAAATGGAATTTTAACCACGTTCTGGTTGACTGTTGCGAAACATGTCGCAGGTTTGGCAACGTCAAGTCCATGCACCTTGTCCAGTCTCGAACACCGCATTACCACGGAACGGAGAAAATAACACCTCCTTGTAGTAGGGAAGATCCTGGTAGTGAGGGAAGGTTCACAACAGGCTCCGCATCTGTGGAACAAGTAGTAGCTCTTGTGCAACAAAGTGCGCTCTCTGTGGGAGACTCACCCAATGAGAACCTACTGAGCTTCCCTTCACAAGAGACAGGCGGCAGTTGCTATGAGCAAGCTGATGAGAAGAATCGAATAACAAAATCAGACCTTCTATGCTACGGTGAGGTCACCAAGATTTCTGGTGACAAGAGCAGATGCAGTGGCATATTCGGCATAATCAGCACCGATACATCAGGGGCGCAGACTCCGAACACATTGACAACACTCGAAGATTTTGACTGCGAAAGTACATATTTAGCGGCAACCAGTGGATCGAAACCTGCGAAGGATGTCGAAGGAGATACACCTAGTGACTTTTATGAGCGGAGTACTGATAGTGCCAGAATCGGTGCATCGAAAGAAGGGTCAGATGCGTCCCCAAGGGAAGTTGGCTTCCTGCATGTGGGCAAAGTATACGTAGAGTTTTCAAGGGAGGAATCGGCTTGCCAAGCTGCCCACGCTCTTCACGGTCGCACGTTTGCAGGACGGAAAGTTTGGGTCAGCTATTTCCCTCTCAAAGTGTATCAGAAAAAGTTCCACAAGGGCCTCGGACCCCGTACATACGAAGAGAAGCAGGCCCTTGCCCTCGCCGTGCAGGGCCATTTGACTGCACACATCAAGGATTGAACCAGAACAGAGCTTGCTTCGAACTTCCCCTGGCTCAACACCTCGGTGATCCACCTGTCATCTCGAGTGTCGCTTGGAAAGGAGCACTTTGCTAGATAAATTTAGGTAGTCCAACACTCAGATACATTACAATTGATTTTACATTCCGGTTCGTCTCATACCGATCATACCTTGTAAATTGAATAGGGTAGTTCATGAACTGATTGTACTGAGGCGTCTTCGAAAGAAGCACCGTTTGGTCAAAGTAGCTCGTAACCCAGCGAATGATTGACTCCTTGGAGTGCAGTAAGTTGACATCCAGTACCGAAGGCAACCCAACTTGGGACTCGCAAATAAATCAAATTCCCCTATACATCGTGTCTGAATTCAATGGATCTCGCAAGGATGTGTCTAATGTCCCCAGGAAGTGGTTTATTGTGCCTGTCAGCTTTTGACTTTGTGGATTATCTCCGTTTTCCTCGCATGTTCTCTCGATGATACGAAAAAACTTTCGAATTTGTACACGATTGCACAACATCGTGCTAGAGTTGCAGAGTACAGAACAATTCCGGCGGTGAGGTCGGGAATCCACGTCCCAAATGTTTCAGATTCTTCGAAACGAGAAAAACAGGTCGTCCACGGATTGACCCTGTGGGTCCTGAAATTCATTCAGCAGGCGCGAGGTGCCCTACTTGGAACACCCGTCTCCGTAAGCTGCCTCCAATCGATGACTAACAGATCATCGACGGAGGAAACGTGCGACTCGGACAATTCCAGTGACCGGGAAAGCAAAATGCTCCGAAGTAGACGAGGAACGGCGATCGGTGAAATTCCTCGGAGCCAGATGCGAGATGAGAAGGGCAGGGGCCCGGGGCTCGTGCACCACTAGAGAGCAGCAGACAAGAGATTGCGTTGTTCGAAGCCAGTAGCCATCTGAACCCCATGCTCGCTCTGACTGTGTGCCCCATGTTCGTGAAAGCCGGGAAACGCCTTCAGGCAACAGAAGATTTCGCGAGATGCTTCGCGGCGACGGGGCGAGAGCATTTTGTCCCGAATAATTCTGTCATCCACAGTCTCGAGATATGTCACGGCCCAGACGGTCGCGCTGGCGACCAGACCTCCGACACATCGGCACCCGCCAGGCTCGCACGCCCGGTTACGTGGCACCGCACGTCCACGCGTCGGCCGTTCGACACCACAGCTGGAGAGTTCCGCCGGACGTGTCAAGTCGCCGTCACCTCGGCTCGAAAGCCCCACGAGTTCTCGGGCCCATATAAATTCCGAGCTCAGAGGCAAGTCTCGATAACAGTGAAATCACGACAAGCCGCCGACATTTCATCTCTTGCAATTCCACCACTGATCGAGTAATTCTCGCCCACTGTCTTTGTTTCTTCAATCGTCCTTCCTCCCGCAGCTACCAGATAGTCGAAGATGAATCCCTTGACCCGGCTGAGAATCAGTCTGCGCAGAATGGTGCACAAGGGCGAAAGGGTTGCAACTACTGCAACCCACCCCACAAGAGCTCATCACCATAGCACTACGACCGGGACAGGCCGCTGGAGCCGGAAGCTGAAGCGAGCCATGTTCTGGAGGAGAAGGTGAGATTTACGACGATGCTCAGCTGAATGTGGAATGGAATTCGTTTTGCACAGGCTTTAGAAGAAGTCACTACATTTTTGTCTGTGCTCTTGATAGAAGACATGTTTGCCGTTCTGAACTGCGATTTGCTGCGAGGTCTGCAATTTCTTCGTCACATTCTCGAGGATTTGCTCCGTTATCAGAAGCTCACGTCGTTTTCTTTTCTTCTCGTGCAGGTCCCATGCGACGGTGGCCATCTAGACTGCAGAGATTGCAGGGCATGGTTGTGAATCGCAGAAATTATAGAAGGCCACAGCAGCGGAGATGGTGCGGTCAGAGATACAGAGCGGAGCTGTCAATTGATTGAACTCTCTGCACCGGGTCTGGATTTGATTTTCTGGATCACTCGGCTCAGCTGAACTGCAGCGGTTTGGCTTTGTATATACGAATGGCTTTTTATGCCGAGTGTTGTTTTGTATATAATTTCTTCCGCAGAGGACTGTAAGCTGCTGTTCGCCTATCTCAGGACCTGATTGTGGTATTCTCTTAGCATTAGTTCATGCGACCCCGTAAGTCGCATTGTGATCAGCGCAGTCTTGAACGAATGTCGAAAGCTTCTGTACATCGCCAGGATCGAATGTTTCAACGACTGTCCTACAATTTAAAGGATGGGACCGTAGGCTAGTGAGATAAAATATCAGTCTTGAGTATTGTCTTCGCAATTGAAACCTCTTATCAATGGAAAACGAGATTTGTGTGGCAAATTGCAGTGTAAACTTTCTTTTTCTTACTTTTTGTGTCGAAAGTTCTGCAGTAATCAAGAATATATATTGATTCTTGTCGCGATATATCTTAGTTCCTAGATTTCAACTCAAATATTGATCTTCCATCTCTGTCAAACCTGCATTCTTCAGATGTGAATTATAGTCTTGTAAGAAAAACAATACTTCTACATAGATTTTAAAATGTTTACGTTTGATGGGTCTGTAACAAATTATCCCTTGATGGAATGTAAAGGAGAAGACCTTGTCAGTAAAGCAAACTTATGTATCTTTTACGTTTATAAGTAATACACCTCAGCTATGTCTACTTCGGAAAATATCATCAGACACTCGATTTGGAGAAAATAAAACTCCCATCTCTGTCAATCCTGCATTTTTCGGATGTGAATTAAAGTCTTGTAAGAAAAACATTACTTCTGCGTAGATTTTAAAATGTTTACGTTCGATAGTAATGTAACAAATTATCCCTTGATGAAATGTAAAGGAGAAGACCTTGTCAGTAAAGCAATCTTATGTATATTTTACGTGTATATGTAATATACCTCAGCTGTGTCTACTTCGGAAAATATCATCAAAAACTCGATTTGGAAAAAATATAAACTGAAAATTTGAACAAATCTCTGTTTAACAAAATATCGAAAATATAAATTTGTCTTAAAAAAAAGAAAATATCATTCAAAATACAATGCAGGCAATTATCAACACAATTTCACCCACCTTTAATTACTTCGTAACTAAAATTTAAAAACATACAAGTCAAGTATACATCGCGAAAAAGACAAATATTAGAGTAAATAGAAGGAAAAAGTCAACCACTCTCTTATAATCTGCAACACAATCTCACATTTGGAAAAACAAAAGTTTGGAAATCTAACTTCCTTAAATTATACACCTGTAATTACAGCTCCAACTCCAACAGTCGTTGAATTTATGCAATAGCGGAAGAAACTGTCAGAAATCCTCGCGCTCGCCACTTCTGCTTTATGTAACCTGCGACAGGTCTATCCATAGAAGGAAGGAGTTGACTGTAATCAGTCTGATTCGATGAAGACAACGCTCCCGAATGCCATCATGAGCTTCCTTCGTCTTCGCTGCGGTCCACGGCTGTGCACTTTCTTCCTCACCATTATTCTTCGCATTTCATGTCCAGGATTACATGTGTAGAAAGCCCTTCCACCAGATAAGCAAGTTATGACATTCCACACCAATTAATTCCGTATCTATGAGTGATATGAGCAGACAAATTTCTGATCCAACAACTAGCTAGCCCGAAAAACACTTTGGTGCTCACTAGCACAAACCTTCGGAAGTGTCCGTGATCGCTTCAGCATGCAACTTGCATTTGTCGTGCGTCAGTTCTGTTACTAGAGGTGCAGGACTCACTCGCACTGTTGTGTCCGTGACATCACAGCCCACCCCAGCCCCGGCGCACATCGCCAAACATATCGTTGGCTCTCGAAATTCTCACCTGCAGTCACCCTTCGTTCAGTGCCCCGCTTGCCCCACTGGACGTCCTCATTTATGATACGAGATCACAAACGAGAATGACCTCAATCTCGAACTTGCACTTTCCGAGCGCTTCTCCTTCGGGTCGGGTCAATGGCGGAGAGCTTTCGGAGCTGCTTCTGGGACCAGACCAGCCTCCCTTCTCATTCGTGCGCAGCAGGCAGGCGGGCCCTACAAGAAAAGGTCTTCCTTCAGCCGGGATCGATCCATCGGCACCGATCGAAATTCCATCCACTCGACAACACGGTGAGGGCATTCACTCATTTACTCACTCACTCGACCTTGCTTTGATTCGTCTGCTTCTCAAACTCCATAGACTGGCAGTACCTCAGCACTTTCTTCTCCACGAGAGACCACGAAAGTCAAATGTGTGCCCTGCGAATACACTCAGCGAGTGGGTGAGGCTGCGGATGTCAGATACCCTCGATACTCAGCGATGAACTCGAGCGCAATTATGATGGACTAGAGCTCGCAGATAGCTTCACACGACAGTTCACACTTCCAGGGAACTTTAGGGGGTGGGGGGGCGGACAGAGTCAAATAGATAACACAAAGTATAGCACATCCCACAAAAAACGAAGTGGATAACAAAAAAAAAATGGACTTACCGAAACTGGGTCAGAAGGCGTAGCCCCCAATGATATCACAGTGGCACTTATTATTTAGGAAACTGATCGTGTCTTAACAATGAAGGTTGTGGGAGTAGAGAGGTTCATGATGAAGTGCAAGTTATGATTTCACTTTCTCTCGCTGGGCGAGCTAGAGAGGGGTGCTCGATATACTAAGTCTACTGTGTCATGTACAATTTAGCTCACAACTGGTCGTAATAGTAGTGAGTGAAACATGCACACAGGTTATAATTATCATTATTATAACTATAAAAGTTTATCATTTATCCCACACAAGCTTCGCGGCGCTTGAGAGAGCAGATCAGTGCCTCTGATGCTCCCTCCCACTTGAGGACGTTGACGCGTGCATGGCAAACCTTCCGAAGGTTTTCGAAGCATTTTCGCCTCGAGATTAAGCCCTGCTTTTTTCACGGTTTTCACTTCCCGTGCAGCCTTGAAGACCATCTGCCGGTCAAATTTGTATATATATTGTTCATCAACCTCTTCTATTGTTCTGGATCGTTTGTGAGAGTGTCGTTTTGTTGCTTTGCACGGAGCACATTCGGATTCGGGTCCCATGGGATCGCCGTCCCCAGTGACGGTAGGTGGATTCACTTTTACAGGATTCCGACGACAAATGATGTTGCATCGAGGTCAGTGAATCACAACTGACACTGAGGTGGCCAAATGTTCCGACTTGCAACAAATAGGCTCGTTCCTTCTCTACGTCACCTGCAACTGCTCGGTCTATCCGCAAGTTTCACAACACATCTCCTTCCTTTCCTACATGCACGTATTTGAAAGAAGATCGAAATAAGCATCAGGTGATCTAGCACGAAAGAATCAAGCCCAATTTAACTTGAGCCTAGACTCCACTAGCATCTGAAATTAACACGTGTGGTAAATCTGAGCTATCTAAGTCAATTCATTTATAAACAGCAAACCGTCCTAAGATTTATCACATCATTCCTTCAGTAGATAAATTGTCCGTAAATGCTATATTTCTGTATTTATAGATTGAATTTGAAATTTGAACGAAACCTTTTTTTTTATTTATCTAAAACAAACATCATATTTAAAACTCTAGATTTTGAAAAGCTCATGTCATGTAATACAGTGATCATGGTTTTCATGTAAGTAAAACTGATTTTTTTTTTTACACTGAAAATAGGAATTATCTTTATAGAAAAATTCAATTTTTTTTGGGAATAATTTGCTTGTCAATCTCTTGGCAATATACTTTTAAGTGATAAAAAATATAGGTAAAAACAAGACACAATGACAGAAAATTAGAGAAAAAATTGTTTATAAGGTGCCCGTATATACACTCATAATCATAAATTAGTTACATTTCTTTTCAAATGTCAAATCAAAGTCATCAAAACCTGATTTCAAATTATGTCGAATCAGATTAAAATTTTGATCTGATATTGGTTTTTATAGTGTTTACAAGCATATCTGAATCAAGATTTGTTTCAAGTTTTTTCCAAAATAAAAAAGTAGTTTTTTCAATGACATGATACTGATATTTCAATTAATTTTGTAGATATTGAGTTAAGTATCTAGCTTAAGAAGCCAATTATAATTTGAAATAATAATACAGTGTGAGATTTTTTTCAGATAATATCTTTACCTTTTTACCTCTTGTAATATTATGATAATATTATAAATATAAGTAAATAAGTAAATAAATAAATAATTCAGACATAAATTCTGACTCAAGCCCCCTGTCTTATTGATTTTTTCAAATTTGATAACTTCAGTTTAAATAATGCCAATCTCCGGTTTTCTGAAAAAAATTAAAAATATTTCTTTCTGTATATTTTGCATCAATTCTCAATACAAGTTTAAAATTTCTCTAAAGAATTTGTTATTATTGAGGTGTGAATGAAAAATACATCGTTACTACTTTTATATAGGTGATTTATAGAAATTTCGAAAATCTAAATAACGCTTAAATAATAATATTTAATAATATTAATAATTATGTATGAAATATTGAATGTAAAGAAGAAAGCTATAGCATACTAGGTTCTATTATGTAAAAAAAGTTTTTCTTTGTAGATTCACTACCTAGAAGAAATAAAATTCACCTGATTGATTCATAAGTATGATTAACTAACACCCTTATAACAGGTGATTTTTAAGCTATTATTACTGTTAAAATATTTCAAGACTAATTCCAACATTAACGAAAAGCCTAGAAAAAGATTCTGTTCCTCTTTTGAATTAGAGACGTGTTGTACCAAGTAGTATAGCAAGAAGGGGAATAAGACCTAAATCTTGGAGCTCAATCAAGAGGTTCACTACTCGCAGGGCATTGCCTTCGCAGACGTAGATGTGGACGTCCAACAGTACAGTCTGTACTGCCCTGAGGGGAATTGCCGTGCAAATTCGGTTTCACCTGCAGTTAATCCCGTGGGGCAGTTTTACTGCAGAGCTCAGCTTCTGCCTTCGCGAGTCAAGACGGAAGCTTTCCTCGGCCAAGTTGATCGGGCCGTTGATCCGTAGAGCAGAATCAAAGCCCGGTCAGCGGACGACCACGACCACGGTCACGGTCATGGGTTGAATGATTCGAATGCCATCCACAGCTCCAACCATTTGCAAGTTGACGGTGTTTGTACGGGGCACAACAATGGCGTCGATTTATCAGCCGAACCTGCAGACTCTCTTTCCAGTGAATTCATGGAGATCGCCAGACCCAGTCCAAGATGCGAATGTTGATTCTTTGCAGCCAAAGGTTTCAAAGCTGTAGTGAACATTATTCTCTAGTAAAATACGGACACTTGTATTAAAAATGCAATTGGGAGGACCCAATCAACTTCCGAAGCTTCAAGTCCGTATTTTTTTAAAAATTAGACGTCGAATCGCCACAAGATACGTCATTCTTGGATGGGGAATAAGCTTCTTTCTCCTTCTCGTTCTTAGACAAATGATCGTGTAGTGGCTTACTGCACGAGTTGGTGTTGTATAATAAAGACAGCTGTTCTCTCTCTCCTTAGGTTTGTTGACCTCAAGCAAATAGACTCGTGTGACACCACAAATCATAGGAATGCGTCACTATTATATCACTTCTTTTTGCAAGGGAAGATATTAATTTGTCCTGAGGTCAAGTGGATTTTACAAATAATTAAATCATTTATAAAGGCCCTCCCATCGCAGTTCCTAACATCGAAAATCAAGTAGGGGCAACCACGGCTAATAGCATAGCCAGGGCTACGATGACACGTGTCCGATTGGCCTCTAGGGTTCAGAGTCTGAACCCTTTCCAAACAAATGTCATCGGCTCAACGAGCGAGGCAGCATTTGTAGAAGAACATCAACCAGGACGCTTCGAGAACTCGCTCTTGTAGCGCACGCTGGAGAGGTTCCCATCGTCTGTACAAGAACAGGTAGTGTCGGGGCTATTTGGGCGGAGCTAGCAACATGCGAGGACATGAGGGCTCCGGTTATATTTAGCGTCGGTTCTGTAGCTTACACACATTCGGTGGGGCACCACTGCATCATAATGAAAGTCACGAGGTCGGCTAATCACATGTAATCCTCCGCTAAATACACTCGTAATTTTAGATTTCGGCAAGTTGTCCTCGCTCCCTGAGAGTTGGATGGCTCATCCGAATCTATCGAAATGGCTGCCGACGATTTAGGCTTCCTTCTGTCCATCCATCCAGTCCGGTAACGCTGACTCAACGGTCAATCGCTCCGGCCTGATAATGAGCAATTTAATTCACCGTTAGCTAAGCAGAAGTCCACATCATGACAAGTTAAAGATACGATTTTGAAGCTCAGAATTCTGGAATTTGTTTATTTTCCTTCCCATTTATTTTCCAAATTTTACTGATTTTCCTTGAAATTTTCTTCATCTATCTTGGGTTTTATGGATGTTGGTTAGCTTTGAAGGGATGTGCACTAAGTAAAATAGCAAAAGGGATCAATGGACCTCATTATGGACGGAGCTAAACACCTAATACATGACTAGGTTGCCATAAATCACAATGGAAAATCTATTATTTTGCAATTAGGATATTAGAAATCTAGGTCAAATGATCTCAATGACATAAAGTCATCACTCAACGTGATTGTTATTTCATCCGATTTCACAAAGTTAATCATTAGTTTATGCCATCCATAAATTCGTGTACTTTGTGCAGTGTTTTTTAAACGATGACTACAATATATTATAAATAGTTTAAAAAAACATAACAACTAATTAACATGCTATAGCAGGTACCCACATCTTCTCAGGCCCTCACGAACTTATCAAAGTTGAACGTCCAAAACTTGATATAAATCTTAAGTTGAAAAAAAAAGAGTGTTTATATCTCTGCGTGCCCTTCATTCTTGGGAACCCAAGCTTTCGTTGCCCATCCAAAAAAATATTTGAATGGTCCAGTGACGTTTTGGCCCCAAGAGAAAATATAATATTCATATACTCTTATAATTCATTGTAGTGGATTGACCAGTCGACAATCGCGGAAATACCCATCAAGCCAAAACTTAATCAATTATAAGTTCCTACCGAAATGACCTCCATATGAGGTGAATACATTTTTATGCCATGGCAAACATCACATTGTAATAACAATTTTGTAAATGAAACCATGTAACCTAATGAACAAGATATTATACGGGCCTTGTTGCAGCCAATAAAACACCCACGTAACTACTCAATGAAACACAAAACAAATCGAGGAGTGAATACTCATAAATGATCGATATTACATCTTCATTCTCCTCTCTTATCACAGTTTTGGAGCATAAAATATCTTGCACATCAATCGCTTCATTGGTACACTATGAAGGTCGTGCACGATATGTTTCTTCCGGTGATAATAGGGTACATTCCCAGGTGTATTTCATTTTTCCATGAAAAGCTGGATTATTTTCCTATTTTATTTTTGGGTTATCCTCTCGACCCCTCATTGACTCTGCCGTGTCTACTCTATTCGTGAACCCATTTTCCGGGCTCAGCGATTAATATTTCTACACTCGTGGATATACTGGAGGGTCCTGGGGCCGAGAGATAACATTATTTGAAGGCAGTGCGGAAGTACGAAGAACACGTCGAAGAATGTGGGTTGTGGTGAGCACGAGCGCACGAAAGGCAATATTCAACCCTTCTTCTGCCACCAAAGGTCCTTTCCTCATACAAATAAACCGACCCGACACGTGTGTGCTTGACCTGGCATGTACATCCCACGGACATCCACATCACCACCGTCCCCTTCCTCGGTGGCGCCAATAAACATATCAACCGGCTCCGAAACTGTTCGCCCCTGGACAACTCAGTATCGACGGAAGCCGTGTGTACACGACACTGTACTTCCCGTTCGCGAGGAACAGACGGACGGACGGACTTGCTCATTCGGGACCGAGACATCCGTGGGAAGAAGCGGAAACACGACGCAGTTGGACAAGGAGGGCTCGTGACTCGTACTGGGTCGAGGTCGAACATGGTAAATATAGGGAGGGGGTCAGAGTCGCGGGGGTGTTCCCCGCGGAATGGGAAGGGGGCACAGGGAAGGAAGCGAGGAAGGGAAGGAGGAGGGCGAACGGGAGGATCCATCGGGTCCGAGGGGGGAGCCAGTGGAGAACCAGCGGTACAGAAGCATGGCACGCAGGACGACGGTAATATAATCGATCGGAAACGCCGCTTTCGGATCAGATCCGGAGATCATGCGCCATCGACGGGGCTCCGATCTTGCTTCGCCGGCAAACACCGTGCGCACCGGCGATCGCTGGCCATCGTGGCCGTCTCGCCCGAGGCCCACCTGCTCAGGCCACTGCCTGCAGCCGGTTCTCTCCGCCTCTCCGTGCGGCCACATGTTCTGATCCCTCCGGCCGACCGGCGCAGGCCTGCCCCATATCTAGTCAGAGGTCCCCACGGGCAGCGGACGGCCTTGACCGCGTGGCCCCTGCCGAGTCGGGTCGGGGCTCCAACTCCCCCCTGGTCAAGCCCCGGCGTCACGGTCAGGCGCCTCCATCCGACCCCGGCTGCCCCCGCCAATCCGTTGCGGTGGTTGCAGCGAAATATCCCCTGTGCGCAGGAAGGCAAGCCCGGCGCAACATGGCCAAAGGAGGAAGGGCCGGGCCGGGAGGCGAAGGGGATCGATCCACTTGGGTTTAGCCCCGCCTGCAGCTCTGGCTCTCTCTCTGTTGCACCCCCGCGAAAAGTTCCAGTCAAAATACGGATTCGCAGCTTCAGGTGCTTTCCGCTTTAAACGGAGCGGGGCTTCCGATTGGCTCCGACGACCGCATCCCCCACCCCCTTTCGACCTACCTCGTTACCCCAGACGATTTAGCCCCGGGGGTAGCGCAGTCGAGGGAGGAGCGCGGTGATTGGCCCGGAGGGAGAGGGTGCCTTCGCATCGGCCGCGGTCGAGAAGTCCGTGTGGGGGAGGGGCAGGAGACGGACAGAGATCGGCCGACGACCTTCGCAGTCCACCACCGCATTCGCGTTCGCATTCGGCGGAGTCTCCCTCGCCATAAGCGGATAAGCGCGACAGGATGGCGCGTACGAAGTCTTCGGGTGCGGCTGCTGACTTACAAACGAAGACGAGAATGTCGAAGATGGATAGAGCGAGCGAGCGAGTGAGCGAGTGAGCGAGTGGGTGACATGACTGTCGTTTGAATCACTGCGACTCCGAGGAAAGAGAGCGAGGGCCAAGGGGGAAGGGGGTTGGGGGCGGAAGAGGAGAACGCGGGGTTGGCCAACTCCACTCCGAGTGAAGAAGAAGAGAGTCAATGACCCCCTGACTGACCGTCTGACCGACCGAGGGACCGCGGGACCGACTGCGGGTATGGAGCCGAGCGGGGCTTAGAGGAGGGCGTGGTGAGAAGCTGGAAGAGAGGGGGAATGGGTTGGGGTAGGGGGAGGGGCAGGGTCAGGGGGAGGGACTGGGGAAAGGGGGGGAGAGGGGAGAGAGAGAGAGAGAGAGAGAGAGAGAGAGTTTGACTTTGGCCGCGCTCTTGATTGTCGCCGGCTGGGGGCTCTCGGTCCGGGCTTGACCGACGGGGGCTACCCTTTTTCAGGGGGAAGGCCGGGGCTTGGGACCCCAGCTCACGAGCCGCAATCCATCCGCGCAACTATCCCCTGCGCTGCTCTGCACGACTCTGGGGCGGGGGGCTGTGCCTGTCTGTCCTTCCTGTTTGCCCCTGCGTGCCTGCGTGCCTGCCTGCCCAGCCTTGCCTCTGCCGTGCCTGGCTCGGTTTGTGCTTGATCACACCCGAGGGCAAGAGGGAGGAGTAGTAGGGCGACGGTGATCGACACAAAGAGCTTTCTCGTGCTGGATTTGGGCTGCCGTCCTTGCACCTTGGTCCTGTGGAGAGTGAGTAATTCCCCCGAGTGGCTGCCTGCTTGGTTGCTTCGTTGCTTGCTTGCGCATTCTCTCTTCGCTCTCTCGCTCTGACTCTGACTCGTCTCGGAGGCCTGGGAACTCGCCTGAGGTGGATTCTGTCAATTCCGCTGAGAATTCCGAGCATTCAATGCTCCGACCCTCTGCCGCAGTCGAGCCCCTTCGCCCTCCGCTCGGTCCTTGACCGGGCCCCCGCTCTTGCTCCTCGTGCCTCCAGCTCATGGGCTCCGGCCGCTTGTCAAATTGCTCATATTCTTCTGCCTGCGCCTCCTCCTCCTCCTCCTCCTCCTCCTCCTGCTGCGTCTTCGTCTGCTTCATCTTCTTCTTCTCCTGCTCCTTCTTCTTGACCCCGGGCAGCTCGGTCGCTTTTCTCTAGGTCTTCCAACGCTTGCGCATTCGTGGTTTCTATATTTTTGTATCTTGCTTGCGGATCCGATGAGTGGCCTCGCACTCGAGCTCTAACCGGAAGAAGCCGCGCGTAGATTCGACGAGTTTCCTTCTCAAATGTGGGTGCTAATTTTTCTCACGTGTCTGTGCATGCTAGATTGGCAGATTTGTAGCGCGAGTGGTCCCGGTGCAGTACGTTCGTACTCGCGGGCTGCGATTCTTTTTTTTAAAGCTCGTGTGGAATTGGTGCTGGCATTCAGGTGTTTCGGAGGGGAGTATGAAGCCCGAAATCATGAGAACGATCGAGTAATAAATGGGCAACACCTGTCTCGGGTCAAGCGTGGGTAAGAATGGCTTTTTTCAGGGAGTGACACATCCCAATTCTTACACACCCTGGGGCCGCCAGAACTCCTTCACTTCGCAGGGAAACAGCGGCACCTCTCCTGCAAATCGGCGCTCGAGCGAGCCGAACTCGGCCATCCGCTCCAAGGATCTGAACGAGAACAGCTCGTCGAATCTGGTGTCGCATCAGGAGTCCAGCTTCGATACTCCCATTTACCCCTTTGCCACCCAGCATCGACCTCCTGTGGCCAATCACATCCCTCCCGGTGGTGCAGCCGCTCAGCCTGGCAAAGGTCCCCAATCTGCTGCCAACCACAGGCCCAGCCACACCACTGTCACAGTTGCGGATCCAGTCAACCCGGGCGACCCAATGGCGAGGCGGGCCCAGCCTGTGAGTGTGGTTCCAGGGCAGAGCCTCACTCACTCTGTTCTGCAGAGGACGACAGAGCCCCTGAAAGAGCTTTTCACTCTGGGCCGCAAGCTGGGACAGGGCCAGTTCGGCACGACGTATTTGTGCATTGAGAAATCCACAGGTAGAGAGTACGCTTGCAAGTCGATCGCCAAGAGGAAGCTGATCTCGCAGGAAGACGTGGAAGATGTGAGGCGTGAGATTCAGATCATGCACCACTTGTCGGGGCATCCGAACATTGTGATGATCAAGGGAGCCTACGAGGATTCCTCCTCGGTTCATCTGGTCATGGAGCTCTGCGCAGGAGGAGAACTTTTTGATCGAATTATCCAACGTGGGCATTACAGTGAAGCCAAAGCAGCAGCGCTTACCAGAACTATTGTAGGTGTAGTGCAGGCTTGTCACTCGCTCGGAGTCATGCACCGTGATTTGAAGCCTGAGAACTTTCTACTCGCCAACAGGCACGAAGATGCTCCCCTGAAGGCCACGGATTTCGGTCTTTCCGTGTTTTTTAAGCCAGGTGAGTGATCTCCTCTGCGGGGCATATCATCTCATCTTCCTACCTCTCCTGTCCTTACAGTATCCTCCATCGTAGGGATTTGATCATCCGAATCGCAGTTGTTTCAGAGTCCCTTCTTTTGGGCCTGCTCGTTCATCATGGTTTCTGATCCTAGTTTGATGTTTAATTGGGCTTCCTCGTCATCCGTTTTTAGAATATATCAGTTCTACAGGAACCCTGAGCTGCTCAGAAGCCTGATATGCCCCTACGTATTACGAGTATGAGTGATGCCAGTCTATCTCATTTCCAAGTTTAGACAGGACGGATCGCATTGTCTCTACTTGGAGTCAGCCAGAAGATGGCGTTCATCTGCTCTTGTTCTAACGAAGAGGTGAAGGTTAAATGTACCATACTACCGAAGGAAGAGAGAAATCTAAGAAGTCGGGCTGCTCATTACAATGTGACTGATTCTATCCAGCCAAACTGTTGCGCATTCTAGGAAGAAGATGATGAGGAAGACACCAGTTTGTAGAACCTACAACAAGTCACAGAACGGATCCGTGTTCTTAATTAGCAGTTTGTGGCACGTGATCTACTGATCACCATTACTGTCCAAGAATAAATCTGATCAGTCGTGAATCAAGAGGTTTGACGGAAATTCGTAATCTGTCCAGCAAGATGAAAACCGTGACGTGGGCTGTGCAGAGGAGGTATTCACCGATGTTGTGGGAAGCCCTTACTACGTTGCTCCCGAGGTTTTACGTAAGCATTACGGTCCTGAAGCAGATGTATGGAGTGCTGGTGTTATACTCTACATTCTTCTCAGTGGTGTACCACCATTCTGGGCAGGTAAACTCCTACGCATGTGATCCTGCCAGCGGCCAGACGTCATGTGCATTTTGAATCAGACCTTGAAAATATTCTCTTATGCACTGTATCACGATGTACGCATTTTTTTCCGGCTTTGCTTAGGCTTAGGGTTTTCATTTTCTGTGAAAACTCATTATGTCCGTCGATTGTGTGTGCTTGGCAGAAACGGAACAGGGTATTTTTGAGCAGGTACTTCGTGGTGATATAGACTTCATGTCAGACCCCTGGCCAACGATTTCCGAGAGTGCAAAGGATCTGATCCGGAAGATGCTGCACCCGAATCCTGCTAAAAGATTGAAAGCTCATCAAGTCCTCAGTAAGTCAGATGAATCTATCACCGAGGCTTCATATAATAAGTTGTGGTTACCGGGAGGGAGATAGAATTGGAATATTTCCTGCGGATTACAGAGCTTGTGCCAGTGTGAGCTTTGCACTCGCAGTTCATCATAGGAAGACAGTACGCAGTTTTGATGTGCACTTAGGAGTCGGTTGTTCTCCTCTCACCTTACCATTCATTCATGCAAGTGAATCAGCTCTTTAGTATTGTGCATGTCGATACTAGACCTCCACGCCCTCCACATATCTCTACTTATTATACTTGTGTCCTCAGTTATCTTCCACGTTTTTCAGTTTTTGGCCAGTGCCAGAGTTATTTGCGAAGACTCGTAAAGCTCTTTTCGATATTCAGTGTAAGATGTCTGGATTTAAGTCGACAATTTGGGCCTGAAGCCATCTGAACTGCAAGCTTTATCGCGGTCTACGTACTTGCCAACGAAGCTTGGATGCACAGATAGGTGAAGGTATGTTGGCTGTACAGGAGTCCAACTCTCGGGTAGCCAATCGTGATTTTGACGAATCCCTCTGGGAATTGAAGTAGTACTGGTAAAACTGTGTTCTAACTCGGATATTCGTGCCCACAGGTCATCCTTGGATCCAGGAGGAGGGTGTGGCGCCAGATAGGCCAATCGATCCGGCTGTTCAATCACGGTTGAAGCAGTTTTCAGCCATGAACAAGTTAAAAAAGATGGCATTGCGGGTACTCCTCTAACTAACGCTGTAGAAGATTGTCCTCTTCATGTAATATTGATGCGAGCGAGTAGGTCATTCCTGGACTGTCGCCTTAAAGTTTCGGGTACAACCTCAGTGTTCATTGGCTGCAGCTACTTTTCCGGTTTGTGATCAAAACGTGCTTTTCTGTTTCTCTCTAGGTTATCGCAGAAAGCCTTTCGGAAGAGGAGATTGCTGGCTTGAAGGAGATGTTTAAAATGATGGACACTGATAACAGTGGAACTATCACCTTCGAAGAGCTGAAGGCCGGGCTTAAGCGTGTGGGTTCCGACTTGATGGAATCCGAGATCCATGAGCTAATGGAAGCTGTATGTGAACTTTTTACTCTCATACTTTCACGTGTATCATCTAGCTATTCACGAAGTTTTATGTATTCTCTTTCAGGAAATTCAAGTTTCTGTCCTGTTTGTTCTGCAAAGTAGATGGAGCCTGATGGATCGATTTGAACTGTGATCAGTAAGCTGCTGTCTCAGCTAGTACACATGTCTGTACTTGCGGCAGGAGTCTTTGAAACGTCCAGTGCCATGGCTCCTCTAATGTTCGACTTTTCGTTGATCAGTTTACATTTGTGGGTCCAGCATTGACTTATGCTTTGATGTTGTTGGAACACCTCAGGCTGATGTCGATCGTGATGGAGCGATAGACTACGGAGAGTTTATTGCTGCAACCATCAACTTAAACAAGATCGAGCGGGAAGAGAATTTGTTTGCAGCGTTTTCCTACTTTGACAAAGATAAGAGTGGATACATTACAGTGGATGAGCTGCAGCAAGCTTGTGTAGACCACAACCTCGGAGATGTACGCATCGATGAGATGATTCGCGAAGTAGATCAAGACAACGTAAGTCTGATCTATCTATTGCAGTTTCCTCTTCCCGGAATGTTTTGTCTGCTACTCGCACGTTCACAGGCCCTTCGTTTTCTAAAAGATATACATCGAAGGTCTCTATTTGTCGAAGGATCCCCACCAGCGATATGTGACCGGGCCATGATAATAAGTAACCTCTTTTATTTAAAAGAGGTTACTTATTATCAAGTAAAACCATTCACGATCAATAAGTTGACTAACTAATCCTTTAATTTGCAGTAAATCAATAGTAAAGTTATTTGGTACTTTTTGTTTTTTAAAAAGAATTGAAGCCTATAAGTCGCCGGCTCATTCTTCAACAGGCACGCAAAGTCATTTTAGGTCATGTTGTATCTGGCTTGCATCCACCTTCGCCTCAGTTATGCCCGAACGCACCATTTGCGTAATGACGGTGTGAAACTCCTAAGCATTGCATCATCACAACGAGTCGGAGGCATATAAATACTAGGTGCCCGGTCCTCGGACCGGGCTTCAGGCCGGTTTACATCTTCTATCATTAGCTCGGTATGCGGGTTTTCGAGGATTTTTATTCTGTAATTCTGTCCTCACTTTTCGTTGAATTCTGGAATGGCAGGACGGCCGCATTGATTACAATGAGTTCGTGACGATGATGAGGAAAGGAAACGGAGGAATTGGGCGACATACAATGCGGAACAGCCTGAGAGCTAGTCTTAGTGACGTATTGATGGTGGGTCATCGGGCCCCTCTGTGGTTCCCCCTTTAAGCTTTGGATTGCAGTTTCCATTTTAGAACTCGTCTGACTCGTTCTAGTTGGCTAGCTGCTGACTTTTTCAGTGGTCAGTGGTAGGTAGAGAGTGAACTGATCGCGTGAGGTCTTGAAAGCTCCCGCTCACTCGAAAACTCTGGCATGTGTTCCCTGCAGGAGGAAGTTCAACAAAGAATGGTGAACACACATGTGGACCCCAGGGCTGCAGGACATAGAGACAACGTGAACGGCGGCAGAAAGTGATAAACTTCGAGGTTCTAGATGATTCGAACTCTCCTCCCTGAGCTTGTAAGTGCTTTTAACGAGTTCAATGATCATTAGCTGTAGATAAGTCAGGAATCTCTCATCATAGTACGGTTTTTACTCACTTATGTTATAATATAGAGAGCTTTTGCCACGTTTTCCAAGAGACAAATTTACAATACAAATGTTTCAATACACCTGTGTTAGAAAAGAAAAGATTACTTCGTATCTGAAGACTCCAGTTGAAACTCAGAAACCATGACAGTGGAGCTACCGAACGCTTTTGTATCAACCTTGAATTTAATGGGGAAACTGTTTTGTATGAGTTTGGATTCGCCCTCATACCCAGTTGCATGACAACAAACCCGTGGGTCAATTCGTTTCTCTAACTATAGTTCATGAACCATCTCAACTTTTTAGGAGTCAAGGATGGAATTAGTGCGAGCAAATAATGGGAGGATGGTGGAGGTCGAGTTGTTCAACATGGAACATGTGGAGAATCTTACACTATCTCGTAATGGAAAGAAATGAAAAAACGTAGACTTGAGACTGCGTGATGATCGTAAAAAGGCTCGCACTGTGTCCCCCCTACTACTTCACGCCGAGGTTTCAGAAGACCTCTGACTGAAACCGCATGATTCTTTCTCCTCGATGGGTACCTAGTTTTTCGAAGGAGGCTTTCTCTTATAAGAACTCCTGATAGAGAGATTGCAAATGAATGATCATTTGCGGTGGTGCATTATCAAGCATAGTCGTCATCGTCGTCTCACTCAAGGTGTTGTGAACAGATTGGTCTCTGTTTGTAGGTTCATATGAGTCTCTTGAAGGTCTGCAAAGATCTGTTAAGTGGAGAGTTTTTGTAGCATCGAGTGGTGTTCACCTACATCTGGTTCTCGAAATGCATGTGACAGCTCATTTATAATCTTTACATAAAAGAGTTGATCTCTCTTTGTCGGAGTGATTGATGGATTCATCCCTTCTCGACACTCCTGCCGAAAGATCGGGATCGAACATAAACCTCGACCTTACGTCTCACTCGCCCCCTCTGCTGTGAAATTTCATCCCTGCCAGATCTTGGCCTGCTTCTGCGAAGTCGCAAATCATCCGATCTTAAAGTACAAAACGGAATCTGATCAGTGCACAAAAGATCGGCCGGATATCTATCGAAACTTCTCTGTTCCAGCATATCAGGATCACGCGATGAGAGGATATGGTTTTAATGTGCACTAAGCTCCGTGAACTTTCCTTCCAAGCTCGACCCCCATCACTTCAACCGGGAGCAAGTGAAAGACACGATGTTTGCAATCACATCAATCTCTCTTGAGCCGATTTGCTCTCTCGATACAAACGAACATGAAATAGTTCTCGTGATCCCAAGCCGCGAGTATCTTCAAGCGCAAAAGGAATGGGATGATAAGAGATTTAGCTCAGTGTCTGGCCGGGGCTGCAGAAGCACGAGAAGCTCGAGAAGCTCGAGGCACGAATTCCGATCTGGAACGAACCATGGAAAGATGGTCTCGTTCGCCAGTCTCAGACACCGCTGACCAGCTCGCAAGTGACAGGAATGTGTCCGGAGAGGTCGATGAAGAGGTATGCGAGGCCGCAGTCAAGGTCGGGGCACAGCTTCGAGACCAGCTCGTCGTCGGGTATGGAGAGGGCCTCGTCCCCTCCCGTCGCACTCGTCCTCGAGCCGACCAGCATCAGAGAGTTGGGTGGATGCTCGATGCTCCAAGGGATGCGCAAGGCCCTGATCGCAGACTATGTCGGCCTGCAACTCTCTCCAGCTCTGAACGCTCTCTTCAGCGAGCACCAGCCGTCAGGCTGAATCAAGAGCACGGTCACTGCTCTCTGCACCTCAGGTCCTCGTCGATCTCCCCCTGCAAAGAGGAGATCAATTCCCAGCCGCTGCTGCTGCTGCTGCTGGAGATCGTAAACATGAATGCAGCTTATCTCGATCGAGTCCAGAGGGATGACGTACGTGGGAGCCGTGGGCACCAATGAATTGGGCACGCCAGAAATCCTGTCGGCCGCCATGCTCAGAACGGTGCAGGTCGATCAGAAGCCCGAGTCCAGAGGCGGAAGAGAAGGATCGGCCGGAAACCTCCGCAGCTTTCGGGAATTGCTTACCATTCGGAAGACTCCCGACGATGCAGTAGACCTCGGGGAGCAAAGTCGTCCGGCGAATCGCTCCCGAGTTCTCGTCGAGCTCCACATCCACATCTTCGTCTCCACCGACGTCGTCACCGTGAACGAAAATCCCCTCCTCCATCGGTGAGCACGAAATTTGTCGAAGCTCTGGGACGAGAGAATTCCAATTTCCCTTCTGTCCGCCTAAGTCCCAAATTCTCCATAGCTCGTGCGCTGATCAGCTCGTGACGAGCGACGGCCGTCGACAGATGAGGAAACGAGTGCCGGACTGCGCTGACGGCCGAGCACGAGACGGACCCGGATGGTGCCATCGAGATCAGAAGGAAGGCGAAGGAGAGCCTAATCGCAGTCGAGGCATCCCTCGCTGCTTCCGATCTGAGACGCCCCTGCACAATTCATCGCTCGTAGAGCGTCACGAGATTCATACCGTCGTGCAAAGATATGTCGTTCGTGCATTCTTCTCCAGCTCGAAGGTCCAAATTCCAGCCCTGCAGACGAAGAGGAAGACAACGAAGAGGACGAAGAGGACGACGAATCCATCGATCAGTCGGACCTCGGAGGATTCGATGCGCACGAATTTCTGAGCGTGAATGAAAATCCTCGACGGCTGATCGGAATGGGGCACGAGGACGAGGACGAGAACCACGACCACAACCACACAGGCCAAGCAGCAGCAGCAGTAGCTGCGCCTCGCGGTGACTGCGATGGCAACTGCGTTGTATGCGATGGCGATCAACTTTGACGTAACCACGGACAGCGGGCTGGCGCACCTGGACAACTATCTGCTGACGCGCAGCTTCATCACGGGGCATCGGCCATCGCGCGACGACGTCACGGTCTTCAGCGCCATCGCCCCGCCTCCGCGCGCCGACGGCCGCTTCCTCAACCTCTCGCGCTGGTACGCGCACATCGACTCCATCGTCCGCGCGACGTTCCCCGGCGCGGCGCAGGGTGTGACCTTCGGCCGCGCCGGCGCTGGCGCCGCCCTCCCGCCCCCTGTCGATGTCGGTCCAGCCATCCGGACCTTCCCCGACGCCGCCCTCGAGAACGGCGACGACAGTCCCCGCGACTCGTTCGGCGAGTTCGAGCAGAGTCGCGATTCCGACGACGTCGAAGCTCTCGCTGCTCTCGCCGCCGCGGTCGGCGCAGGAGAAGCGCAAGCGGGAGACGCGACGCCGCTAGCGTCGCGAGGGAGGTCGTCGATTCTTCTGGAGGTGAAGCCGTGGGACGACGAGACGGACATGGAGGCGTTGGAGCGAGCCGTTCGCGCGGTGGAGCTGCCGGGGCTGCAATGGGGCGCCTCGAGGCTCGAGCCCGTGGCCTTCAGAATCAACAAGCTGCAGATTATGATGACCATCGACGACGACCTCGTCTCTCCCGACTTTGTCATCGAGCACCACTTGACCGCGGAGCCGGCCAACGAGCACATTCAAAGCTGCGATATCGTGGCCTGTAATAAGATCTAGCTCCTGGAATCGATCGATCCTGCGGCAAGTGCCCCAGTGGCTCGCTCGATCGATCGCTGGTTGAATAAATGCACTTTCTCGCTCGCGGGCTTTTGATTCGACGATGCATTGAATTCTGCGCACCGATTCCCGGATCGTCGCCCGTATCAGGACTTGGTTGATTTGGAAGAAATGCGACGATGACGGCCGCTCGAGGAACCGGGTCATTTCACTGCACGCAATTCGAAGATACGAATGTTGATGTTCGATTTTGCGGGTCCCCTGAATTTTTTGAAGGAACATATTTAATTACCGACTGGAAGCGAACCGAGCCAAAATGTAATCGATGTGAGAGTTTCGTTCGAGTTCAGCGTGTGTGTGTGTGTTTGGTCGAGGATCGGTTCCTTTGACACCCGGATTCCGATTTTCACACTCGTTCGAAAACGGAAATAAGAGAGGAGCCATCAAGAATCGAACAGCGTCAGGAGGTCGTCATCGAGGGATATGGCTCTGATGCAACCCAATGACTGTTCATTCTTCTCCTTCTTGGACGGGTGTGAAAAAGGAATCGGATCAGGGCAGGGGCAATTGAACCGATCAGAGGTGATGGGAAAGATAATAACAAGACAAGAAACGGGAAGGCTCAAGATTCGAGCGCATTCCCGGCAAAAATGTTGTCCCCCAAATGGGCCGTAATTAAACTGAATGGATTTCTGGGCCAGAGTTTTACTCTGCGAGAAGGTACACGAGCAGTGAGTAAGAGCACATCAGTCCACTACCCAAACCAATCACGACTGCTATGATATGTACCGACGGCCTGGTGGCGTCTGAAAGTCAATGTTGTAGCAGCACGATCATTAGGTGGATGAAGAAAAGGACTGAGAAGACGATAAAGTCTCCAGTTGACAATTGGATCCCGCGAGTCGTGGTTTTCTGCTGAAATTGTTGCTCATCTGCAGTAGATCGATCCCTCATATGATGCCTGGGAAGAATCGCGGCGTCATGATTCGGCGTCTGGAATTGATCATCGACAATTTTGGATAAGGAGAGGGCACATGATGGATGGAGGGAGTGAGGACTGTTGATGTTGGAGAATGGTTGGTTTCCATGTGGCAAGTTGACGAGAGCATTGAGGCGGGATTCGAGCTCAATCACCAGCACAAGCACCGCACTAACGCACTCACTCGAAGGGTTTTAATCGTGCTGGAGCCTGTACAGGATGGTGAAGGCAAGCGAGTGAGCAAGCCATCCCTCTCATCAAACTCCCCAAATCATCCATTGTCATCCGAAATTGTTGGAACCAGCCAGTGATGGCCGACACCGATCCACAGATGATGCAGCCGTACCAGCTGTACCACCACAAACACCCGCAATTCGAGCAGACAGACAGTCAACCATAGCCAAGAGAGGTCATGGTCCGTCGTCGGGCGATCGATTAAAGCAGTCGTTTCAGCAGATCTCGTCCGAGGAGGTCGTTGGCAAGTAATTCTTTCGCCGCTGACCCTCTATCAGAAGCACCGATACCACCGATCCTTCCGGTTCCAACATCGGATCAGTTCCATCTCCGACTGGAATCTGAACTCGGGACAAGCGCTACCTGCAATGGCATCGAAAGGTCCTCAGAAGATCACGAGAGCAAGTTATGGTGCGCGAGGAAGGTCGATAATTGTGAGCTCAAGCGCTTTAAGAGATGAATCCTGCTGCTGTCGGCAATAAATTCCGCGCATGTAGCGCACGATGCAGCTGCTGGGTACGATCTGAATCTGTACGACAAATCTGCCAAATTTAACTCGAGGAAGTTCGAGCGACCGCTGATAGCTTGGCAGTCTCTGTCCGTCTGTCTCCCTGTACACCTGCCCCTGCCCTGCCCTGCCCTGCCGTTGATGATTGACGGCGAGTCCAACGATTGGACCGTGATTCCCGATTTTCCATTATGGTTCTTTCGAGGAAATACTTCTCCTCGGCGTCGATCAGCTCGAGACTGAGGACGGTCATCGGGCGCATTCGAGGCGGAGTGGGAGGAGCAGGAGCAGCAGGATCAGGAGCAGGTGGCAAGAGGGGGTCCAACTCCGATATGGAGAATCGATTGGCGTCGATACGAGTCGTGCACGAGCACGACGATGCGGACGAAGAGCAGGACGTGGACGCCAGCAATGTGCGACCGATCACTCCGCGCGTCAGGAGCGCAATGCTGTCGAGGCTGAAACTGGCCTTCCTCTTGCTGCTGGTCTACGCCACCCTTTGGTTCGTTCTCAGATTCATCCGCCTCAGCGCCGCAGCTCGCATGCAGCGCGCTCTTCTCGAATCTGGCATGGACGCCATTTTGAGCTCCAACCCTAAGGCGTATTCCGACACCCTCCATTGACTCCCGCGTCGTCGTCTGCAAGAACTCGGGGGGCCATCGTTCGCTCCTTCGGTGCATCGATCGATCCAGTTCTTGTTCCAGATCTGCGATTCAACTTCACATACCCTAACTTCAGAAGCTCTGCAAACCCTGGCACTGACTTGACATCACCGACGATTTTATCCCCATGGCGAGAACCGTACCGACGACGTTGGCATCGGCGTCACACAAATGATTGCGGGAGAGGTCTTGTGCTTTATAGGGACCATGGATCAGGTGTGCACCAGGCGGTCAAAGATCGATGCTGGGTCGACAAGTGGGACACGGCTCGTTGAATGTCGAGCCTTCTGTGACAGTCAGGACGGGGAAAGCACACGTGAATCTTGTTGTACTTGTTATCAAGGTCGTCTTCTTCTGGTAAATTTCAGGAGCTAGTGTAAGTCACATGTGAAATAGTTTAGTCTCTCATTTTTTGCTGCCCATTGTAAATGCCTCGGGGGTAGATACTCGCTCAAGCTGCGAGGCTGTTGAATGTTGGTTCGGGCTGCTGTTCGGACAATCGTGGCTGTGGATGCCGTCTGTACAAGATCTCATTAGAGTAGGTAGGAGTCTTCAGCAGCTGCTCATTGTAGGCCTTTCTATCTTTCGCTCGAGATGACATTGCGCCATCGTAACGAGGATTGTATGTTCAAAAACTTTCAACGCATTGCTCGTTTCATGATTATTCCATATCGCTCTTCCAAAATTCACACTCTGTTCGTCCATTCGGCGCAACTAGCCTTTTCCAGTTTCGAATGAGAAATTTCATATCAAGGATGTGCAGCACTCGACGATTCGGGACCGATTCCATTCATGCTCAAATTTTGCTGCCAAAGCCAGACATTTCTCCTTTGGTGTTTAGAGTATATTTCCACCTGGAGAAATTGCCTCCTCGTACAGCAATCCATTCTTCGCACTGCCCTGCTTCCAAGCATGGCGCAGGATATTTCTGAAGTCCCGCACCTGAAAAACTTTGTTCCTCCAGATGCTCTTTGTAATGCTCTCGACCACCGAAGGATATCGTAACTCTGACCTTCTTTGCTCCTACCACCTTATGCAACAACTCAGCTTTCATGGAACTTGTCGTGTATGATGAGCCTGCAAATTCCGATCTTTCCATCAGTCGCTTACTTAAATTCACGTCATCAAAGCTGGGAACTATTCTTTCGCTTGAAGTGACACAAGGAGCACAGGTTGCATCATTTTACGGATCCAGTGCAAGCAGGCACAACCAAAAAGCAGATTGTCTGAATGTAGTCAAGTCGCTACAGCAAATGAGTGGATCCCAGCGAAGCTTGTTGATTCGAGTATTGAAGTCAGTCTTCGTCTTCCATCACCGCTCTAGGTCCCCGGGCTTACTGGCGTCCCCGGACACTTTACAGGCTGCACCGCCTCGTGTTCTGTTGAGTTTCCACCGAATCCAAAATCAAGGCTGGACCCTGTAGAGGTCGATTCTGTTTCAGTTACTACTTGCTTTCCAAGAATGTCCAGTGCATCCATACAGAGCACAGTGATTTGTTTGATGCTCATACGAGCGGGGTTGCCACTGTAACTTTCACGGCGTTTCAAACATTCTGCGGCAGTTTCTGCTGCTTGAGTAGGGTGGGAAGCAACTGAGGAAGGTACAACCCAGGATCCGGTCAACTTGCTTCCCGATCGCTCAATCCTGGACCTTTTTTCAAGTTTCTCTTTCGGGATAATGTACATGATGCACACTGTGGTGACCTTTTTTGGTGACATTGCGACTGCTTTGAAGCTTTCCCTTTGCAATTGTGGGGAGTAGGTTTAGCTGATGATCTGCCCGGGTCTCTATTCTAAGCTGTTGTCAGAGATGACTTCCAGGCGCCACGTTCGGACAGCCGATGGCATTGAAAACCTGCTCCCTTGAACTCGGGGAAAAGACTGGAATGTCTTGAGTCGGTCTCGAAAATTGCACCGGATTCAGTAGAACTGGCTTGAAACGTAGAGCAACTCGGTCGCCGAATTTCGGAAGTAGTTCTAGCTTAACATGTCCACTTGTTCAATAGAACTCATGCCATTTCAGCTCAAATGAACACAGAATCTGCTGTAAGACGTGCTTGACTCTTGCCGCTTTGGGAAGGAGAGCATGATTTTGCATGGGGTCTTACCCTCCTCCCTCCTCCTACTTTTATCACTTGGCACCCTCCTTTTTTAACATGGTTTGGTATTGTTACAGCATTGAGTCTTCGATGACTTCAGAACCTTGAGAAAGAAGAATGAAGTAGTAACTGGATCGTGTGGTAATTTACATTGGTCCAAAAGGAACGGTGCGATGTAAATATCAGAAATGTCCTGAGGAAAACCTGAAATATGTAAAGCAATTATCCACCTGAAGATCCAATAGAAGGGTCGTTGGATCCGTTCATGATCTTCATTTCGTGCTGCGAAATGATGGGCGGGCCTGCTGATCATTAGAAACTCCCATATCTGCTAAAAGAGTTGACTTGACCCTGATTTCAATCCAAGTTAGACACGGTCGTGTCACGTCATAGTGAACAGAAAATGGACATGCCATGAAGTAAACGACACATAAAAAATCAGTTTCTACGGACCCTGTGGCACTGCCTTATTGCTGGACAGAATGTTCTTCTGCCACACTCGTCAGTTTGTTGAGATAACTTCGATATCACACTTCGCAAGGTTTCTTATCTGTAAGAGGCAAGATCCGCTTAAACTGAGTGAGTCCACCGTTCATTATATAACACCGTGAAGGGTGCACGCTTCATGATGCTCTGAAATTACTATATGTACGTTTATAAACATGGAGTTGGTGAAAAGGTGGGACATTACAGATTGAAAATTACGCTCGTAAACCTCTGAACACCCTCCTGTCACAAATGGCTCCAAGAACAAAAGAAGAAGACGCCCTCATTTCCATTCTTTTCCTCCAAGAACTCCTAACCAAAGTAGGACACTACAGATCGAAGAATACGCCCGTACACTTCTCAACACCCTCCTGGTCACAAATGGCTCCAAGAACAAGAGAAGAAGACGCCCTCAATTCCATTCTTTTCCTCCAAGAACTCCTAATCAAACACCAATCTAGATTCTGGGTGGAAAAAACTCCTAATCCAAGGCCTGAGAAAGGCTTTCTTGCAAGCCCTTGTTCCGAATGCCTGCTCGCAAACGAAGGCAACAGCCCGCTCCATGTGCGGTACATAACTCGACATGTTCTTTACAAAGTACCACAGAACAGGCTTCCTCGTTGCACCGCCACATCAATTCTCCGGGCCGGGCGGGCCCCGCATCGTCTTTCCGCATGAACTCGTATGCATTTTGCAACTCTGCTGCAGAGGCCGAGCTCGAGCTCGAGCTCGAGAGCGATGGCGATGGCGAGGCGAGGCGAGGGAGAGGGCTCGCGGAAGAGATCGAGGGCTCGAGTGAATCGTCGGTCGATGAAGAAGGCGGACGCAAGTTCGCGCGACTTTCCGCGCGCTTTCGGCCTCTGCGGCACAAGTCGAAAAGCGTCTTTCCCTGACGGACTTCAGAGTCTTTCTTTTCTTTTCCTCGTCCAGTCACAACTGACGGACGACCGGGAGGAAGTTACACGGAAGGAAACGCGAACTTTCCTCCCACAACCGGACGCAAGATCGGGGGATCCGACGCTCCGAGCCGCACGGAAACGCAAACCCAACCACCGGAACACCCGAAAGACGACGACCGGAGACGCCTCGGCGAGAGCCGGGCACTGCCGTCTTTCTTCGGAGCGAAGGAAACGCGGGGGAGAGCACGCAATCGCCTGCGACGGATCGGACGGCGCCCGCGAGGCTGCTGGGATCCGCGGGATCGGACGGCGCGGAAGGGGATGACCCCCGTCATAAATAGGCCCGCCGTTGGTCCGAAGGATGAGAAATCGGTCGCGCGGTGAAGGCAGGTCGTCGGAAGGGGAAGTGATTCCTTCCGAATCCGTGCGGAATCATCGACGCCCACCGGCTAGCCGTAGCTGTGGGCGCTCCTCTCGCTCGCCTTCGGCTTAAATTCGGAATCGGGCCCATGTCGCTCACTGCGTCGCTCGTCGGCAAATTCCAATGCATCGTCGTCGTCGACTGCTGCGAGACGGGGCGTGGAGTCGGTAGAGGTTCTAAATCTTCGTCAAGTTCCAAATGCACGATGGAGTGTAGACTAGGCGTTCTTCGGATTCTCTGGTTTATCTCGATCGCTTTTGGTGTCGTTATTCCCCGACGCTGTTTTTCTGTCCTCTGTGTGCTTTTCTCTCTATCTCTTCGCAGAAAGCACGCGTTGCTCTCTCTCTTTCTTTCTCTCTTTCTCTCTTTAGAATTCTGTTTCATCGCTTCGTGACGATCCGTACCTTTGCTTTCGTCACTCGTGATGTTTGTATTGGAACAATGAGATTCCTCGACTTCCAGTGAGCGCGAAAGAGCAGGGAAGTCGGGGAGGCTCTTTGTCTCAATACGTGCACGCCAACCACGTACGACGACTGATTGTGATCGGATTTTGCTTGCTCTTGAGATCGGGTGGGTCAATTTCGTTAGGATCGCTCTAGTCAAATGAACATCGGGATCTGTTGCATGCTTCGAATATGTTTTACAGCTAGTTGCTTGATCAGTCTCGGCGTTTGGATATAAGTATGTGCATTGATTTGAACGGGAGGTTTAAGGTTGTTGTTAGGTCCGTGAAGATTTGGGTGCGATCTCTCAAGGCTGGAGCCGAGGCTACGTTCCCATCGTGCATTTGGAATTTAACAGAGTTTATAAACCTCGTCACGGGATGTTCAAAGACGATAATGCGTTAGGAGTTGGCGCTCGGATTCAACCTCAATTCTAGTGGTGACGTTCTTTAGAGAGAAAAGCCGTGAGGTTTATACTTCTGCTTCTGTCATTCTCTGCTGCGTACAGAGATGATCACTAGCGGACAGTCTTGAATTCTGCGACTGTCTACATTTCATTGTTTTTGTTCGAATTAATAAAGTACGTGTCAATGTTGGAAATTGTCATTTCGTATCGATGATGACGGATGCATCGTGACGGCTGCGGGGATGGTAGACGGCGTGATGAATATTATAATTGGCATGCTATATCGAAAGTGAAATTTTCTCGTGTTAAAGAGCGTTCTCTTTTCCTATGAGAATACTTTTGTTGTATGCTCTTTCAATCTTCAAGGTCCTTTTACATTTACACCGACGATGATTTGGGCATGTTTCATATTGCCACTCGATTGTGATAAATACATTATGTAAAAACTGAATACAAATAAGACGATAAGACAATTGTCAGTTTCCATCCCTGACAGATGTGTCCCTGTGTGAGCAAAGAGATGATGACACTGGCACAACCATCATACAGGCCCACAATCTGATTTGATGTTGGGGTTCAACGGAGTTTGCTGTTTTGTCTTTTGGGAAGAAACATAAATCTGCTAAGAAGAAGATGAAAAGAGGCATGATGAGATCCCCAATCTTGACTCTCGAATATGCCTGTAAACTACAAAACCTAGAATTGTGACAAAGATTACTTCGAGACAGCTGATGTTGTCGAACCGTGATACATGTCCACTATTATTGTTGCGAGCAGACAAATGTATGCTTGTCGCAGATTGGATTCATTGGCCACAGGTCAAACTTTCCGTAAAGTCTGGAAAGAGATTTGCAGCACTGTCCCGCTGCCGTCTGACACTCACAGCGAAACTGCACGAATGAAATTTTAACTGTTCTCTCTGAGTTCTGCCACACACCGAATCAAGAACCAATGAAGAGCGGTTATGTGCATGGTCGAGGCACACGCTTGAGCTGCTGAATACCAATCTCTCCTGACCAAACTCGATCAAGCGCCACCATGTTTGAACTTCGCCGCTATAGCAAACCTCATCACGTTTCCCCGAGATTTATCATCGACTCTCGTGATCATTGACAGTTCCAGTTCCTGACTTCATCAAGGTTTCGTTCCGGACATGTTCGCACGGGAGCATGTGTGCGAATTCTCCGTCATGGATAGGCGATACTCACATCGTGCACAACAAATCTGTACCAGAAGAGGATTGGGTAATGTTCAGGCTGTAATGCCCACAGCACGGTGTCGATTAGGAGAGCTGTTCACCAAACTTGCCAAATCTGTTCTGAGAAAAGATTGTTCCTTCTATGACGGTCAAGGACTGCTGTTCGCAGACGCAAGGGAGGGACAAAACTGATCACAGGGATGTAGGGGCTCGGCAAGCGACAAGCTTCGAGTGCACCAAGTCACGTGGATCAGCGAATAAAGCAAAATTCCAGCTCATGCAGGGAGCTCGGTCGTGCAGAATTCAATGCCATCGAGGACGACGAGTTCCTCGACGAAGGTGGTCTTTGCGATCTGTAACCTCCAGTTCCACTCCAATCATCTGGTCGAGGCAACGACCTGGCTCTTTCGTAAAAGCCACTTTTCATCATCTGCATTTTGTGGACTGAGCGCATTGCAGGCCCCAAGGCTGGAAAGCAGAGCTATTCTGATGCGACTGTATCCATGTCCCCTGTACGATGCGCCAACTTTCTAGCCAGCCTCGATTTAGATTATCAATAACTCTCGATTGCTCGTACGCCCGTCGCTGCCAAGCTCGCGGACTAGCCACCACTGTCCGTCCTCCCATCCACTGATTCCCGAACAACTCAGAAATCTCAGAATTCTCAGACTCCGCAGCCGCAACCCCCCTAAGCTCAGCCCGCATGCGATTCTGCCCAAGGATGTGCCACCATCGCATCACCATCGCATCACCTGACTCTTGAGATCTTCCCCCACGACTTTTAGTACGCGATCACGACATTGCTGTACTGCCTCGTCGATGTTGGACCTCCGTCGCAGGTCCTGCTGCGGGTGGGACACAGTGGTGACGGTGACATGCCCAATCCCTCGATCTATTCTACTAATCTCGGAGTTTCGAGGAATATGCCAAGGAATAAAGCGAAAAATAAATAATTTAAATCATTAAAATTTCAATTTTGAAAAAAATGATAATTTTATTAAATTTAATATAGGACGGAAGACGTTTTCAAGCCTGCGGGGATGAAACTAATTGGGTAGGCTTGGCATCGGGTATTTCCCACCTGTGAAAAATATTCTCTCATGGTCTATATCTTAAAGTGTGCCTGAAGAATCTTAGTCTTACACGAACTAGTGCTCCATATAGGGCAATAAGTATAGAATGTGCTAAATTTTCTGTTGTTAAATATTTCATGATACATAAAATATTTCTAGAAACACTCCCCCATTTTGCATTGTACAATACGCTCTTGCACTTTCTATTTCAATAAAATGTGATGTCCAGAATTTCAACTAATTTAAGAAGTAGAGGAACAAATGATGAGAAGAAAGTGAAGACTGTTGAAAGTGAAGACTGTTGAAAGTGAAGACTGAAAGTGAAGGTCTTTGTAACTCGCACATCCAACTGGATGGTGTAGTTCACTAGTATTGACAGATGTCATATGAAACAGAAATAAAAAGTCCCGTTGTACAGTTTCACAATAATTAATATGCTTAAAAAATGGTATTAAAAGTTTAATAATTCATACAGAAATAAAAAACAAATCCATTTGACCCCATCCCAAATTATGAATATGCATATCCATAATTTCATATGCTTTGAAAAGTAGAGAATCAAGGTGGTGACATCCACATATAACCTTATACTGGTAGAGTTTGTTTGAAGTAGCTTCACTCCTCTCTCTCTTGCAACTCGGTTGGGTAATCTCCTAGTATGATTAAAAGTCATGTGTATAATTTGTAATATCAAACCAAGTGTACGTCTACCCCTCGCAAGACTGCATTGCGAGACATATCCATTCTCACTCCATGTGATCGGTCTAAACCTTTAGTGTCAAATCGAACATAACATTGCAGATCTGGTAGTAATCTGATGTGCAACAATCTTATGCTCCAATGTACTTACTTGCCATTTTTTTACCACATTACCATCAGATCACAAGTAATTAAAAATTACACAAAAAAATATACCACATAAGATAATGAAGCAGCTGAAGTTTTGGGATTTTAGATATAAAAACTTCACAAGAAAAATCGTTTACTTGTAGTTCTTGTGTGTTGATTGTAGCTCAGTCTTTTGACAAATATAAAACGTTAACTAGTTTGAACAATTTTTGAAAGACAGTGCAATTATGTTAGTGAAGATTTGATTTTACCGTTTTGCGCAAAGCTTAAGGAAAGTGGAGAGATCCAAACCAAATTACGAAAAGAACTGAAAGTAAAGATCTAGAAAAGTATCTCACTTTCTGAAAAACTTATCATATCTACAAAGAGTTTTTGAGAAACATTGCCATCATATTGCATCAAATGACTTGATATTGGAGACAAAAATGTGCTGATAGCCGCGTGTTACTCGAAAGAAAACATCTTGGACATTGAATGCAAAACTCTTTGAAGGTGGGATTCAATATACTAAGTTTGATGATGAAGAAATTAGAACAAGGATACGTGCTATAATTAATTTGAATTGGATCGCGTAAGAATATCTCTGATTTTTTATGATAGTAAAATAGCCCAAACCCTATGGCCAAAGGTTAGAGAAGACCCCATTTTCATCATGCTTTTCGACTCCAGTTTGGTTTAGAATCTAAGCCATAAGTTTGTACATTTATACACACTAGCAAAAAAAGGCTTAATTTGTACACTCGGCCAAAGTTGGTTTGTACATTTTGCATAAAAAGTATTTTTATTTGTCTTAAATGTCCAGTAGATCTCTCTGCTTCGTCTAGAAAATATACTCTAGTGACAGATACATTAAGTAGGTGCAAAAAAACTCGTACATCTTTCATTTCAGAATGGAGAAGTTGATCTTCACAAATGTAGTGTATGCAAAAATCACCGCTAAATGAGCGAGGATTATGGAATCGGTCGGGTAGAAATGACCAGGTGTCATCGAAGAACGATTTGACGATTGTTTTGTCAATAAACTTACGCACAGCGGTGATATATAGTTTATGAGGGTCACAGTGTTTGTTTTCAATTTCTCACTATACCACTTCACTATACCTTCACTGTACCACTTTGCAAGATGAGCTCGGAATGTATTGAGCACGTCTTTAATAAACACATCGGTGCGCATATGAACAAGTTTTGATGGAATCATAGGTTATGAATATTTATCGAGTGCACAATTATTGTTGTCACGTTCGGTTTGACGTCCATGAAACCACAGACAACCTTAATTGCATAGATTTCAATTTCTTTCAAGACCGCGATCTTTTCATCTTCCTTCAGAACCTCGTAGCAAGAGCCTGCAAACGATCTTGGATCGCGAATGTGATCAACAATCACCATCGTATGAATAGACATATTGTCAAGAGTTACAAGTAGATGGGCATTGTTGTTTGATACTTCTGACTCTGCAATCATGATGACAAACATGCGATCAAAGTTTGAATATGCTACTTCTGCTATGCTATAAGGAGATACCTTGTTTGCAAGATAGCAAACGTCACGTTGATTGCATCAATGGATGAAAATACAACATACGTGATTATTCATCACTTCTCCGTTGGCATGTGCAAATTGCAATGCTGCTCCTCAATGTATGCGATGATAGATTCACGATATGTCTTGAAAAAATCAATTACGCGACCCAGATGAAGCCATTGATTGGTTTTCTTTGGACACTAAATCCATACTGATAATAATGTTATTCTGAGCACGCAAGAATACATGTGCTCAGAATCTCAGATACACGATAGTGTTGATCTAATGAGGAGTGCATCAAATGCATAACACATTGTTCTCAGCATATTGGACAATGTGATTTACCAAACATGAATGTCGTCCAGTCATCGTGTTCTGACCATCAGATGACATGCCAATTAATTTGTGACGCTACATTGGGTACAACACGTTCATGAATTCAATGATCATGTTGAAAAGGTTATGCGTGAAATGACTATCAAATATCCGAAAGGCGACAAGATGGAGGTTGAGCAAAGTTTTGTGATAAATTCGCAAACGCAAGTCAAAGAATGACTGATCCCGATGCGTGCTGCTATTACCAATGAGAGAGAATGCGCAAATAGAGATATCTCCGATCATGTAGACAAATTGTTGTAGACATGCGATGACGACGACACGAACATATTGCCCAACAATGGTATCGTTCACGCACATCAATTTAGCCGTTTAGGTACAATCCTTGGCATGCATGGATCCAATTATCTTCATCAAAAAATAGATTTTCAAACAATGTAAACAAAACATAGCTTTTCATATTCAACACATATGATTGTTTGATGATTGAACATCATGAAATAGAGTGAGTATCAATTGAAACGATACATTTGAAATAGCATTTTTGAAACTAATGTAATAAAAGTATTTGAACTTTATGTACTTATCCATGTATGTATTCACGTGAATTTACAGTGTTTACGCTGAATTTACGCTGATTTACAGTAGTTTATTTGAGTTTAAGGTAAAGCCTGAAGGTGTGACATGATTTTCATGATGTTTTTACTACGCTCCTTGAACTGATATGGCTTTTCACTATATTTTCAAGTCCGTCTTGCTATAAATCGTATGGCTAAGTAACATATGGCACTTGGATTTCAATAGCACCACCTAAAATTCCCTTATCTGGAAGGCTTAAAGTAGTATTAGTTTTAACGAGTGGCTCTAATGTAGTAAAGCGATGGTCAGATTAAAGAATTAGGCTGAAAAAACATGCATTGTTTTATGTACTATATAAATGCATATCCTACATACCGAAAGGAACAAATAATTTGGCAAAGAATATGGGGAAGTTTCAGTTCAGTGGCATATGGATGAAACCAGAGGGTAAGATAGGCCCAAATATTATAGACAAAGTTAATACAAGGGAATGCTCCACCAAGCACTTAGGGAATGAAAACATATGGATCATGGGCATAGCATCACACTGGGAAATATTTCGAATTAGACCTTAGATATTTCAGATGTCTACAAATTTTTAAAGTGATCTACAAATTACAACATGAACCTAGAATGATATACAAATATTATCAAGATCCATGGTGTGAGTTCACCATGTATTACCATAATGGACATGAAGCTTGACAGGACCCAACCTCGTGATTTGTGCCCAGTTGACCTTAGAGATGCAACTGAAGATACAACGAGAGTGATTATCAGGAGAGATACTAATAATATATATTTCTTTAGCTCCTCCTCTGGTTTCCTCTGGCCTCTGCTTTGTTGAACTATATATGGCATCATCGCGCTTGATATACCCTGCACCTTATTGCTGCCTCCCAACTGGGTTTTAGTCATATAAGATCGACTTAATGGATTGCAGATCTAACTGCTCCTCTCCAGTTTATTCGATTCATTGGCGGGTCCGGGTAATTGCAACCAACTCGATAAGTACAACAACAATGAGTGCAACTTGGTAAGAAAAAATTGAGCTTGATTGTTAGTTTCCTCTTGAGCTTCCCATCGACAGGTTTGCTCTTGATTTTCAATGCCGTTTCACCGATGGCACCATATACACTCTCTAAAACAAAATTTGCAACTTTTGATTATTGTCACCGAGGAGAAATTTTAGAGAGTCCATAGATGGGGGGAAATTGATTGTTTTTTCTTTTTTCTTCGCCTGATTTCTTTTTGAACGAACATACACTAAAATCCTTGCACTGTCTGCTCTACGCCACGGTGTATTCGGCTCGCCAGGAAGAGCACGTGTATAAGCTTCTTAACGTGCATTTATTGCACACGCAGCTTACAATTGGCAGCGTGGCACTGACGTGGACAAGGGCTCGGACAAATGTTCGATCGTCCAAGTTCTCCCCGCCAAAGTAACCTCCGGTTTTCCCTTCTGTGAAGATGATGGGGCACTGACGTGGACTTGCTCCGTCAAGGTGGCCTGATGCTCTTCTGGTTCCAGAGTCCTGGCGCTTTTCTCGATCACTCCACTGTCGCTCGCCTTTCTCGTCCCTCGCTCCATCGCTGACTGTGAACCGTGACAGTGAGACAGAAGGTGACCGACCGAATGTAGAGTCGTAGATGAAGGTGGAATTTCTCGTTGCTTTGAATCGATTCCAGCTTCTTCTTCCTCTGCATCTTCTTCTTCAGGAATCGGTGCTGTCATCTGTGCCTGCAGATTCTCCTTTCAGGTCGCGCTATCTTCGAGGAAAACCATTCGCACGCTAACCCTTTCCTGGTCTTTCAGCGTCGTGTCTCATTAATTGGTTCTTTGTCGCTGCCAGTTTTGGGGCTGATATGATGGAGGAAGCTCCGGTTAGTGCAGCTGCGGCAATCTTTGTCATACTTTTGCTCTTGCATCTGTTCCTGGAGTACTATTCTCGAATAACACCGGTGAGTAAAAAGGGAAAATAGAATAGAACGACATCAGAGGTAATTTCGCTCAGAGGGTAGCTATGGGATTTATTTTTGGTGCAATTTATGCGATTCCTCTAGGGCTCAGTGTCATGCATTTTGACTGGTCTGGAGTTTTGGAAACCACGCATTTGTGGATTATCCACTTGCTATTGTGAATGGTGAGGCTTGGAAATCTGCCTCCATTGAGACGCTGATGGTCTCAGCGACGTCGTTGCAGACTGGGCAGCTCAGACCTCAGGAGCGTGAATTGGTGAAGGAGATAAGAGAACTGCATCGAGCAGCCGATGCACTTGCCACGTAAGTATGAGTCGGGAATATGAGTTCGTTTTATTACTTTCACATCCTCGAAGTGAAGACAGTGAGGCGATTTGACGCAGACTATGTCGTGGAGATTGTTGCAACCTGAAGTAGATCGCATCTTTTCCTTGATAGTATGGTACTTGCTACTTTGGCATGTAGGTTTGGTAGAAAATCTACTTGAAAAGGACACACATGATTTAACCAGTAGCCCATCTTTTACATCCATCAGCTCAGTGTTCAATCTCTGGTGTGATTGATAGGCCGGCCACATTTTCTAAATCTGCCAAGTTAAAGCGGTCAGCTGCTGCAAAGGAGAAGGAGCTTGCTCTTTGTAAGTGCAAAATTGTCAAATATTTGAATCATGTTTTTCATCTTCTTTCGAGGTGCCAAACGAATTCCTACTGCATATTCTTGCAACTAGAAGCAGTATGAACGAATGGCCACATTTATACTCCTGTGCTGTTACTCCACTTCACTACATGAGTAGACTCGAGCACCCTCATTCTTTAACCCTCGACTTCTCTTTTCTTCACATTGCATGAGATATTGATTTTTCGTTCAATTGTACCTTCTGGCAGTGAGGCAGAATCTGGCCCTCCAGAAAGGATGGTGGCTTTCTCTTTATTCCACTGCCCCTAATGCTCTCGAGGTGCAGTTAAAACTTTTTATTCTCTCACAGTCCTGTTTCACAATAAAATCTATGTTAGACTTTCGTGGACGTCTTAGTACAAGGTCCTAGGTTTCTAATATCATATCATTGTACTATGTGTTAGATTTGTTTGCACAAACGGACTAGCCTCGATATAATATCGAACATATTTAAAGCTCGTACAGTAATTCTGACATCTGTAATTGTGAACATCTCATGCAGGTCGTTGTCTACATGATTCTGGCTCAGTGGTTCTGGCATACTTCTGTTGCAACCATTCCTGCTTCCTTTCTTCAACCTGTTTCCTTTCTTCAACCGTACGGTATGAACCTGAAACGCACCTTTGTTGTCTTTCTTAGGCTGGAACTTCTCTTTGCTGGATACTTATCATCATAGGGTTTAAAGATTTCTTCAGGTTTTCATTGAAAGTATATGTGCTGAGGTGGTGAACATTGTTGGTCTACGCAGAACTATCATCGAACAAAGAATCATTAGGAGGTGAAGTAGCGGTAAGATACCTTTTTTCTCACATACTTCCGAAACGTAATGCCCAAGCCGCTCAGGCTTTCCATGAGCAGCCCGTGTGTCCTGCTGTGTCCAGAAACGTCGACTGGAACCTGCAAATCCGCAGAAAGCTTGCATGCTAGGGTAGAGATGTTCCTGACTTCCATGAGTATCAAACAACTATCAGTAACTTGCAAGCTTTATGATCCAAGTTTTTGTTTGTCCTCTTTTGGTCATTTCCTTGTTCCTTTTTGCCGGCTGGAATGTGTCTAGTAAGTATAGGTGATTTGTATGCGCTATAAGTGAGGGTGGATCTCTGAGCGGTCGTTGTTCTAATTATCCGTAAGTCGAGTTCTCTTGATACTTTTCTTGTCACGCTTTTAGTCTGAACATAGGCCCTAACTACATGTTTGACATGTTGCAAGTAAACTAGAGCGGTGCTGCAATCTCCTGTCAATAACTATTAGTTTGCATAGAAATCTGAATGAAGAAATTATCTGATGTACTTCTCAACTTGCAGGTGGGTATCTTACCATGGCTTGCTTTGACATCACGTGTCAGCAAATTTGTGTCGACAAAGATTGTTGGAAAGCCTCCATTGAAATCTGCTGCAAAAGTTTCATTTCAATAAACTGATTATGTACTATATATCGTCTCATTCATTAAATTCTAATGTAAAGGTCTGATGTGAAGCTTGCACTCGCGCTGTGAACGAAGGTGACCGACCACTTGAGAGTCATGCATGCAACCTCCTGAATTTCTGTGACAGTTCAAATATTCCTCCGTGGGTGTATCTCTCTTTGAATGGTCGTATTTCAAAAGCCGTGAGTGAGAGGATTTATGCTTTTTTGTGAGAGAAGTCACATTTTGGATCATTATCAGTTTATATTTCTAATTTACTTTACAAGGATGCGTTAATATTGTCTTATTTCGGGCCTATGTCGCAAGTATCGGACCAGAGAAAGTACAGCAGATGGATGCTTAGCATGGGAAAAGTTGATTCCTGTTTTTCTCAAACCCTCATTTGGAACAAGTTTGCCCTGGACTAGAAGTTATCTCTAAGAAGAACAGCAGTTCCAGTTGAGGTTGCCAGTTCATGTGTATCCTTATATCCTTATTTAATCTTGGTGAAGACAACGTTGTACCACTTATAGCGTATTCTAGTTCCAGCAGGATTCATAAATCAGAGCTGAAGCGAACAACCAACACATTCACTGTGAGTTTTGTTCTAGAATTTTCGGTTTGCAACAGGCAAAGGGCAATCGGTGTGCCTTGGTACCAGAGCATTGTGTTTCAATTTGTAGCGAGTATTGGGATGAAATATGACCCAAATAAAACGTGTTGTGTTAAAAAGTAAGGTTTGCCCCTGTAGCGGGTTGAATGTCAGGAAGAGTGCTGGGATCGGAGTGCATAGAAAAAGACCTTGTTCGCGCGAACACGTAGTAGGTGGTTGACGACGAAGCGAAATTGGTCGAAGAGCGTCTTCGATTTGACCCACGCAAGGGGTATGTTTTTCATTGCATGCAAAGTTGATATCTAAGACTTTCCAAACTGTCAGGAGATCGTGTGCAAGACCTGTGAATTTCGGTTTGGGGATAATTACGAACAAGATCTACTTATGATCGAAAACCAATGGTTTTAAAACATGAATCAAGTAAAGACACCAACGGTGTCGTTCGATCATGAACCGATCCATTCAGTGCTAAGACGCCATTGGTGAAATCTTCAACAGCGATAACTAAAGCTGGAAGCAGGATGGACAGCAACTGGAAGTTTAAAAAAAACTGAACCAAAAACTGAACCAAGGGCAGCGAGGGGTGAGAAGAGATGGAATGTGTGACAAATGAGACGTTGAAAACAAAAGAAGAGGAAGTTCAACACTTGCCGTGAGCTTGTCTTCAACAGTGTTTCTTAATGGTTCTCTTAATGGTCGAAAAGAAAGTCATCATGAAGGCTGACCAATTAAAGTGAACCAACTGCCATAATAGTGCTGGGCTTTAAACCTCCGATTTAGACAAGCACTTCTTCTACTTACTACTGAAAAAGTTAGAAATGATCAGGATTTTATTTTGACGAGTTGGCTTCCGCTTGGCTTGTTACCGAGAGTTTGTAGTTTTAGCTCTTTCGCTGAAGATGAGGATTAAGGTTTTAGAATATGCTGTCAAGTTGTAACTCTGGTAGTATAAATGGCACGAAGAATCGGTAAGGGTTAGAGAGGCAAAAACACAATGTGGAAAACTCCCGAAAAAACGTGCATTTCATTCTTGGCGAGCCTGAAATCCCGATTGGGGAGGTCAGCGATTCCAAATTGACCAAAGCCTTTATGGGAATGTTTCCTGTATGAACGTGTGCACGTGAGGTGGAAACGATAAGCTCATCAGGAAGTTCCTCCTCCTCGTCATAAAGACCTGAGATTGCCACCTTCAAAGGCTTTACTTTGCAGCAGTTCGTTTTAGGACATTTTTTTGTGAACCTCGCCTCGCCTTGCCTGAACATTGCATATGTGTGGATGAAATATGAAGTTCTCGTAGCATCGAGTGTTCGTTAGATTTCAGGGCCGATTAGAATCAGAGATTGAAAGAGTCGACATAATCCACTTCATGTTTGCCACCATTGCCAAGCATGAGTTATAAAACACCCTCCACTTGTGCAGGGTTTAAAGTACGAATTCTGCCAGCCTCGTCACGTCTACCCCATGCCCCTGCATTGCATTTCTGCAAGAAAACCATCGACCTCGGTGCACAATCCCGACACAAACTTTATCCGAGCCTCGAACTGTCACCTCATTGAATGCAGATGCCAAACGGACTCGGATAAAACCAGGTGAGAATACCGAATCGGACGCAAACACGACAGAGCTACACAAAAGGCGACCGCTCTGCACGAAGAAATTTCGCTCTGACTCCCTCAGGCACTCATTGAACTCGTCATTGTCCACGCCCTCCATACGGACCCAAAACCAAATAAATGCCAAAAGGCTACATCACTTAAGACCCTCGCCACAGTCATCGCGCCGTTGAGTGCGTCGCGCATGGACCACCGAGTCGAGGTTTCAGGGTTTCAGGGTTTCCGATCGGTAACCCCAATCAATCATGGAAACCATAACCGATCGATGCGATGCGCCTCAGGGCAAATCATTCGCCCGAAAGAAAGCGCTAACCATGACTCCGAATCAGCGCATCGGACGCCCCCAACAATCCCCACCCCGGAGCTTGCGCCACCACTGATCGATCAGCCGTTCGACCTTTGACATACATCATCACAATCATCGAGGACCGTCCTCCGGCAGATTATCGAGGATTTGAGGAGGGGGCTCTTAACTCTCTCGTGAGAACCAGCTCGACGCAAGATTTGTCGATGGACGCGACGCCGCGGGGCTCTGGAGACCCGTGCCGTGAAGAACGTCCGAGCTCATAACTCCGTCCGGCAGTTGAAGCTTTGAGTGCGATTTTCGGTACGGATCGTCGAGCGCTTTCGGGATGGAGGACGCAGGTCGTTCAACGGGTTTCTGCGCTGTCCACGGTGTCCCGCAAAAGGCGGCCTCCGGTTCAAAACCCTGGAGTGCGGCTGGTGTTGCGGATCCTGCATTTGGGGGCCCCGGGCGTTGTTGTGGTGGGGAACTCGGTCAATGCGGCTTTGTAGCATTTATTATCGTTCTATGGTTATATATCTTTGAATATCCTCTTAGATCAGACGTCCAAATTTTTCTGCCCTCTACTCTTTGGGCTTTAGCCAAAAGAGTGAAAATGAGAATGGAACCTCATACTTGAGGCTGGTAAATAGATCAAGCCCGTGGGACCCAAAGGGTCAAAAGGCTAAAAAACACAATACAAACAATCCAATTCCAAATTAGGAGAGAACCAAAAGAACCCCCTAGCTAGTGCCCAAAACATTAAAACGGTAACTAATAATATCTCTAATGTAACAACCTAAATCATAAGGCTCGAGTTGAAGCAGAGAAAAGAAATGTGATCGCCAGTCGAGACAAGATGGAGTGGAGGAGCTACCGCATACCTTGCTGCTGCTACTGCAGTCGTTGTTTTGGCTCGCCAGCCTAGTCGATCGTCATGAAGGACTAGCGAACAAGATGAGGATTAAGGATCGACACTACAGAGTATAGTAGAGTACTCTACAGTGATGGGAAGGCAAAGAGATTTTAGGATTCAGAGAGTAGATGGGAAGAGTAAGATTTTAGGATTCGATCGGGGTCGCGGTTGAGGGTCTCGGGGAGTTTACATGTGACAATTAGCTGAAGGTGTGCATTGAACAAAAGGAACCGCTCCCGTTCTATGAGTTGGGTCTCAACAAGAAAGTTAAAAAGTCAAATAATTGAAATTTCTCTCTCCATTGTTGCTATGCATCAGAACTTTGGGGGAGCTATGTGATATCGGGCCTAACCTCCACTTTCATAGGACAGTCCCTCCTCTAGCCGCCAACTATATACGAATATATAGGTACAAGAATTTCGTTTAGAACATGAGTTAGGGTGTGTCGCTGGTGGTGGTCCAGTGAATAAAATGATAAGTGTTGGATACCAATAAATCTTGTGTGTTACACGAGGTGCCATCATAACGGTTTGTTTACAACGTCTCAAAATCATTTGAAAGATTGATTTTGTTTCATTGGAAATAATCATTCAATCTCATTCAAAGATTATATTCAACCCAATGTACAACTCAAATGAAAGTTAGAATGTCATTAATCTTGTCACTCACAACAAACTATAATAAGTTTTGAATGTATTCTTTAATATTGCTTGATTAATATACAATTAAAATTGAGTAAGTCTCGGACGTTTACATATTGTGAATTTTACTTTTTTGCAATTATTATGTAGAAAAATAAATAAATTAGAAAATCTGGATTACCTTTTGTTTACTCATAGTATGCAATTGCAACACATCAGGTGGAATGAAAAGATGGATATTTTTGCAAAATAATGAATTACCATTGATTAGCATTATAAAAATGTAATGCTTTTATGTACTTAGAAATATTTTTTGATTTAATTCTCACTATTTTTAATTTTAGATAAAATATATTATAAGATTAAAATGATCAAGAAATTAATATAGCGTAATTGATAGAAATTTTTTTTAAAAAAATTCCAAAAAAAAATTTAAAGTAAAGCATCACTGATTAAAAGCAAACAAATTATCATGGTAAATAGAATTCTATATTTTTAATATGATAATTCAAGCGTGTTTGATATTTTTATTAAAAAAAGGTTATGATGAATCTGAAAAGTATATAAATTTTGGTGTTATATATATATATATATATATATATATAAACGTTCTCAATTTCATAAAACAATTCAATTTAGTTCTATTGTTAAAAACAGATAATTTTTTATTTTAAATATACTGAAAATTTTCATTTCTTTCAAATTTCAAATTGATCTGATAAAATATATTCAATGGAACTTTAGCATTTAATACGAATTATAGTCAAAACAAGCTCTTCCGCTTTCATCTAATTGAATACTAGCTTATTTTGAATTTATTTTCTTAAACCGAACGTATATCCTACCTTGACAAACCTTTAGTTTTAACGAGCTATATATATATATAAAACTAGATCTGGAAATCTGTTATATTAGCAAGGTTAGTTTATACTCTTTCTCCTTCAAGAGTTAGTGAATCCTGGTTAAAGCATGCATTGTGGAGTTTTGACTTGCAATAGTTACACTTTTCTATCTAAACTCAAATGATGCAAGCGTGTTATCAATCCTAAGGCAACATGTTTCCAGATGCTTTGTTTGTTTGGGCGGCATAAAACTGAATTCCACGGTGTTATTATGAAGTGATATTTTTAATGGGAGTGAGCATTGATACACATTGACTAAGTTTAGGTAATTAAGCAACGAGTTTAGGTATGTGAATAGTCGTTGCTCATTTTTATGGAAAGTATAGCAACCAATGATGTTATCACGCTTGTTGTTGCATACGTGATTCTGCAAATTATATCCTCGTTTGGAAATCTGATACTACAGATTACAGACTTATAGAAGAGATATTTAATCATTATCAAGAGTGCACGATAAACAGACCTATAGCAGCCAACTTTTTCAAAGTATAAGAATCATGTATATAGATTAAGTTTTTGTTGTTCTGGCTTGGGACTATATCAATTCATTATTCGAGATTTTAACATGTTTGAAACCATGTTTACAAAATGTGACATGCTTGTGTGATAGTACACAAGAGCCTAATATAAGAAATGCTTGTAAATTTGTGGAACTTGATATGTGATATATATTATTGTCTAGTTATGTTGTGTTGTTCATAAATCAATTCAAGTACATAGTTAAATGTCTTAGGCATCAAGAGTTTTACCATTGAAAATATTGCCAATGGTAAAACTAAAGGGCTCATCCCTTTCAATCTTGAGAAGGCTCGATGAGTTCTTACCATTCATTTCTGCTAATCCTTTCACGAACATACTTCAACCTACCTTACTCTCAAAAGAAAGTTCATCATTCTTGTATACATAATGAGAGTCAATGCCGTTCATCTCCCTGGAAATTGAATAAGATTTAAACAAATCGATTTGTCGTTGTCGAGAAGAATATTTCCCAATTTAGAACAAGGAGGAGATGTTTGAAGTACCGACATGGTGTCATCTCTCGCCCTTGTACGAGAACACAGCATGAAATCAGCTGCAGAGATGTACGAATGAATGCGAGCTGGAGAGAGAGAGAGAGAGAAAGCATGACCGTCCACTGGGGCCTCGGAAAACCTTCACATCATCGGGCACGATCGCGCCTGGAGCTGCTCGATACGCATGGCAGAACGAGAGCGAGCGAGAGAGACGTCTGACTCGTCTTCATTGCACATAACAGATTCCAGCACTAATCCAACGGTGCCGATTCAACAATGTGGCATATTCGGACGATCGTTCGTCTGAAGAGGAAGAGGAGGAAGAGGAGGAGGACGAGGAGGACGAGGAGGGGGCCGGAGCAGATGACGTCGGTGTGTCGTGCATGCGGAATCGATCCGTCCGGATGAGATTCGAGGAGAGAATCTCAATCCACTGCCAGTTTTTTACTCATTTCTCTGGCCCTCGCCTCCTCCGCAGAGCAGTCGGAATCGGTCACGACTGGCGCATGCTCGCTGCCCTTCGCTTGGCCAGTGGCGCTTGTGGGAGCCGGGAGATCGGTCGATCGTTGGGATGGGCGGATTCATCGACGGAGGGAGGCACGGGGTGGAGGACGAGCACCTTCATGATGAACGCACTCGTTGGGGTCGATCCTTCTCGAGTTTTGAAGCGATGGCGGAGCCAAGTCAGTGCTCCTGGATAGGGCCAGTAAAGGACTATCTGCAGAGTCTTCTTCGAGCCAGAAGATTTTTTGCAGAAGGGTTTCATGGTCCTTTGGTGTAAGCAAAACACCTTCAGGTTCAAACACAGGAATGGGAACTCTATATATACAGTATTGGAGAATTGTACAATGAAAGAACTACCAACAGTAGTATGACAATGTGATAATAATATCTGATTCATCAAAATCAAATTTCATACAAATCATATGTTATGTTACATAACACATGATTTGTATAAAATTCTCGATGCTACATAACTTATGTAGCATCGAGAAGATTGACTTTAATAGTTTATCTATCAAAAAAGAGATGAATCTGATTCGTTCAAAGATACAGACAATATAATTCATGATAACAAATCATTGCACAATTAATTTATAAACATGGGGATGCTAATGATCTAAATATTCATCGGAACGATATACTTTAATGGAAGAATGTTGTTTTCAGCTGGATATGTACAAGAACATCCCTCCAGATGTCTTAAATCCCTTCGAACGAAAATGATGTATCGTAGAGGTCGAAGGCATGCTCGTCTTTGCGTGATTGAGTTCATGACGGCCCGCCAAAAGTCACGAAGCAGTCTTCTTCTCTACGAGGGAGGAGAGTGACCCGTTGCGTCCTCAACTTTCAACGATTATGTTAAATGATTAATTTCCTACTAGTTCGTAGGTACGATCATTGGCTCACACGGATGAACCTTTTGAGTTTGCCTCCAATGACATATTTGACACAATAAAAGAGCAACACACCATAGCCTTTATCTTTTCCACAGCCATAGACTTTGTGCACAGCTTGATTCGCATCTGCCCCTCTTCTTATAGTTCGATGGGATTTTCATACGTCCCTCTTATCCATGCTAGTACGATAGGCTAGGGCCACCTACTGGACTTCCAGCCCCGGAATGTGTGCCGGAAGTCTTCAAACCACGGGACAAAAATTCCATGTCCTCAAAATGCATGCCACCAAAAGAGAAATCTGTACCAAAAAAAGATGGGAAGATCCCATCATGCGCTACATGGATTAAAACAAAGGAGTCAGCTGGGAGAGGCTCGGCTCCAAAGGTACTGTACATGCCTTGCTCTCCAATATTTTTAGTCTATTGTAACCCTGAGTAAGTTACTACTTTTCCTTCATCAAAGACTTCCAAAAGTACTCAAAAAATGCGTCAAAAGAACTATACTGAGAAATGAGACCGGACTTTTTCGTAGCTTAAAATTTCAAATGCAAACACTTTCTTCTCCGGTAGGTTTCTACCCCCAATGAGTCCAATCGGGAGGTGCCTTCCATTTACCGAGATTGAGGTGACAAGCGACGTAAAGTAAAATAAATTTTCATGCAAACATTTGATTAAAAACTCAGATGAGCCGTAAGAAGAAATCCTCTCAAGTGCAGAAATTTTGGCTTATCCAATGTCTTTACAATTAGTGCAATTACTATGTGCTCTCACGACCTTGCAGCACTTATGGAGGCTTATATCTTTACATTGAGCTCCAGGGGGGGGGGGGGGGGGGGGGGCTTGAAACAAGATCACAGGACTGTCCTCGGTACTCGGCATTGGTACCCGACTCCCCGACAAGTCCAGTCAAGTCGCGACGACTGAGGACGACTGAGCGTCGGTATTGCCACGCGTCAGCTCTTAAAGGCACGACGGTGATAGGAAAAAGCCCCCAATAAATGAACCTGATTGGGGGTGAACGAGTGACCGTTAGGCGCCTTTGTCACACACTTGTTCCTCGCCCGCGTCCGAGTCCGAGTCCGAGTCCGAGTCCAGTCCAGTCGAGGGGAGGCGTGAGTCGTTGCGGGGAGGGAGGGGGAAGCCTGGGATCTTCGCCCGGCTGTGCTGTGTGACCGTTGCCGGGCTATTACTGCTGCTGGTTGGACATTGATTCCTCGTTGGGGGGGTTCATGGTGACACTGCGCACAGTCGATCGTTCACATTCCGACCTGCCCGTCCTCGGCACTTGAAGGAGATTCATTAAATTTCATTCTCATGTACAACTGCGCTGCCTGGCAGACATATCGACTATATAGCCTCGCGCTCTGACATTCGAGCGAGCATGCATTAAGACGATTGCGGCCCGACTGTGCGCGCGCGGACGAGGCAGGCGAATGTGGAGTTCACCGAGCTCAGCTCATTCAGTCGTCGTCGACGTTGTGTTTTCAACAGGAAGAAGCGAGTGAGAGATTTTTGGTCTGATCTCGACTCTCGTCAGTCATTCGTTCTGTGATTTGGCCGGGGACTGTTGGAGGTCGAAGAATCGGGGTGCACAGTGTACGATATGGCCACTGTTCAGCTGGTGAGCAAGGAGGCGTCGGACATTCTGTCGAAGAAGTTCTCGGACCTGTCGGACGAGCACGATTACGATCCCATCGAGCCCTATGTCACGCACTTCCACCCTCGTCCCTCCGTCCGATCGAGGTTCCCGTTCTCTCCGCACCCTCGCCTGCTGCGCGACGACATCGACGTCTACCCGTCGGCCTTCTGTACCGACGAGTACCTGCATTATCTGGAGGAGGATTCGTACATCGTGGCCATGACTCCTCTGCGAGCCGAAACTATCCTCCAGCTCAAAGCCACTCCGTCCCGTGGCCCCCGACGCGGCGGTCGAGCTGAAATTAAAAGACTTCGGCAAAAGTATTCCACTGCCAATCTCAAACACAAGGTCAGCATTCTCCTCTCTCTCTCTCTCTCTCTCTCTCTCTCCCATTGCAGGCCCATAGATTGCTCTTCAGTGTGTATAATCACAGCCAGGCAGTAGGTCAATTTCCTGCTGGGAAGGAGAATGGGGTTCTGACTGACTGCAGGCGACGTGTGCCCTCTAAAGTTTCTGGGTTGCGACTCTCAATGGACAGAATGTTCCATGGGAAGCAGCTATCGGCCCTGACCTCTCGTAAACTGTTTGTGTCCTTGTGTGCAGTTCATGCATTTGTGCGGTGCGTCGAAGGCCATGTTCAGCAGCAAGTACGTCGGGTTGCCTGTTTGAGATGAAGCCAGTGGCAGGGATTGGGGGAGGGGAGAAGAGTCAGGCCTCTCGAACGAGTGAGTGAGTGGCTGGCTTGTGTACAGGAATGGTCGGTCATGTACATCGTTGGATGTCCGAGGGCGACTTTGAGCTCGATCAACACTGGCTGATCAGCCTCTTAATTGAGCCGGCTGTAAGGCCATCGTAGCTGTAAACAATGGTTTAGTCAACTGAGTGTGTACAGAGAGAGAGAGAGGGAGAGAGAGAGGTAGTTTCTTCCACGTGGTCGAATTTTGTGGGGAACTGGCGATGCGATTGTTCACGGACAATGAACACTGCGCTCATGCTTTCGCTTTCGCTTCGCCGATGATGATGGTCGATCATCTATTCGTTCCATGTACTTTTTGCGAAACCTCGAGTCCCGCCGATTGCCTGAAGCGAGCCATGTCCTTCGCGCAGCATCGGCTGTGGCCGACGGAATCCGATACAAATTCATCATCTTATTTCCTGCTGCTGAGCTCTTGCAGCGTTGATTGAAATCGATCAATTTTGAGCGCTTGAAAGAAAGCACACTCTGCCTCATTGAGCACAGCCTTTTCTTAACTCATTGCAGTTCTTCTCTTGGTCTACCTTTCCGCCACTGCAATTGGAGGTGCGTTTATATTATTCAGCTGAATCTAATCTTGCAAATGGCTTGTTCAACTCTTCTCTGCATCACCATGCAAATCTCTCGCTCTCTGTCCCTCTCACTCCATCCTTCCTGATTGAGTTCTGCTTCTGAACTGGTAAATTTCATAAACCTTAATCCTGAATGGAAGTACTGGGCCCTCCTGCATGCTAAATTTCGCCTCTGAGGTGAGAATTCGAAGAAGCTTGAAACAGTTTCAACGAGAAAATCATGGTCAGTCATTGAACATCTGGAGTTACAATACGACGAGATTTGAGAACGATGGAATCTCTTCGTGGGATGGAGTAACTTCTCTCCACAGGACCCAGCGTCTGAGCTCACGTCTGGGACGTGAGGGGGGCAACTTGCAACGGATGTGCAGCGAAAAATCTTGCAACACATGTTGGACCTGGGCTGTGAGCTATCTATCTATCTACTGGCGGGACGTTCGCAGGGGACTGACTGACAGTCTAAACGTAGTATGTCTAGGGCCTCGTGCGGTCACAGCTCACGAGACCACACTCTAGACAGAGGAGAGAGCTGAGCAAAGTCAAAGCTTAGCGCAGTAATAATTGTGGTGTCTGACCCAGTTGTCTGAAGCATGATCAATGGCAAGCAGATGAAGAGGCAGGCAGTAAAGGACAATGATTCTTCTGTGACCCTCGTTAACCTCCGTTACAGACAAACCGGGATGAGTTGATGTGGTCTACTCTACGTGCAAGGATGTGGATGAACCCCGAGTATGGACTACGTACGCCGTCCGTAGGTGGTAAGATCGATCCCCGAGCTTAATTCGTGTGCTTTTCGTTCTACAGTAGTCTAAAAGGATAATCACCACGTAATCTCGACGAATGGTACGCAGTTGAGTGTGCACAGTTGAGGAAATGTTGGTCAATTTCCGAGTCCATTCATCCTTTGTAACATAGTTACCTCCTAACGAATAGGGGTGAATGAAATTAAGACCGACTTTGTATGCAGATGTATTGGGCTTATATCGAAGAGTAAGCAACTTAGACTTCTTCTTCTCAATGTAAAGAATGTGGAAAAATTGCAAATTTTAATTGAAAACACGTCTTATCTTCTGCATTTTTTTTCTAGCTAAATATCTTAACTTTAAACATGAGTGAATTCATTACATTACATATTGCCCTGCATTTATAAGTCCCCTAAATACGTTCATTAATTTCATATTCAGGTAAGCTTAAATTAAATTTAACAATCTAAGATCACTACTGAATCATTTCTAAATACTAAAGAAAGCACACTAATTTTAAGTGAAGGGTAAGCGAAGCTCGATGGACGAAAATAGGCGAAGTCTGTCTTCTGAAATGTGGCCCAGACTCTGGGTACACAGAATGAATGTCCACGGCACAATGACTGCTTCCTTGGGTGTGATGGTCCTTCCTCTCGATGATCGCAGAGATGAAGGGCCACAGAATCCTGTCATGTACACGAACTGATAACTTGCCGAACGTCCACACTAAATCCACGTAGCCGAGGAAAAAGGATGCATGCCTGCGGACATCGTCAACGTGCAGGATGGTGCAGGATGGGGAATCGACCTCGCGGCACCTTCGAATCTTGTGTGCACGAGACGAGACGAGATGTGTGGCCTGTCTCTGGCCTTCGCTCCCCATCGCGTAGCCTGCGATGCGAGCTCAGAATTGCAAGAGAGAGCGGTTTGGACCTTCGTTGCCGACGGCAAGGCAATCATTCACGTGCCATCGTTGGACGGCCTCGCAGCCAATCGACATGCGGCTTCAGCCTGGAACCTCAGGCCTCCTCCAGGTTGGCGACCCAGACGCCATAACACTCATGCCGACCAGCGTCTCAGATATTTTACTACATTTATTGTCTACAAAATTCAATTTACTTTTTAATATTTTATAACGTGTGATGCGTTTAAGTGCGAAACCAATTTCATGACATTAATTTTTTTTGAATATTATCAAGTTACGAGATTTTTGTTATCATACAAATCAGTTGAGAACTTGTAAAATATTATTTTGTAATCTCTTTATAATAAATAGCAGCCTACATATTCACAAGATGACATCATTCAACAACGATATCGAACTGAAATCTTATTTGATAAAATCATGCTAGAAATTTCATTTTGATTTTTTGAGAGATTGGTTGATATACAATGTCTTGTCACCTCTCAAAAATATACTCTTAATTATTTGGATGCAATATAGTTTATAATGAGTAAGAAGAAAATATTTTGAATGATTCACTATTTTTTGGGTGTATTTTTTCGCGTTGTTTTATCATCATGTTATTCGAGGTAAGGTTTAAGATCTAGTTTCTTAATTTATGTCTATCATCATAACAATCTTATGTTACAAGAGAAGGTACCAAGTAATATAGGCAAAACGATGGGGAAATCCATCTGATGTACATGAATGAAACCAAAGTGTCCTAATAGGGATGTTATTAAAATAACTTCACAATGGAAAATGTGTCATATCGCAGCAGAGTGAGATACTAAAAGTTTCTAACCATAACAGTTTACATTCGACAAGAGTTATATCACCTACCATGTTTGATGTCCCACTTCCGAATGGAACTGGACCATCAACCCATTTTGACCCAACTCCTGGCCTCTTCTGCGATTGATTTCGACATGACTTAGATATGATGTCAAATGCAAGATAGCTGAGAGTGAGGGGGGAGGTATGGAAGATAATTCCATATATTTTTTTGCAAAGATTTTTCATGCAATTGGATCACTACCCTACATGAATCATATGAATTGCGAGTTCCACGATATATTATAATATTACGATGGGTAGGTAAAAGTACAATCCACTACAGCAACCAAAATTCTCAAATTCAACACTCGGGGTTCATGCAACATATCCAGATAATACTAGGGAGCTACTAAGGTAAACTAGACTTATCACTAGGCAGATACGAATTCTCCAAACCTCCTCCACGTAATGGCCTTTTGATGAAAATCTTGACTAAAACTAGCACTCTGTACACTTTTGAAATCGAACACACACGTTACAAGAAGAACTCGTATGGGAACATGGGTTACGAAAGGCGGATCAATCGGGTAAAATGATTAGTCTGGGGGTCTGGTCAAGTGTTTTGAGTTAGGATGGCTCCCATCAAGTAATATTCTCACTCTAGGGCGCCAAACCAAACACCCTAAATGTTGACGAATATAGTTTAAGCCATATTACCTGGTACCCCGCCCTAATGCTGACGAGAAAGAACGAACTCACTACCAAGAACCCTTGAGAATCATTATAGTGTAGTGGGGCGACCGTTAATATTCTAAAACGCAGTGGGGAACAAGTAATAGTTAAATTCCAAAAGAATGGAATTGGGGTGACAATGATGAGGATTGACTGTTGTGGTTGGATAAATAAAAGGTAAGATGCAAAATATTGTTTTACATCAGAAGGGGGGACCCCAAAAGACATTGAAGCATTCCACTAACATCAGATTATATTTTAATACATTATGCAAGTGACTGTATTACGACTTGTTTTAGAGATGCTGGATAGTTGCATCTCTAGAAATGCAACTATCCAGCAAAGTAGTGGGGATAGAACTTACTTGGAGTAAATAGTAATTATGAAGCTTGTAAGACTAAATTCCATGTGTGTCATTCAGCTGTTCAGAAGTTGGTCATCCTGAATCGCAGATGCGTTTTGCAAGCATCTCACAATTAATATTTGCTCCTTTGCTGCAGGTCATGGAGTGCATTGATGACTCCTGCACAAAAGTCGACGGGCAAGAGCTCTTGGGGAACCAATTGATTACAGAAGCAGTCGAGACAGTCGAGACTGTCGATCCCTCTGGTCACATAATTGCAGAAGCCCACAGTCGCAAACTCAGATTCGATGTGATGTGAGCAAAAATCGCGAATTTGGCGATACCGATCGCCAACGCGCCATGACGGCCACGAATGCAATTCAGAGGATGCAAATGGGCAACAGGGTGCTCGAGCGACTACGATGGCACCAGATCGTTTCAGATCCAGATTTTCCCTCTGACTCGTACTTACGAGGATCAATCGAAGGCTCGTAGGGGGAAAACTTGCAATTTCTTCAGACAGTTCTCAGCTCAGAGATGGTGATCTCCTGCTCGACAATTAGCACCTTCAGATTGGAGCAGCATGACCTTGTACAAAAGGTTCCAAGGGATGTGAAGGTGACGATGAAATCTCTACCGCTGGAATCCGAGTGATCTGTAGTATCAGTTACTCCAGTTAGGATCTTCCATGCTGGCTTACGAGTCCACTCCTGCAGTGGAGGACATAAGATGACGTCTAGCAAATCACTGAATTTGCTAAATTTCATGGTATATGTTGCATGGAAATGAAGTTAATTTCGTTTCTAAAAATTTGAATCGGAGTGAATCTGATTCCGATTGGAAGCTGGGGGACCAAGTGTGCTCGCAGTTTGGGCGACATGTCAAATTACGGATTGCAATTTTCGTTTGAATAAAGGAATGATTATATTTCGTCCTCGTGAGCTGACAGCTATAAATTGGATGGATGCATGGGGAGCACAGCAGAGCAGACCTCAATTGGAGGTCTGTCTCAGCACCATATCATACACTTAAGCATCATGAAAGTTAAGTCACCGCCGAGCTTGTCAATTTTCTCTTCATCTTCTGTGATGATGATGACGAAAGGTGTACGAGCTACAATTTGGCTCGAGGCTCTTGCTGGTCGATCGGAGCAGGAGTGACAATTGTCGACAGATTGTAAGTGGCCAGCCCGAGGACTAAAATGGACGAGCCCAGGGACAGGAGGCCGGGCGAGAGGGGAGGAGGGGAGCCGAGGAGCGGGAGGGGCATGGTGAAAGCGAAGATGGCCAGAGGCACGGCCAAAGTGGTGGTGAGCGACGCGACGACAGCAGACGAGGCTTTGAGCAACGACAGAGCGGCGATGTTGAAGCCCATGTTCCCGAGCACGTACACGAGGGGCACCATGGGAGCTCCCACGCACGGAGAGAAAGCTCGCCCCGATGCTCCGGCATTGAAGAAGCAAGTGGCCCCGGCCCTCACGTAAGTCGGAAAGGAAATCATGCCCCTCGAGGGCTGCGACAGCAGAGGAAGCATGATGAGCAGGAACAGAGTCTGAAACCCCGAGCTGAAGGAATTCACCACGAAGATGTCGACCGATCCGTGGCCAGATTTGGATCCGGATCTGGCGAAGGCATGCTCCTTGAGGATCGAAGCAGCTGCTGCGAAGAATGCCGAGAGCATCATGACCGACGGCCACAACAACCAGTGGCCACCTTCGGCAGCTGCCACCATCGGTGCACTGGACGCGAGGGCAATGATGACGACCCCAAGCACCACGAGGAAGCATCCGCCGATTTTGCTCTTACTGTAACGCCGGCCGAGAATGGAAGCGGACAGAAGCAGCTGCCAGACCAGGAGCATCTGGTAGAAGACCAGGGGCAGAGCTCCAGGGAGCACCGCTCCTGCAGCCATGCCCGTGGAGAATCCCAGAGCTTCGAGTGCGCCCACCGCCACGAACTGGGCCTTGGGGATATGGAGCATCTCCTTGGTCACGATTCCGGCTCGTATCCGGAAGAAGAGGATGGTGGAGTAAGCTATGGAGCATGCGAGAGTCGTCAATTGCGCCAGCAGGAACGGGTACTCCCTCATGGACACCAGAGCCATCTTGTACAAAATCCTGTTGCTGATGGAAAACAGAACCGTGATGATTGCCATCGTCACGATCTTCACGTCTTTTTCCGACACAGACTTCAGAGTCTCCACTATCATTCCCTGCTCCGTCTCGATGGCCCTGCATCTGCCGCCGGCGAGAGCTCTCCTTCGATTCTGACAGCCTCCCGAACCGTGATAGCTCGTGCAAAGCTTCCAGATATTTTGAGATGGAGGAACTGCGGAAGAGACAACTCTGATCTCGGTCCTGAACGACAATGGATGCAGGCTCACATGCTGCAGGGGCCAGCTTCCGGGCGTGATTCTGATTCTAATCGGTTGATTTGCGGAGACAGATGGGCAAGTGGTTGTTGCAAGGCTGCTAGTGCTGAGGCCTACAAAGGAACCCAACATCGTGCGACAATGGGAATGTGCAAGCACTACATACTATCGAGCACCTGCATCACTGCATTCATGATCAACCCAACCCACTCATCACTGGAGGCACTTCTGATCGATCGAGTTCCACAACCTTTGGACTTTTCCCGTGGGAGTTCGTCCTGGAATCTGCGCAAGTGCAATCAGCTCCCGAGTCCCTGCGCGAACTTTGTTGCCAGCTGCGCTCCCGTGCCACCCCGAGAGATAAGTTCGTCCATGACAAATCGCACGAACTGCCTCGGGCCTTCGTGCTGAATCTGCTCGAGCTGACAACTTCCAAGAGGTCAGTGAGCACGCACAATTTGTAAATGCCCTCGGAATTTGAGGTGCTGGGTTGTGTACTCAGAAGAAGAGCAGAGGCCACTGCGTGCAGTGTCTGATGTCGGACAGGAATCAGTGCCGCTTCAACATTTGGATATTTTTGCATCAAGCCTTCGGACATCGAATACACAGGAACGCACTTGGCTGCCTGATCATTACAGTTGTCTGAAGAATTAGGCGCATGCGGGGATCCCGTTCTCTATCCGATCCGAGATTCCGGCATGAGCTTAACCATTCTTATAATACCTGCGCGTGGTGCGTGATGTAGAATCTATTTACACGTGATAATGTCTTCCGACCGAAGATCCTCCGACGGTAAGCTAAAGGATCAAGTGTGGGCTCGGCATGAGACTCCCCTTGGCATGTAATTCGACTCACCTTCGGCACGATCGCTTTCAGGAGGATTCTCTCCAAAGCGCCGCAGGCTGGCAGGCTGGCTGGCTGGCTGGCTGGCAGACAGTCCACGGCCGTATCGATGTTTATATATTGAATCGTCGCTCTGTCAAAACCATCCGCTAGATCACGAGACTAGAAAGCGTCGATCGTGGTTTGCAGATTCTGTGGTGCAAAATTGGAGACAGCGAGCGAGAGTCATTGTCAAGGGCCCGATGGCCATCACGACACGCGCAGCTTGCAGGCTCCTGATCGAAGGATCACGACTGTCACTCTGTCATCGGAAGATCAAGTCTTCACGAGGCTTCGGTGACGAAGAGAAAGCTTCGTGAAGACTTGATCTTTCGATGCGTCGATGGATGAATGACTTACTGGCTGCATCTGACGCTGCAACTTGTAGACCATGACTTCGAGATGTCAACTTCGAGTCTTATGTAGGGCGTTGGCTTTCTCGAGGTCTCGATTCTCAGCTGCTACCGTGTACTCTCAGACTCGATACCCGTTCTCAATTCGTTAAGACGATGTTCGTCTGTCTCTGAAATGCAAATCGTCTTTTGCTGCTGGATTATACCTTGGACGGTTTACTTCTCCTGATTCTGCTTCTGAAAGGGCACAGCTACATGTTCAATTGGCATTCAATTACATTTTCAATGGCGATGTGGAGCTAATTGTGATATGCAAGTCGAGACACATCAGCACTCCACAAGGAGATAATATAGGGGGAAAAAAAGAGGAAAACCGACCAATGGATGAAACCTTTGGCCATGTACTACTCCACTATTGAAGTCAAGACAAGTCTAAAGATGTAACAAGCGAAGAGAAAATCCTACTGGTACAAAGTGAAAATGTCTTAATATATGATACAACCAGGATCTTCAACCTTAAATTAGTCTCGTAGTTTAATATATGGCTTGATGCACTAAGAGTGAGTGTAAAGGTCTACCTTGTTGAAACATCTATCTATCAAGGTAGAAGGTAAGCGGTAGGCAAAGGGTAAAAACAAAAAGAAGCTAAGTTCATGCCTCGACGATAAAACTTTGTATGTTTGGAAGAGTCAATGAAAAGGAAGTCAAAAACAATTCCACAAATATGTTACGGATGAGACTGCAAAGTTACTGCAGAATGTTTGCCAAATGTGTTAGCTTGGGTTATTTTTTGGGTTTGACTTTAGCTATTTTAGTTAAGTTTATTGTAGAAGTAAATTCACCAAAATGTAAAACACAGAGTAGAGTTTCTTCCTTTTTATTTTAAATTTTAAACATATATTTATCAACGAACAATTTTTATATTATGACAAGTTGCTACACTGGATTTCAATTCATACTTCTTAGATTAGTTTATTTTCTTCGAGGTTTTCTTTAAAGCTTACATTTATGTTTATATTCGGAATATAAAATCGCTGAACACGTTTTATCAAAATTGTCTTGATGAACTTGGGATTAGAGGGATCAAAATAGCAATGTTAAAGAGAGTCTACCATATGTATATCCTAAACTCAATTATCTGGTTGTTTTGAAAAAAAATATAAAATATCAATAGTCTCTAGACACACTTTTATCATCAAGAGTCTTTCATGTAGTCTTTCACGGTTCAACAACAAACTCTCGCCTTCATACTTAACACAACACTTTTAATCAAATTTCCATACTTATATTATGGTCATGTTCATAAATCAAGCCCGTGGGACCCGAGCATCCAAAGGCTAAATTCACAAAACAAATCATACACTCGCCACCAAGGAGAGAACCCCTGGATAGAGACTAGAGCATAAGAACGAAGATTGATCATATTTCTAATGTAACATTCTAAAACGTAAGGCTCAAGCTACAGTAAAAAATAAAAATTTTGTGAAACAATCTTATGAGCAACTCTAATATGAAACATCCTAAACCACAAGGCATAAACTACAGTAAAGAATAGAAATTTTGTGAAACAACCTCATGAACAACTCTAATATAAATTTATCTAATACAAATAACAAACACATGCTCTTCGAACTCAATATTTAGTGATTTCACAGAAGTTGCAAAATTGTTCACTTCAGTTAATATTTTGCCAACATACTTACTCAATCTGCAGACTAGGAGACCAGGTTCTATGCGTGCTATGATATGACGTAAAAAGGTCAACAAGAAAATATCCTTGTTGACAATAAACAAACATAAGGTTAATATGAAGTTGATAGAACTCCATTTGGTGTTTTGAGAATTTTGTAAATTTTGACGAACTGCCTTCGGTTGCAAGTCCAAATCTAGTTCCACCACATTCCACTTTGAGTACCATGCCACCACATCACAATACCACACTTCGAACAGCGTCTATCTTAAAGCTTGGCAGGAAATGGAGAAGTACCAAAACATCCGACCCGAGCAATGTAAGTAATGGTCAAACAGAGAGCAAAATGTTTTGTGCGGTGAGCGTGGATCGAACACGCGACCTTCAGATCTTCAGTCTGACGCTCTCCCAACTGAGCTATCCCCGCCGCCAACGGATTCCGTAACCGGGACTCGAACCCGGGTCGCCTGGGTGAAAGCCAGGTATCCTAACCATCTAGACTATTACGGATTCATGAGAAATGACTTCGCAATTATAATATTAAAGTAGTAAAAACAAATTCAGAGCCCAGAAATTTCATGCCTTCCCGCAGCATGAATGCTGATACATTGACACTCACCGGCCGAACGGGAGTGCACAGCCTGGTTGGCGATCTGATGCTGGCCCATGGGCCCGGAGAGATTGCCCTGCAGCAAGCACTCTTCTCTCCTCGACTCTTTGACTGTCATCCTTCTTTTGGCACGATCAGCATCTCTACACTTTTTGCACTCGACATCTACAGCAGGCTGGCTGTTGCTTGTTGAGCTTCAATCCGAGCGTGCTCTCTCCATGGGCCGTACTTTTTGCTTCCATTCTCACAAGTTCTGCAGATCTGTAATCGGGTTTCTCTTCGCTATTCGCCGTGACGTACTGTCGTTCTATTCCAGCGAAGCTCATGTCCATGCACGATATGCTCCCTGTTTACATTTCTGAACCTGCTCCAGCTGACCCCCAGGGGCAGAAGAAGGAAACCGACAGCTCTGCGGTTATCGATCTGTTGCTGTGAGTGTGCGAACACCATGGCTGTCGCTCTCACGAAGCTGTTAGGACTCAGAAGAGGTAGATTGCAATATTCAGAATGAGAAAGGCATTCGTCATGTACACCGCAGCTCCTCCGGGGAGTATTCCTTTCAGAAAGCAGCCGAGCGTTCGAAGGTGCAAGGCTGTGGAGCGCTGACGACTAGGAGCTTCAGATGTTGGTGTTAATCACTCTGCAGATCTTTGATTGCGCCAGCCTTGTGATGGACACCTCAGTCTGCTGGTTTCGATCTGCTTCCTTAGAGTCAATGCCACGAAGAGACCATTTGCGACGGTTTGAGCGTCTCTGCAACTCGTAGATCTCATCACATGGCAACCCAGCCTCGGGATGAAGTATTACGTCTACTGCGTTTGAGCTGGTTGGTGGATGGGGGAGGCCCATCAACATAGATATCACAACATGTGAAAGGTGAAAGGTGGGACTTCTCAGGTTTACCTGTTCCCTACGAAAGAGCAAAATCGCAAGACAAAGCATCGACTCCAAAATGCAATCACATCACCACGACACTTCAGTGCTTCATTTCTTTGAGTTCTGCCTTTGGCTATACACCAGGTGCAAGGTGGTGATCTGCAGGTTGTACTCTATGAACTACGAGTATAAGACATGATGCACACAAACCCGAGCTGCTCGTCACTCATTAAACTCTTATTGCTTTGAACTTTGTACTCTACATGTACAAAGTTCTACACTATGTTTCCACTCGAGATAAACTTGACACGAAGCCGGGCAAACTCGAGGATTTACTGCTCAACGTTATAGAAATTTCAGGCGTAGCTGTGGTGCCCGAAGCTCACCATATCCGTGTTGATGATTGTTACTTGTCCGTTATGTGCAATCGGTCTATACCGCACGTACCCGCAACAGGACTTAAATATATGTTCTCTTGTTGAAATTTCACGGTTTAAAGCGAGGGTTGTGGTCGTAGAGGACACTGTCTTCGCACACAATGTCATCTACGTCGCACTTGTTTTACACCTGCGTGTTTAACGTGTTACATATCTGGAGTTCTATGGATTTCGGGGTAGTTTCGCGTGTTATGGGGGTCAAAAGTTCATAGGATCATCACGCAGGCGAGGAAACTCAAATGACGATAGCTCTGAAGAGGCAAGTTGTGCCGCATGCTTATCTGTCATTTTCTCACTGCCTTTCTTCCCCATAAGCGCTGCTCTTGAAGCTCACATCTGCTGGGGGAACAGGAGAGACGCTACAGCGCGATGATGATGACTTGACATTACGTGGGACGCTATATTCTACCTGCTTATCCTTGCATCGTAGAGTGCATCAATAGAGTTCATAGCCAGTGATGACTCCTCTGTAAGCACATTGACCTCTCTGGAACCTCCCTTCTTGGTAACTATGTCACAAACCTTATAACATTTTCTGGTTGCCATAAAGAGTTCGAGTTCTGGTATGTTGAAAGAGGGCACTGTTGATCCAGCCATCTCCTCTCTCAAGGTTGGTGGAAGCTTTTGGATATCCAATTCCTTGTAAAACTTCTTGTTCTCAGCAGCGAAAATGGGACTGACAATCCAATCTACTAACCCTTTGGTAGCCAAATAGTCCATAACACCCTGTCACAAAACGATGGCTTCTTCCTACTTGTCTGAATCATTCCCGAATGCATTTGTCTGAATTTGGTCGTTGAGATTTCCCTGCCTGAATCCTTCTATCGTATACCCTCGATTACTGTAGCCTTAAATATCTATTTAAAGTGTTAAACACAAGGTTAAACTTGTGTAAAACTGTTTGAACTTTTTTATGAGTAGATGTATTTAAAACGAAAAGCAGATGTACACTTAGCAGAAAGCTTGGCATCCAAAAGTATTTTACTGGATCACGCCTATCGACTTTGTAAAAACAAATTCAAACTTCCCTCTACACACCTCTGTAAAAGTTTCAATTCATAGCAAAGACCACTCGGAGACAGGAGGAGGCAGGAGATTATGTTGCACAGTTGTTCCCTGATCCAATCTGGATGCTGGTGCGATTGCCAACACGATGTTCACGACATATGCTTCACCTGAACAATACCACCTTTTACCTGGATTGCCTTTCGGGATCGTTTTCCGGCAAGGTCTTTAATCGCACAACAGATTCGACCCTGCATTAAGACGTGGATGTTTCCCATTATCCATTTTCTCGGCTCCATGCCCTTGTCCACAATCAAATCAGTGTCGATGAACAAATGCATACAGCAGACACCCACGCTGCTATTTCCTCATAAATTCTGCTACACCAGACCGCATTTAGAGAGGATATTAGATTTTAACATTATTTTTAATTTTTCCATCAACTGTGTGGACCACCCAATTTAGAGTAAGTTTTCACAAATGAAGCGCTACAAGGAGTCTAAGACCATCTTTCTCACAAACTCTGCACCATCCTCAACGTAAAACTGCCGTGTCTCTTCAATCACAAGCCAAATGTTTGACCCAGGAGGTCTGGCCTGAGAACCAAGAGCCTGCCGCTTGAATGCACGACGAGAGTTGCGAAAGCCAGAGGAAAGTCCAGGCCTGCGCATCTTGAACACTGCATGTGGTCGGGGCATGTAGACATCCGAGATTTGGTTTGACAAACTAATCGACACAACTGAAGCGGTAGATTTCGCTCAAGCTGACTAATGTTGAGTTGGAGTAACTGGAACCGTCTGAACATCGTTAGTACAAGAATTATTTTGCGTGATATGCCGGTATCGAATTAAGTCTTGATAATTTTTTAGGTTCACTTAATCTCAATGACCACTACCATTCTTGTCTCTGGTCTCCACTGATTTCCTAAAGGATGATTCACGATAATGAAGGAAGTCCAGGTGACGTCTCTTCTCCAAGAGAGGTGTAGACTAGTTAACCAAGGCTCTTGCGGTGTCGAGCATCGTAGGATTATGGGCTAAAGATGAAGGTCACAAAGCATCTGCTGAAGCCATCTTCATCTACCACACTATCGTCCCAGACGATAGCGAATCTGGAGAGTTTTGTCTCCTTCGAAATAAGCATGATGGAACCAAAGTATGTCTGGGGTTCGAGCCATGAGAAGAGGACTATACAGATGTACATCGAGTGGTCGATGGTGCCACACTTAGACGATGAGGTTAAAGTGGTAAAGAACTTGATCATAATCGTGCTGTGAGATAAGCAATGGGAAGATGCACCAAGTGTGCACCAAAGGATGATGTCGAATTAGGAAAAGCTTCGTGTAACAATCTCACGCGATAGAGTACATAAAAGTTTGGCTATGGAAGTGGTCATGAAATTGCAGCAATTATTACGACTTTTTGAACGGTAAATACGACCAGTTAAAAATACATTAGTGCACAAATAATAGTTTGCAGGTGGGGCGCTTTCGGAGGAGAGGAAATCATCTAAAGATCATGTACATATTTTTCATTGAGCAGATATGCTAGAAATAGATTCATACAAATTCCACGGGGTTTTTAACTGCACATATAGGAGATTGTGCACACATTTCAGAAATTATCTGGTGGGTTGGTTATCGTTCTTATTCACACATACCTTCTCGCTGTAAATGAAAATAACAAATATTATGAAAGGTATTCCGAACCAATATACAGATGTTGAACATTTATAATGTATCGACAGAAAAATCTTTCAAAAGTGTGTCACGATAGATGTCAAACCTTTATAATGTAACGACAGAACAATCTTTCAAAAATGTGTCACAACAATATGTCCTTCATTTGCAAAGTATATTTTCATCACAGTTTCTTCTGACAAGATAAATATCGGGAAAGTGTGCCATTGGGTATTACACTTCAAATTCGTGATACAAAATTTATTGGTACATAACTTAAAAGAATATAAAACAATTTGTATTGATCAGCTTAATAACTTTTTTGTTCCATAATATAGAAGTTTATAGGTGGAGAGGGGATTGTACTTGTGTAGCGAATAAGAATGTGTCCGGGTGCCATACAATGAAAAATTTTACTCTACCATCAGTGTAGCCCTCCGAAACAGCATCTCAAAGTAAGATGTTTCGATCATACTGAGCACTAACATACAGCCTTCAAGACTAGCAACAATATGCTTCAGACCACAGCTAGTAGCCACCTCCCTTCGGTTATGCTCCAAGTGTGACATCAGAAACCTGCGTTGTTATCGGACTTCGCGCTCTGCACGTTCTCGACATGAATCCGGTGCTCATCAAGGAAATTCGGATGCAGATCTCAGTCGTGGAAACAGTTTAATTTCCTTGATAGGCACCAGATTTATATCGAGCACCTGCCAGAGAAGTTCGGCATCTCCATGGAGGAATCGTGTAGAGTAATTGACATCTTATCAAAACCTACAATACAAGTGGTAAGATAGAGTGTTTGCATACATCTTGATCCAAGTCAGAGAAAACATTCCAAGTCAGAGAACATTCCTTTCAAGTAAAAATATCGCAAGAGTTTCTTCACATGTCCAAAGTATAACCACCAGTGTTCAGTACTCACCTGGAAGCATAGAAGAATAACTTCAGCCAGTAACATTGGGCTTTCTCCGTCTTCGCATCATGCCCGACATAATGTGGTATTTTTCAGTCATAACCTTAAATTCCCATACTACTAACCTCACGTCCGTCCCTTCTTATTACTTCCATTAGTCTCTGATTGCATGCTCAATACAAGGTGATAAATTACAGCGAGGTTACTTGCCGTACAAACCTAAAGTATAACAATATTACCGCAGATTTCTGTCTACAATATCAGAGACTCAGTATCAGTTTCACAGCTTCCTCCTGAACACTCTTGACAAGAGCAAAGATCCAAACAGATTGTAGTTCATTTACAGATCCTTCACATGTGCGGTGAGTTCGAGTCAATGAGCTAGATGTGCCCTTAGAGGTCCTTACCTGCGGCAGGAGAAACACGCCAGATGAGTCAACCTGCTTTTCACCTTTCCAGATGGATGTTTGGCTACTCTGAACACAGACATGTCGGTGTACGGAGTGAAAACATGGCTTCTCTTAACACCTACATGTCCGCGTTCAGAGAAGCCAAATTTCATCTGAAATTCGGCTCTCCATTACTTTTGAAATTTGGAACCATCTTTTGATTCTGCAGTAGAGCTTCTCGACTTGGAGGCGCCATTTTCCACCTGCCCGTCCATTTTCTACGAGGACGCTGAAACGTCTATCTGGGGAGTTGTGTTCACTCGCAGAAGCCCCGTCAGGTCCCCGAACCGGGTGGAAGTCAAATCCAAGCTAGTGGCATCTGTGTTCCGAAGCACGCATCAAGTCAGTCACTTCCTTCTGCCGTCGAAGTATTTTCGATGTCCAAGATAAATCCAGCCTAGTCTGATGTTTCTCCAATCTTCCCGTTTCGAAAGAAAGAAAGAAAGCCTTCCTTCCTCAGTCGAGTTTCCACATAAAAATTGTGGAATGTAGATAACAGATTTAAGCTTTCTTTCCCCGCGCAGCACCCTGCCTAAGTCGTAGATTTTTTATGATAATGAGAGTAATACCGAGCATCGATTCGACGATACACACAGGATCCTTCAATTCGAAGCTTGCAGACCACGCAAGATCTTCTAGTCCCCCCAGGGAAACTCCAGGATCCTATCCGTAAATGCCTCCATTCGACAGTTACACGCAGAAGATGGCCTAGCACACTTCTTTCCCCGGGACGCGAGTCGATCTGCTTCGTTCTAGTTTCTCACATTGTGCGTCTGAAGTGAAAAGGTCTTGTAGATGGTACCCGAGTCCAGAAAAGTGTCACAGATGAAGACGTTCAATCGATCCATTGCCATCATCTCTGATCGATGCGTTTGGCAACAACACCGCCTCACCTGCTTTAAATGTGTTGCTTTCAAAGACAAGCTATGGATAGTCTAGGACAAGGCCCTGACAATTCCCTTATCCATATCAATCATCCGGAACTACTGGCCCGGAGTCACAAAATTCTACTGTAGTAACATTGTTGATCATGTCAGTGATATGATCAACTGAAGCATGTCTACCCCGTTGTACACTTTTGAATACTAGAAATAGATTGAGAATTTGCTCGGTATACCATCCAACCTCCCTGTAAAACTCTGTGATAAACACAACTCGAAAAGATTCTCAATTTAAACTCCAGTATTTAAAAGTGTGGAACGAGTGACATTGTTGATCATGTCAGTGACATGATCAACTGAAGCATGTCTACCCCAGTGGTTGTACACTTTTGAATACTAGAGATAGATTGAGAATTTGCTCGGTATACCGTCCAACCTCCCTGTAAAACTCTGTGTTAAACACATTTCGAAAAGATTCTAAATTTAAACTCGAGTATTTAAAAGTGTGGAACGAATGAGATGAAGCATGTCCAAAGCATCGAGTGAAAACTTGAATTACAATAATTAACAGTGACGAAATCACGGCCTCAGACACCAACAGTCCACAACCCAGGACTGCTGGTGAGTAGCCAGCAGAAGACGGTGACGGAGAGACGGACCTGATCGAGCACGGTTCGAAGGGAGGCCTCGAGAAAAAGTTGAAACCTTCGCGGAGACCTTGGCGATCTTAGCTCTGATTGGATCCATCTTCTCTACCGGTTTGATGACCCCGACAGCCACCTGGTACCCCATGTCGCGGACGGCAAATCGACCCAGAGGTGTACACTCGGGGAAAGTCTCGACTTTTGAAAGCTTGATTGCAATCGTCTTCACAATCCAGCATCTCCATTGATCACGAGCAATGACTCCTTCCCAGGCTCCTTACCAGACCAGGAGTACCCCGATGCGTCCCCGTAAAGGAATTGGCCGTCGTGGTTCGTGATGATGAACCCACCTTCGCCGGATCATCCTCCGAGTCAGAGGCAACGAATCCTCCATTCTTATTTACACATGCCTTCTCGCTGTAAATGAAATCAAATATTATGAAACGTATTCCTACCTACTACACAGATGTTCAACTTTCATAATGTGACGACAGAAAATCTTTCAAGTATGTTACAAAGATGTGTCGTTCTTCATTTGCAAAGTGGAAATATTTTATCGTAGTTTCTTTTAACGTATACATCGGGAAAGTATTCCTCCAGCATTCCACTTCACAGTCGTGTTTACAAGATTTTTGTTACATGACTTCAAAGAGGATAAAAAAACAACTTGTATTTGTCAGTTTGATAACTTTTCTATTCCATAATATAGAAGTTTATAGGTGGAGAGGGAATTGTACTTTCGTAGCCAATAAGAATGTGTACGAGTGCCATACAATGAACAATTTTACTCTACCATCAGTGTAGCCCTCCGAAGCAGCATCTCAACGTAAGATGTTTCGATCATACCGAGCACTGAAATACAGCCTTCAGGACGAGCAACACTATGCTTCAGACCACAGCTAGTAGCCACCTCCCTTGGCTTCTGCTCCAAGTGTGACATCAGGGACCTGCGTTATTATCGAACTTCGCGCTCTGCACGTTCTCGACATGAATCCGGTGCTCATCAAGGAAACTCGGGTGCAGATCTCAGTCGTAGAAACAGCAAAATTTCCTTGATAGGCACCAGATTTATGTCGAGCACCTGCCAGAGAAGTTCGGCATCTCCATGGAGGAATCGTGTAGAGTAATTGACATCTTATCAAAACCTACAAAACAAGTGGTAGGATAGCATGATTTCATACATCTTGATCACATGCACAAGTATAACCACTAGTATTCAGTACTCACCTGGAAGCGTGGGAGAATAGCTTCAGCCAGTAACATTGGGCTTTCCGTCTTCGCATCATGCCCGACATAATGTGGTATTATTCAGTCAAAACCTTGAATTCCCATACTACTAACATGACGTACGTCCCTTCTCATTACTTCCATTGCTCCATGATTGCAGGCTCAGATACAAGGGGATAAATTACAGCGAGGTTACTTGATGTACAAACCTAAAGTATATCAACATTACCGAAGCTTTTTGACTGTGACATCAAGGACTCAGTATCAGTTTCACAACATCCTCTTGAGCACTCTTGACAAGAACAAAGATCCAAACAGATTGTAGTCCATTTACAGATCCTTCACATGTGCGGTGAATTCGAGTCAACGAGCTAGATGTGCTCTTAGAGGTCCTTACCTGCAGCAGGAGAACACACCAGAAGAGTCAACCTGCTTTTCACCTTTCCAGATGGATGTTTGACTACTCTTAACACCGACATGTCGGTGTACGGAGTGAAAATATGGCTTCTCTTAACACCTACATGTCGGTGTTCAGAGAAGCCAAATTTCATCTGAAATTCGGCTCTCCATTACATTCGGAATTTGGAACCATCTTCTGGTTCTGCAATAGAGCTTCTCGACTTGGAGGCGCCATTTTCCACCTCCCGTCCATTTTCTGCGAGGACGCTGAAACGTCTATCTGGGGAGTTGTGGTCACTCGCAGAAGCCCCGTCAGGTCCCCGAACCGGGTGGAAGTCAAATCCAAGCTAGTCACATATGTGTTCCGAGACGCGCATCAAGGCAGTTGCTTCCTTTTGCCTTCGAAGTATTTTCGCTGTCTAAGATAAATCCAGCCTAGTCTAAAGTTTCTCCAATCTTCCCGTTTATCCTAAGAACTCCTTCCTTCCTCTTTCGGGTTGCCACGTAAACAATGTGGAATGTAGACAACAGTTTTAAACTTCCTTTCCCAGCGCAGCACCCTGCCTACTTCATAGATTTTGATAATAATACAGCGTGATACCGAGCATCGATTCGAAGATACACACAGGATCCTTCACTCCGACGCTTGAAGAGCACGCAAAATCTTCTAGTCCCTCCAGGGGAACTCCAGGATCCTACCCGTAAATGCCTCCGTTCGACACTTGCACGAATAACATGGCCTAGCACACTTCTTTCCTCGGAACGCGAGTCGGCCTCCTTCGATCTAGTTTCTCTCATTGTGCGATTGAAGTGGAAAGGTCTTGTAGATAGTCCCCGATGTCACAAATGAGGACGTTCAATCGATCGGTTGCCATCATCTCTGATCGACGCGTTCGGCAATAACACCGCCTCACCTGATTTAAATGAGCTGCTTTCAAAGACAAGCTATGGATGGTCTGGGACAAAGCCCTGACAATTCCCTTACCCATGTCGATCATGCGATACGACTGGCCCGGAGCCACAATATTCTACTCGAGTAACATTGTTGATCATGTCAGCGACATGATCAACAATGATCAACTGAAGCATGTCGCTGACATGCTTCAGCGCACTCGTCTACCCCAGGCGTTGTACACTTTTGAATACTAGAGATAGATTGGGAATCTCCTCGGTATACAATCCAACCTCCCAGTAAAACTCTGTGATAAGCACAACTCGAAAAGATTCCCAATCTAAACTCGAGTATTTAAAAGTGTGGAACGAGTACGATGAAGCATGTCCAAAGCATCGAGTGAAAACTTGAGGTACAGTCATTTACAATGACGAAATCACGGCCTCGACACCAACGGTCCAGAACCCAGGAATGCTGGTGAGTTGCCAGCAGTAGACGGCGGCGGAGAGACGGACCTGATCGAGCACGGTTCGACGGGAGGCCTCGAGAAAAAGTTGACGTCTTCGCGGAGACCTTGGCGATCTTGGCTTCGATTAGATCCTTCTTCTCTACCGGTTTGATGACCCCGACAGCCACCTGGTACCTCATGTCGCGGCCGGCAAATCGACCCAGAGGTGAATACTCGGGGAAATTCTCGACTTTCAGAGCAATTTTCAAAGCTTGATTGCAAGCGTCTTCACAATGCAGCATCTCCATTGATCGCGAGCAATCACTCCTTCCGGAGCTCCTTACCAGACCACGATTACCCCGATGCGTACCAATTAAGGAATTGGCCGTCGTGGTTCTTGACGATGAGCCCTCCTTAGCCGGCTCATACTTCGAGTCAGAGACGACGAATCCTCTGTTCGGGTCCTTCACTGCGCCATCCTCACATTGAACCCGACTTCGTCTCCGGGAAGAGCTTCGTCAAAAGCCTCGTGGTGCATCTGAAGGGACTTCCCGTCAATGGTCAGACCGGAAGGGGGAAAACGGACCACCATCACAAGACCTTGCTCGATGACACATTGCTCAACTAGTCCCACAAGCACAACTCCAGCTCCCGATCCCGCCGACCTTGGAAACATCATGAAGAAGGCTCGAATCAATGCCCCAAACTTCTGGAAGAGCAGGCAATTTGTACCAGTCGAGGATGCTGGACGTCTCGATCACGTTGTCACCCGCAACTCGTGAGATTGGAGCAAAAGGAATCTATCGTCTCGAGATTGAATGCGACTTTCGTCGAGTGGGACGAGACTGGCTCTGCAACCTCATCCTCAAGCTCCGCACTGTCCTTCGGTGCGCTGGCATCCACGACCTGCCTCGCACGCATGGTGCCTTCGATTTGTCCGTCCTTGGAGATATTACCAGCCTCACCCTATTCCCTAAATCCTGCGGCGGTGGTGGAGTCGACGACGATGAGCACGGCACGATGCCACGTGGCAATATCTTCCGTAGGGCAGGACGGAAGGCCCCAAGGTTACACACACGTCCACTGCAGTAACAGAATCGCCAAGAAATCGCCGACACTGCTTCCTCGCACGTCTCTTTCTGCCAATCACTGACTCTTGGACGGCTGGGGGGCGGGGACGGCATTTGCAAGGTTCCGGTGACGGCAACGGAGTATGAGACGGACAGTCTGGACGAACTGACTGTGGAGGTCAAGTGGCTCTATGTCTGAATAATGCAGCCTTGGGCCCACCACCAAACGCGTTTCTTTTTGCTTCATTGACTAGACAAAAGTACAGTACTGAGGTATTCATTATTTCCAACCCTATACTTCCTTGGGATACTTTCGCTTGAATTTGAGGCCCCTTATATACTTTATTAACTTTATTTTTCACTAAAGAATAATTTTATTTCTTTAGAATGAATCACCCATCATCAAAGTCCAACGTTTCGCCAATATTTGCGGACGAATTTCCTGTTTTTCGAAGTGCTGGAAATTCAAAGCTCCCGACTAACGGCCCAAAGAACACGAGATATTTTGTGGGTCCTAACGGCCGAGCCTGCGGTGAAGGTTCAAATGGTGGACTGGAATCCATCGAAGTGACAGCTGGAATGATGATAATTCAATGTAATTTAATAATTCGATAATACAAATAAATTGACAGTTGAAGTTGTCACTTGCCAAACATGAACCAGATACTCGACAATTCATCCAAGGGGTCTCTTAGAAAGAGCTCAAGGCGGCAAGGAGATGTGAATATGCGAACCCATGCATGGTACAAGAATATTGGCAGAGCAATTCAAACCAACTTTGCTCGGATTTCCCTCGTTAAGTTTGTAGCTTAACCCTATTGTGTATCATGCAAGGGAAAGTGGTTACAAGTGAAAAGATAGTGGACTTTCCCCATGGTGTACGTACAGCGTCCGTCATCATTCACTTGGTATATTATCAATGTTCCTTGATTTATAATATATATGTTTCAAACCATAAAAAAGTCATGTCTAGTAATCTATTAAAGTGTGGGTTAATTTTCGTATAATGTTTTTAAAGTTTTAGTAGCAGTAAGCTTGTTCATATTGAATAGCTGAATTACATATGATGCACAGTTAGGTGTATGCAGCTCTGCACATAGAAAAGAAAGGTTGATTATTAGATTTATTATGATACAAGGGAAGAGGATAAAATAATAGCTTCAGCATCTAAATGTATCCACTTTAGAATTTTTTATGGCAGAAGTGAGTTATGTGAGGCATACTTCAAGCATTGAACACATTCTCACCAACCTCGAACACATGAATTTTTCTTGTGAGCAGTGAGTTGCGTGAGTCATACTCCAGCATTGAATACAGTTTCACCAACCTCAACAACATGAACATGTTAAACAGTGTCTTCAGAACCTTTGACCGTAAAGGCAATCATCTCATGCCTCTATCATGACTCCCTTCAAGAGAGTTGGTCTTTGATTCTTGATGTCGTACTCAATTCTCGGCAGTCTTGAGCTACTGTTGGACGAGATCGAAGAGGCCAGCCTTAGATTCTTGAGGAACATGCACATTCAAAAGAGAGTTTTCAATCTCAAACACCAAAAATAAAATAAGAAAAAGGGTCACAAAGATCCATCAATTTGCACAGGACAACAACAAGAGAAATATGATCCTAGCCTCAAATGTCATCAAAATGACAAATATATACATAAGACATATAAAACTATTTGAGTCAAACATAATATTAGGAGTATCGGAAGAAGCATAAACTCGTATATCCTTTAAACTCTGACTTTCACCAACTAATACTATTTTTAAAGAAATACAAACATTTTGTCTAACCAAGATATCTAACGATTGTGAAATGTGTGTTGACTTGCACATTATGCTCCTACAAACTCGCTCGTATACAGCCTTTTGTGTATATATTTTTATACGACTCTAAACCTACATATACAAAGGGACATATTCTTTGCATAAATCCAATCTAAATTTTAATTGTATCAACTAAAATCATATTCAATGTTTAATCAATGACAATTACTTCTGTTTTTCAACCATCTTATATATGTCTATGAAATCTCTACATTAATCACCTATAAACAAAATGAGTAAGTACATATGTCACTATTCACATATGTTTTGAAAATATATATTATTATATGCAGTAATATTGAGCAGTAAATTGATTTATCCACACATATGACCTTGTCAAAATTATATTTAAAAATAATTTTATATTAATTTTATTTCGTTTATGAATTAAACTTATGGTATATTTTTTCCCTAAAGATCTTAGTGATGTTAAAATTTAGATTTCAAAATATTTTTTATGAACTGAATCAATAAGCCAAATATCTTTCTATACTTATCATTTTGTGATTTTGATTATTATCATTCATAGAAAAAATATAAAAGTGAGATTTTGCATTGAGATTTTAATTATTGAAATAAACATAAAACCAAAAAAAATTATTCAAATTACAGCAACTTTTCATGTAAATTTTTGTTTGAATGATGGATTTGCGATAATGTATAACATAAAAAATTTGATTCATACAATAATCATAAAAAAATAATTTGTAAATATTATTATCAACATTATTGTTGCTAATAGCAATAAAAACATTCATTTCAATTAAATTTCTTGCAATTTTTTCAGTATATGCATTATCAAGATCTATGATCGTTGAGAAAACAAATCATCAAATCAGTTTTTTTCAAACTTTCCACTAAATCATTGGTTACTTAACTTGAATTGAGAGCAGATCTATTGATATAGATTTCTTGTTTAAAGATACGTTGGAAACTACAAGGAAAAAACTGACTTTGACAAAACACCCTCAAATAGTATTCTTCTTGATCACATTTGATGCTCATTTGATACATCCAAACATGTTGTTCATGTTTGTATGACCATCAATCAAAAACTAAAAATTAGATGCATGTACGTTTGTTTGTCAAATTTCATACTCAGACAACAAATAGTCTCGTTGAACATGGCAAAAACACTCTTTGAAATTCACATGGTTTCTTATCAAAATGACATTTGGAGGATAAAAATGCATAGGATCTCATATCAAATAAAAAATTTAGTGATTCTGCTACATATAAATGAAATAAAAAATTGTTTTGAAGTACATAGAAAAATAGATTGAAATTTTTGGCAATTTTGTTACAATCGTGCAAGAATCGCTTATAAAACAATGTATATTTCCAATCTTTTAGTTTGTTAATCATAGATGATTTTGAACTCCTTGTGATATCAAAACAATACTTTTAAGCATGTGAACAAATGCTCTTTGCAATAATATATGCTTCAAACTTTAATATGTTCATGATTTCTTCTTCATATATTTAATTTTTCTTTTCCTATATTTGAAAAAACGTACCATGAGCGCTTCAACAATCTGGTTTTGCAATTCCTATGATCTGTTACCAATGATGTCCAAGTGACGATGGACACAATCGTTCACAATGAAATTGGTGATGCTAGTATATAAACACTCACAAGAAAGTCTATGCAATTGATTGATGTTGAAGAAATTTATTGTTTTATAGGATTTGATTGGATGTACATAGAGCAAACTTGATCATGCATGTGTTGTTTTTTTGGATAAAATTGAGTGTAATGTTGAAGTAATATAGGTATTCAAAAAATAAATTTTTAACTCATAGTTTATACAAATATTTTACTGGTGATATATAATCAAGGAGATAATGATAGAAACGTGAGTAAATTGAGAAGTTCATAGAACATCATATGAGTGTAAAAAATAAAAGTTTGTCTTTCAAACAACACACAAAATAACTTTGTTTATTTGTTTAACAAAACAAAATGACGGCCATGAAGTTGGAAAGCAAAATATGATAAAATCAAATATGATAGACTTGATGACTGAATTGTGCAAGAAACAAGTCAAAGTCAAGCTTAAATTGTTAATCCAAGCAAAACAATGAGTCCAAAAGTGTTTAAATATTAAACATAAGTCAATGACAAGCTTAAGCTTATGGATGTATATAAGATGATAAGTTCAAAACTATTCACATATCAAGAAAACTTTCAATAGCAAGCTATAAGTATTGTCATATTGCATTTACAACTTTTGAATATGAAACAAGAGGATGATTATAAAAATTGTACTATTCTATTTAATGTTATTGAGTGACGATTTTATTGCAAAGAATCGTAAAACATATTGTGTGATTTTTTTGTACTAATAAACTTTAAGATGAAAGATTTAAGTTCAAAAATCTAATATCACATTTACGTATTCTGCGATTGTTGTTGAAAATTTGGAGAGTTAAGAAATGATGAGATGAATTTTTTTTATCTTTTCAATTCATTATTGACGTATTTTCCGATTGTATTTGAAAATTTGGAGAGTTAAGAAGTGATAAGATGAATTTTTTTTATCTTTTCAGTTCACTATCTGCCTCGTATTTATCACTCATTAACATAGATCTGACACAAGTATGCGAAAAGCGTTGAAATCAGTCTCGTGCGCGGGTGGGACTTTCTTGTTGGACCTTCTCCTCGATCGTTGATATGTGCAGAACTTTTTCTCAATCGTTGATACATGCAGAATGATCCAAAGGTTATGCAAAGGTGAGACAGGGTAATAATCACTTACAATAGATTTGTAAGTGTATTATTGATAGTTGACTTTTAACAAAAGATGATGATGTCATTTTATTAAGTTTTTTTCATACAATTTTAAATATAAGCTTTGAGAAAATAAACAATAATATATTGAAAATGAGTCAAGAACGTTCAGGTAAAAAATGAATGCATTGTAAAAATCAAAGATGAATTAAGGTTTTATCTTTAACTAAAAGTTGGCTACTTTAGTTAACGTGGTTTAATATTTGATTTGAATATGATGATTTGGTTAAACATCAACTATGATACAAAAGTATGCATTATGAAACTTATCAACAAGTGTTGATAGTATATGGATTTTTATATGCTATTTGTTCTTATAATATTTGTATCATAAATCAAAATTTTATATTTTTTCAATATCAAACAATTAAGTTTGTTTAGATATTGATTAAAAATTGATGGAA